GAATCATTGGCCAGACCCTCCGACTGCTCCCTCTCCTCAGCCATCGTAGGAGCAGCACAAGAGCCCTTGCTCTTCGACAGCTTGCGACCCTTTCGACCCACAACCTTTGGGGCAGGGCGCACCGTGCGTTTAGTCAGAGGCGAGGGATTCAGCAGCTTAGCAATAACCCGATCGGGGATGCTCTCGCCAGCTGGAGCCGCTGCTTGCATGGGCTGAGGGTCCCTCAGGGCATCATCCGTCTCACATTTCACCACCGGAACTTTTTGGACAAAGAACTCATCTTCGGACTCCTCTTCTAGAAGCAGGCGTCGACGGTAAGCCGCCTCCCTCTCCGTGGGCTGGGCTGGACGCATCTGGGTCAAGGAGGACGGACGGGCCTTCCCCTGCCGCCCGGGCATCTTCTTCTCGCCCAACTCCATAGGCATTCCCCGACGGGATCGACGTTGAGATAGCCGTCCCTCGGGTTCCATCCCGACGTCACGCGTCTGCAGCACCGTAAGGGTTTTAGAACCAGAACTTTTCAGCGTGCCCTTGCGCCCTTGTCGTCCAAGAGCAATCCTCGGCCCTTTCGAAACAGGGACCCGGAACGAGGTACGACCAGGTTGCGCAGGGGGTTCCACTTCCATGAAAGGCTTCTCCGAGGTTCCCATCCATAATGGAGAGGGATCACGGACAGGTTGCTTAGCCACAGGTCTGCTCTCTCGAGTCACCTCATCAGAGCCACGATCAGAGGTAAGGTCCGAGTCCTTGTTTCTCCGGGTCTCCTTGTTTATCCACACTGTTCACGGAGGGTAGTGTGGGGCCACTTCCTCTTCATCAAACAGCTTCCTGCCTATCTTCTTAGTAGACATATGGGGTCCAAATCGCTCTTTGCCAGCTGGCGGGTCGAAGACACACAGCTGTCGAGAGTGACCTACACGCCCGCAGTGATAGCAGAAGCTCGGCAAGTGTTCATATTTTAACCGGATCCAAAATCATCCTGTCTCCGCATTAGATGCCAGCAATTGAGACCGAAGTGGTTTAGAAAAGTCGATCAAGACTTTCACCTTGATGAACTTCTGATGCGTGTCACTGCACGAGAAGAGGCCAGCCTCGAGAACTTGTCCCAACGTGGCAGAAGCCATCTTCCTCCCAAATTGATGAGTGCAGCACTCATCTCGAACATCCCACATTTGGACGCGAAAGGGTGCGATGGCTAAATCCTCAAAGGTCCGCCGAGAAATTGAAGGGGTCCACGACCGAAGATGCAGGATTTTGTCGCCAACCACCCACGGTGATTGCTTCAGGATCCACGCCTTGGAAGTGTTATTGGGCAAGACAAATTCGAAGAGCCCATGCGCAACCTGCTTCACTCTAATGCGACCCTGCCCTTGCCACGGATTGTTCACCATCTCTCGCATCTCCCTAGCTGACACCTCCTTCTCGGTGAAGAGGCGCCCAAGAAGCGAGCACGCCTGTCGCGCTTTGTCCGACTGGACCTCATCCAGCGAGAACTCAACAATTTGATCCTTGGAAATGCGCGCCATGGTGGAAATCTGCAAGGACACAGACGCGGCATTGTCGCCGCCATTAGCCAAATGCACAACAGGCCCGTCAATGATCGACCAAGGGTACTGAGAAAGATGAACAGAAGGCTTGCAGAAGGGGGAATCGTCCCACCCGATCATGCAAGTAAACTCAGCACCGAAATGCGAACACTTACCAAGCTGGAGGAGGCGTTGGGACAGGGCTAAGCTACTTCCAGACTCTTCACGATGCTCACAAACACACCAATGCTGTTTGGAGGTAGTCTGGCCAGCGTGAGGCTTTATAACCAAGCCACCAGCTGGAGTCCCGATCCCAAAGCGTGTCCCCAGATTGGGAAAGATTCGGTTTGGAAATATCCAAACTGTATTAGGGTTTTTAACCTGCCTAATCTTCCGGCGGGTTACTTTACCCACGATTCCTCTCTCAACTGCCAACTGATTAGGGATATGGAGAGAGAAAAACCCGTAACAGTTACCGAGGTCCGTACTATCAGGGGTTTTAATTTTTGAAAATTGTGGACCCACTAAGTCTCCCATCGCCACACGCAACAACGGTCGGGCTAGGGGTTCCGCCGGCCCAGGAACAGCCGCCGGCCGGCATAGGACGTCCGCCATGGACAGAAAAGGCCCAGCCGATGTCTTGAGAGAACTCGCCCCACCTCGGGATCTAAGTTGACTCTCATCGGAACTGGCATTATGAAGCACCTCTTTGGTGCTAGGGCAATTACCCATAGTGGAGCTACCAGTAGTCTCCGATTTCTCATAATCTCCTGTATTCTCCAAATTTCTACTACGAACTTCACAACCAGACTCCTCTTTACAAACAGACTCATCCTCAGACAAATCACCCGACGATGGCAGCCTGAATTTCCAAACCGAAACATTAGGCAGCCGCCGCCGTTTAGGAGAAGAGTCCGCGGCCGCAACATCGCTGCCACATCTGGGAAGGGCGCGCTTTTTCCCTGAGCAACGCACTCCCGTCTTACGTCCAGAAGGAAACTTGGGTCTCCCTGGCTTGACCGATTCCGGTTTCCTCTTTAGCTCCCCCACCAACTGGCCATCACGTGAATCACCAACACTAGCCTGATTAGAGATGGCCACAGCCAACATCGCCGTCAGCCAAGCGAGGAGGAGATGCCCCATACGGAGGCAAAGAACGAGGAGAGAGGAGAGAGCTCCTCTCATCATTTTTTTTTTTTTAACACGATTTTTTTTTTTTAGGAAAAGAAGCATTACTTTTATCTTTCCAATTTTATGTCGATTCAAGACAAAAAAAGGTAACTAATATTTTTTTATTATAAAAAGTAGGTATTAATCCCAAAACCGTCGCTTCGGTTTAGGCGGTTCTGCCGGTTAGCCGGATGAACCGGTTAAAACCCGGCCGGCCAGTTTCCTTATTGCTTAGAGGGAGTCTGAACCGGGTGAGTGTCCGGAGCCGGTTAGCCGCGGTCTGACCGGCCGGTCCGGCCCGGTTTTGATAACACTGGTTTTACCAATCATTTTGCTTTTACATAGAAGCTAGACTTTGATTGCATTAAGTGGGAGAGATACATATATGATAGTTAACACTTCCTTACATTAAGATTTCACTATGACAATCTTTTTTATTCTGTGAGGCTGGGAGGGAGTGAAGGGAGCTACGACTTTATCTACGTTGATGCTGACAAACTCAACTACTGGAACTACCACGAGAGGCTGATGAAGCTGGTAAGGGTTGGAGGCAATGTAGTCAAAAGCTAGTTTTAAATTCTAAAATCCTACGTTAGATTCTACCCAAGGTACGATAGAAGTCACATACACACATATGTGTGCAACTGTGCATGTGGGTTTGTCTTTGGTGCACCCACTTTTGTGCATTCAATGCACTCGCCTCATAATCGTCACTCTAAGCAGGCGATTCATGTGGAAACGATGTTAATCGTCACTTGTAGTATGATGGACAAGAAAATAAGTGAATTTTTATTGTTTACAATGGATTTTTATTCTTACAACAAATTATACTGTTAGTTTCTAAATAAATTTATTATTAACCAAAATTCCATTATTTTTATTAAAAATATTTAACATGTCATCAATTCGCATTATGAAAAGGTTCTGCAAGGTTAGCGGACTTTGACTTAATAGTTAATCATATGTTACTTTCTAATTATTAGACCACACATTATGAAAGATTTATGTAACAACATTCTATAGCAGTTTCATAAGCAACACTCTATAATATTTACATAAATTATAAATTCATTCTTAAAATTTATAGACACTATATAAACTAAAATTTATAGCAAGATAGCTGTTATGCAAGTAAAGATATGAATTAGCCATCCGTAATGATTAAAAAACCACGTAAATATCATGAACAGAGAATCATTTTATATGTATCAATTAATAAAAAAAAAATAAGTCTTCCATAACGATTAAACAATACGTAATTCTCATATAGTGATAATTATTTATTATGTATCACTTAAAAAATGAATTACGTATGTTATTTATAATAATTAAGACACTCGGTAAAACTTACGTATATATCTTATCTGAATAATTTTGTAAATTATTCGATTTCAACTAAATTATTAGTTTCTTGCTGCGGCCATGCCAAAAAAACTAGTGCTGGTATTAATTGCCACAACACAACCCCGTATGACTGAGAATAGAATAGAAAGCCACCGGTGAGAGGAAGCATGAAACGTTGACAGAGTTCCACCGGAAGGCATTGACGCTTCCGACGTTAGAATTCCTCCCTGATTGACAGACTGTGAAGGTCGGTGAAGGTGACCGGCTTGTGCTTTGGACTCGATTTGTCAAAACAAATTTGCCAGTACGGACCATCAAGGCCATTGAGAACAGAGCATACTAGATCTTCTTCGAATAGGAAAAACAAGAAAAATTTGCAGCTGGACAGATAGCAGAATAAGAGAAAGAAATAAAGAAAGAAAGAAGTGGCGAAGAGGCTCGTAAGAGTTAAAAAAAATGCTCTGATGCATAAAATTGCTGCTGAATCAGGAACAGAAAAAGGGTAACAGCAGAATATATCTTCTTTCACTCATGGATCGACTCTGTTTCAGGATAAATGGCGGCACGACAAGCGCCTCCCGCGAAACTTTCTCTTCGATCGGATCTGCCTCAAGATGGAGGACCCTTTATTTTTTCTTTTCCTAGGTGCTGAATTTTGGATTTTGGGTTCTGGTTTATTGAGTGGAAGGAAGAAGGACGTTTGAGGACTCTGTTTGGCTTTACTATTTGACCAAGCATAATCCTGGAGCCGGACCGTAACATTTATTCATTAAAAAACAAAAACAGCGATGATGTCGATGTGAAATCCAGTTGGGCTGCTATTCCTCGGCACCAAAAAAACCAGCATCAAAATGGCATACTTGATCTTGATGTACAACAAACTGAATGAATGGAGATTCCCCTAAAAAAAAAAAAAACATGAACGGAGATTCCATACTTTGTTTGTTGTTCCATGCATAGCCAGCTTCTCCTTATATATGTAGGAGCGTCGCAGACCTTAATCAGCAAGACCTCAAACAAGAACAAAAACCAAACAGCACAAACATGTTCAGGCAAGCCCATAACAATCTCGTTGTGAAACGTGGGGAGCCGGTAAAGGTTTCCCCGCCCCAAGAGGAAACTAAGGAGAAGGGCGTCTTCTCTCTGTCAAACCTGGACCACCTCGTATGCTGGGTGCGTACGATTTATGGGTTCAGGTCCGACGAGAGAGGAAACCAGATGGCAGGGGAAGTGTTTGAAACCGCCCTGAGGAAACTTCTCGTTCACTACTACCCATTAGCAGGCAGACTGACGGTCGTCTCCGAAGGGAAGTTGGCCGTGAGTTTCTATGAACAAGGTGTTGTTTTCGTGGATGCCGAGGCTGACATTGCCATGAAAGATGTTGAAGACATGGTGAGGACGGATCCGAGCAAGCTCGTCGAATTGGTCTACGATGATGGCATTCACTGCAATGCCAAGCCTTTACCTGAATGCCCTCTTTTGGTCGTCCAGGTACAATTTATAAGGAAAATTATCAGATATACTTATGTGGTCTCTCTCAATTATACCATCCAATTGATGAATAAAAAAAAAAGTTGTTTGTGCATAGGTGACGAAGCTCAAATGCGGAGGATTCGTTTTGGGAATCTGCATCAGTCACTGCCTGGTCGATGGTTTTACAGCGACAGAGGTGGTGAACTCGTGGGCAGAGATCGCGAGAGGACTGTCGATTTCTACGCTTCCTTGTTTGGACAAAAGGACTTTGCTACCACGTAACCCGCCAAAGGTCGAGTTCGCTCATCCGGAGTTTATCGAGATGGAAAACAGGTCACCCAGCAGTGACCAGTTCTCCAAGGAGAACATGGTGCACAAGGTTTTTCGTTTCGACCGCGAAACGATAAAGGAACTGAAATCAAGAGCCATGGAAGATGATGGAAGAGGAGCTCTCTCCGAGTGCTCCACTTTCGAGTGCCTTACAGCTCTCGTCTGGAAGGCGCGAAGCAAGGCACTGAACATGGTCGGAGATCAGGAAACCAAGCTCATAGTGCCCGTGAATGTGAGGAACAAGATGGATCCGCCATTGCCTAAAGGGTATTTTGGGAACGGAATTGCTTCGGCTTGTACGACCAGTAAGGTCAGGGACCTGCACAACAAGCCATTTTCAACTACGGTGGAGCTTGTTCACGATTCAATCAAGATGATTACAGATGCTCGTGTGCGGTCGTGGATCGATTTCTATGAGCTGCATAGAACTATACATCCTCTGGCTCATACGATGATCGCAACGACTTGGTCTAGAATTCCCTTCTGCACCACTGATTTTGGATGGGGAGATGCTATCCTTATGGCGCCGGTGGCATTGCCCTGTGATGAGATGGTGATATTTATGTCGGATTATGAAAAGGACCAAAGTGGAGATATACGAATTTTTGTGGGTCTGCCGGAATCGGCTATGAAAAACTTTCAGAATCTTATGATGATTTAGGTGTCGATCCAATTCGGCTAAAGTGTCTACAGGCCCGTTTGTAAGAACTTGGTTACAACGCGCCCATAATCATTTGATCGAGTGTAATGTGTATTATGATCGCTGGTTGAACGCGATGACAATTTAGAAAATCATCACGCGTTCATTCGTGGAACATCCACCACAAAATCGAATGACTATGAGCACTGTACATACGTCTTTACAAATGATGCCGTAAACATCATAGTCAAACAATGAGACACTCTTCTTTTCTTTGTTTTTTTGGATTGTTGTTCTTAAGCTTAGTGTTATCTCGAGAGATTTCTTTTCTTGTGTTGGGCCTTTTCATCTCTTTGTTCTTTTCTAGTTGAGTTTTTCCTTTGTGTTTTGTGGCGAGTGGGCTAAATTATTGAGTAATACTATCATTTTCATTGCACTTACAAGAGATCATTTTGTTTTTGTTTGTTAGTAGATGGCAAATTGTTATTGTAAAGCGAATAGTAAACTATCATTTAAGACTCTGATAGCAATTTAAGGGATGGTGATGGCAACCGTGCATTTTTCCATGAGTCAATAAGAATCAAAACACAACTAGCGTCTTGTAATATCTATTGTTTACCCTATGTATGACCACAAAAAAAAAAAAAAAATTAAAACACAGAGGCAGCAAATTACAGTAGAACACAACCGTATAAAATTAAGGGTAAATACAATATATTAGCCACAAGTATTAAAAAAGGGAAATTATAGTTATAACTATCAAAATGCAAATTATTAGCCAAACGTTAAGTCTCTGTTAGCCATTCCGTTAGTAATGTTGACTAAGTTTTTACGATCCTGCTGGCTCCCACGTGGCAGACAGTCAGTGGCGGAGCCAGAAAATTGACCTAGAGGGTGTTTTTATCATATCATAAAAAATTACTTATATAATAGAAAAGTCAACTCTAAATGAAAAAGAAAGTCAACAACGCAATACTCTAAATTCATACAATTACATAAAAATAGTTTCACGTACACCGGTTACAACGTCAAACAAATAAGTTTAGTACATATAAGTCAAGACTTATATTCATCAAATATTACAAATCAGAACTCAGTAGTACCTCTGAATTGATTTTGTGAAACAAACAAGTGAACTTCAATTGGTACTTCTTCACTTTCAGCTTTGTTTAAACAAAAGACGAGATTCCTCTGTTGTAAAGCTACAAAAGAAATGAGCAAGTTTAAACAAAAGACAACATTTTATTACTATAAATAAAGACGAAAGTGCATTGTATAACAAAACTCACTTGGTCCAGATGGTAAGGCATAGGCGGAGGCAGGGCTATTTGCCCTTGTCCCAGGACAGGGGTAAATTTGGGAAGGAAAAAAATACATCATATATATTTATATTGATGGTGGAACATAATACGTATTGTTGGCATGAGAGTATTTTGTCACTGTCACACAACTCATTACTTGTTAATAAATTGACATAAAAATAATTTATTGTACTATAAATGAAGTTCTTATTGTAATAAAGATCTAGTCGGACCTCTTTTCTCTCAATACCTATTCGATTTTTCAACTATTTTTTATTCTACCAATTGCAATTGCAAGGGTAGAAATAGCATTTTCAGTTTATTAAGAACAAGTATCAAAGTCGATTTGGCAATCAATTTGCCAATGATTGTTTAGTGGGATACATTGAAAAGACTTTAATAGTGTAGATGACGAATGTTTTTGCGTTTCTTTCACAATATGGAATCTTGTCGTGGTTGTTTATGAAAACAATGATTGTAGTAGTTAGGTTATTTTTTTATATATTAATGAATTATTTTGATATAATTAATTTTCATTATATTTATTAATTAAATATTTATTAAATTAAATATAATTAAATTATATTATGAAAAAAGGACAGGGGTAGTATCGAATCCTGCCTCCGCCACGCCACTGTGGTAAGGAACTATCCTTACTACTGAATGGTCATGGTTTGACCCAATATCTGCCTCTACTGGGGGAATTTTTTTCAAAGCCACCCCCTCCTCTCCAAGTTTCTCCGCCACTGCAGACAGTATATTATATTTATAATTTTAAAAAATAAATTATTAGATAGTTAAAAAAAATGAAAGAAAAAAAATTCTTCTTCTGCCCTCCATCTCACCTCCGTCGTCGCCTTCTCTCTGCCTCTGTCACCGCCTCCGCCGTTGGTCCTCCATCTCACCGCCTTCGCTCCTCCTCTCTGTCTCTATCATAGCATCTACCGCCGAGGCTTGGCTCCAACCCCTACCTGAATAGGAGCAGTTCAAGTTGTTATCTCCTCCACGCTCAAAAGTCAAAAGAGAGAAGAAACTGTGTTGCTCGTCGTCTTCCTCCACCTCTTTTTTACGAAACCACAACTTAAAAACCCAACAGATATGAGATTTGTAGATCTCCGACGACCTCGCAAATTCCGTCCAAACCGACAACGTCATCACAAATGGCCATCATCCTCGGACACAATTGGAGATTAGAGATGGTGGTCACGAATTCCCTTTTCTTCCTTCCCTCCCATCGTCGTCGATTGGAAACCCCACAAAAATTGGAAAACCCAGAATCAAAGATTCGCCTTTGTTATTCTCTTCCTTCTTCTCTGCAAATTGGTCATTCACAGCCGACCTGACCTCCGCCCTAATTCCATATTGTAATCAGAGAATGAAATGGTGAAAGAGATAAACGAAAATGTCGATTGAACGAAATGAACATGCAGTTAGGGATTTTGACTTGAGAGTCAAAATTCGCAATCAAACCGGTTGGATCCTATTGGTCAAACCCCTAACTCGCTTTATTTAATGGACAGGAATTCGACCGAGTGGGCTTCACTAAAACAAGCCCAAGAATCATATGGATTGATTCGAAATCTGTTCTAGTCACGGCCCAGGCTCGGAGAAGAAGGAACTGAACAGATCGTCTTCTTCACCAAGCCAGAGCTGTGTCGAAACAGAGGAATGCAGAACAGAGTATTGGAAGAAGAAAGAGAGCAGCTGAAAGTAAATTGCACAGCGAGATTTTAACGAGGTTCGCCACAGGGCTACTCCTCGTCCCAGGATAGTACCACTATCCTGAGAGACACATTGATTTTCTTTATATGACTCGAGCAACGAACAAACAAAGCAAAGAAGTTACAGACTCTGGTAAGAAAATCAAAATGTCACAAAGCTAGACCAGAATTCACGCAGGAATTCTTTACACCCTTTGATCAAGCTGAACCTGTTCCTCAGCTTGATTCAAAGCCACTGATTCCCAAACCTAATCCCTTGCCCTTTGCCACAAAGAAATTCCTGTTTGATTCAGTACCGATGCCTTCCCCTGCTGCTCCTTTAAATAGTCTTTGTAGGAGACGTTGATGTTTGAATTTGAGCAGAAAGGGTAAGTTGAGCAGCTGGCCCTTGATTCGTGGTTGATTGATCAGCTGGCCCTTGATTTGTAATTGATTGATCTGCTCCCCCTTGATTGATGATCTGGCAATCTCCTAACTTGCTCCTTACCATCTCAACACATATTTGCCTTCTCTAAACCTCTAGATGGAGAGAGATGTGAAGCTTCTCAGTCACAAATGTGTGAGGCGAGAGGGAGTTTCATACTGTAATCCCACCGCCCAGGTGCGATGCAAGAGAGTTTCCAGCTCCCCATCGTCGTTCCCGTTCATCTGTCGTCGTTTGAGATGACATCTGCAACTATGGTTGTTAATGAGCCACGCTATTTGGTAACGGCTCGGTCTCAAACTCGACAATAGCACGTTCGATTCAATAAAAGCTCGACCCGTTTATTAACGAGTTGAGCTTGAGCTCAACCTTGTTCGGCTAGTAAACTAGCTCGATTAGGTGGCTTGTTGAGTTCGACTCATGAACTATCTCATTTTGAGCTCATGAGTGATGAGATGTCTCAACATTGTAATTAACGAACCAACTTGATTACGGCTTGTGGGAAAATCGATCTATATCTTATGAGTTGGTTTGTTAATGATGCATATATTTATTAAATTGTATATCACACCTCATGTGATGTTTAATAATTTGAGCATGTGAGCAAATATGTCTCATATATGACATGAAGATCGGTTAATCACATGTATCATATATGACATATAAATAATTGGATATTTAATTCATAAATTATCTAAGAGTTGAGCTTGGGCCAAAATTTGATCTTAATTATGAGCCAAGATTAAATAAATAAGCTGGTTCGTGTTCGGCTCGACTCAGCTATTTCATAAACGAGTCGAGCTCGAGTTTGGCTCGTTCATAAATGAACTAAACCTGAACAAGGCAAAACTCGACTCTGCCCATTAACAGCCCTATCTGCAGCTGATTCTTAATTTTCTTCCCGCTCCTTGTCGTCGTTCCATTCATCCCGTCACTACTCTCATATGCCATTAGCCGTTGATTCTTCTCTTTACACTCCTGTGAGGCTGAGGGAGGGAGAAAGAGGTTCGATTGATGGGAGAAAGTGAGAACATGGCTGGTTGGAGAAGAAGGAAGGAGAGAAGTCGTCTGGAGAAGCAGAAGGCTGGTGAAGGAGCGGTGAACTGGGACGGAGAAGGAAAGGAGATAGTTGAGGGGCATGGTTTGTGAAAGCAGGGAAGAAGAACGACGAGAGGGAGGTGGGCAGGGCGGACCTAGGTCTATGGAAGGGGTGTCGTCCGACACCCCTCCGCCCGAAAATTTTGTGAAGGACCTATATTTTTTCGGTACAAAAAATTTTAATTTGAGACTTCCGACACCGCTCCAATAAGTATAAGCGACACACCTTCATTATACGATAATAGTTTTAGTGTTATAAAGTTATTCATCATAATTAGTCATTAACAATAATAAGTAAAATCAAATAAGCATGATTGTTTTAAGTAACCCACAACCCAATTTAACTTGTCAATTTGTAGTTAATAGGTGAAATTGGTAGATTTATGGGAGATTGTGGTTTGATTTTGGTTAAATTGGTAGAACTAGAGGAAAAATGTTAATGATATTACTTTAGGCATACTTTGTTTTGTCTAAAATTGCCAATTGGTAGATCGTGGTTTACTATATTTGATTATAAACTATTTTATTTTAAGTTTTATTTTAGACGTGAGTCGATTCCCTTTAGTTGAGTGACTAATTTATGAATGATTATGTAGTTGTGTATATCGAAAAATGTTTGATTTGCAATATAAGCGATGAATGTATTTTAAAAAAAATTCAGGATATGAAAAATCGTCATAATTCGTAGTAAACACGACGTTGTTAACTTATAAAAGAATTTTCAGTAATTTCTATTCAACTTTTATTTTTATTTAATTATTTTATTTAATATAATTTTTTATCGGCGACACCCCTCTTCAACGATCCTGGGTCCGCCACTAAAATAAAAATAATATTTTTATTATTTTAATAATGATTACTTAAATAAAAATAATATTTTTATTATTTTAATATTTTTTGACGTGGTCACTAATATAAATGTTGACATGGCAGTCTCATTTATAATAGTTATAACAGTAACACACAGTTAGTCATTCCATGATTTTTTTTCCCGGTACTTCATTCCATGATTCGCTACAATAATGGATGCACTTAAAGTGATTTGCGTTTAACTATTAAAAAATTAAACGGATTGATTCTGTTCTCTGACTATGTATCCGGACTTCGTTCTGGTTTTGAGTCTTTTGACTATGTCAAAAAACAAAAAAAAATTATTGCTTGGACCAGTGGAACCCTAGAACTCCTAGGGTAGGGTTCCAGACTCCATGGGGCGATGGGATCATCACTTACCGCAGGATCTACTGATAACCCTTACACATGTTTTCACCTGAACTTCGTTACTCGTTGGCTTTCAGCATGACTCGAACGATGAATAGAATCATCAGTAGCTTGACTGAGGCCATTAAGGCATTAACATGATGATTCATTGAAGAGGGCATACTTTTGCCACTGGAACAAGCTTTGCATGCTTTCTGTATTCTATACATAAAGCAAACAACAGACGGATGGATCCAAATCTTGCACTGGCCATTATAACAGATCTAGAAAAAGATTGATCAGTAACACGAACTAATCAAAGCACAACTTGAACAGTAGTTATTTTTCAACAGAGAACTTTCACTTCAGAAGGATTTCTCTACTTGTGCCCGAATATCCAGTCTATTACAGAGGATCTAGAAAGCAGATCTAATGAAAGTAACCAAGAACCTGACCCCCGACATTCCGCTTAATTGCCTCCTCGTGATCCAGCACGCCGTCCGGAGTCGTGATCACTACATAACCCCACTGCATCACAGGAGGAGAGATCAGAAGAAAACCCACAAATCAATCAAAATATCATGTTTAGATTGGGGGGCATGATGGCACAAAAGAAACTTGAGCCCAGACCTGACGTGTCGGAAGAGTATGCTTTGTGTAAGTCTCTATGTCCTTTGCTTTGATGTCTTGTCTGTAAGTAAGCGCCTTGCAGTCTCTTACCCTCCCTTGTAATTCAACCGATATCCTTCCCACTCGATGTGGATCAAATACTTGATAATTTTTAATGTATCCTGTAAAAGTTCAAACATATGAGTTGAAGAGACTCAAACATAGCAAACAAAAGACCCCAGTTTGAGCTTTCAAAGAGGAGATAGAAGAGTACACAAAACCCGCTACTAAGGCTGATAAAGAACTTCTTTTTCTAGTCTGAAGCAAGGAAACAGACAATAAATGTCACGGTCTAAGACTAACCACAAGAGTGAGCCAAGTCTTAGTTAACTATCAAAGCTAGGTAATTAGATCAGAATACAGCACGAAACCTAAGTTCTAAATAAATTCTGATACTTGCAGGTGCCATACGACAGCAATCATCCAGTCGGCTGAAATACTCTCAGGTCTTAAGTGAGTTGATGTCACCCAAGAAGATCCAAAGCGCTTAACAAAAAACATGGATAACAAATTTCTACTATATCTTCCGACGAAGTTGCAGTTTGCATCCCCTTCACTCCCACGGGATCCAAAGCAGCAACTGCTGACTAGATGCTGAGACCAGATCTTCTTATGACGTACTGCCCCTCCCATCTCACACCTTGTACTGGTTTCTCATCTATGCATCTCCCAAGAAGTTGACAAATTCTAGCTAAAACAACAACTAAAAAAGCCAGTTCTACGAACTAAAAAACTTGCTGTTGTAAAATTCACCATACTTGCATTGAAATGGTGGAGTCCTGTTCTGCTGAGATATTTATAATCTTCAACAGCAACAACGGGAGACAAAATGCAAAGAGGGACAGTGCAACAAAAAGGGGGTTTCCCAGTGCTATCTAATTCGAAAACACTTGCGTTATAACTTATAACCCTATAGGAAGTTACTTGCTCACCCTAACCCAGCCATAGAGATACGAATCTACCTGAAATAAACACACTGTTCCCTCAAAAGTCGATGCAACTCTCCAGAATTTCTAAGAAAGACTTTCCATTTTAACTGCATTCCCATTGTAAAGGCTCTCCATTCAATTTGAAACCTCAATAGGCAAAGCACGTACAACCCATCGTAATGGCTAAAAGGTATCAATCAAAGCAACGAAACACCATGGCCAGTCACTCTCAAATCTCTAATTACACTAACCAGCTCAATTTAGCCGCCACACAGTCCCTAAAATGAAATGCATCTCGATTCTAAGCTGAAAACTGGAGACACCCAATTGAAGTATCGCAACCTCAGAACGAGACAACAAAATCTGATTGGGGAAATTAGATCCAGAAGGAGATAGTTAGTTAGTTAGTTAGTTATTTACCTCGATCTTTCATGATCTTGAGGAAAGACGACATGACGGTGGAAATCGGCTTGAGCTCCACCGATGCCTTCCCTCTCTTTTCCGCATTCACGATGGCCCTCAGCGCATCGTTCAGTATCCTCCTTCCCATCTCCCTCTCTCTCGGGAACGCGAAGCCTGCCTGTAACAGAAAAACCCCAGAAGCTTGACGGAAGAACCGACGATGGACGCGGCAGTCGGCAGAGGGTTTATCGTTCCGTCTCAGTCTGGTGGCACTTTAGGTAATTTCGAGAAATTTGTGGCCATTTACGAGAGAGTATGATCCTCCGAGTTGGGCTGGGCCGAGTTTACGGGCCTGAGTTCCGGGCTGGTGGCCTCACCTGCCGGGAACAGGTTCCAAAACACTCATTCTTATGCCCCGTTCACTTCTCATTTTGTTTTCTGTTTATTGTTGTGAAAATGAAAATAAAGAAACAAACGGCAAGAAACATGTTCACTTCTGATTTTGTTTTCGTTGGAAAAATTGATTTGGCACAAATGAGAAAGCTAGAAGGAAACCATTAAAACTCGTTTCCTGGAAATGTTGGGGCGGGTTATTCCCCCATTCCCAGCGGAAAATTGACATTATTCATAAATGAGGTCTTCACTTCGATCCGTCACAGGGACAATTTTTTTTGCTTCTCTTCTCTTTTCCCAAAAGCTCCCCGGCCGTCACCTCGAACCCTGCTCCCCGCGCCGCGACGCCTCCTCCCCGCACCTCGACCCAGCCGCGATGCCAACTCCCCGCCTCCCTCTCAGCGTGCCTCTTCCCACTGATCTGGAGCACGCCGACGAATTCTCCCCGCCGGGAACTAGAGACGATGAGGGCAGATTGAGAGGGAAATCCCTAAATGGATCCCAAGAATCCATAGCTGTAAACAGGTCCTCCCCGGCCGTCGCCTCGAACCCTGCTCCCCGTGCCGCGACGCCTCCTCCCCGCACCTCGACCCAGCCGTGATGCCAACTCCCTGCCTCCCTCTCAGCATGCCTCTTCCCACTGATCTGGAGCACGCCGACGAATTCTCCCCACCGGGAACTAGAGATGATGAGGGCAGATTGAGAGGGAAATCCCTAAATGGAGCACGCCGACGAATTCTCCCCTCCGGCGACAACCAGCCCCGCTTATGAGAAGAGAAGCAGCGCCGTCGAATCCTTCCTCCAGCCGGCGAAATCAAGCAGCAGCGACGCCATTCTTCACCGTCATGGAGAACCTACAGCCGGTTGACATTCTCCAAGCTTCGAGCCTCTCCCTCCGACGAAACCTCTCCTCCTGTACTCGTCAAATTTGCTGAAGTTGTTCCTTGTTTGTTCCTAATTTGTATAATTAGTTGAGCTGTTACAAATCCCCTTAGAGCAATAATTGTCGATTTCAGAATCAAAGAAAATTAGCACTTATGTTGTATGTGTAATTGTTCTATATATTTAATGAAAATGACGCATTAGTGTAACATAATGATGGCTAGGGTTGTATGATAATCAAGAATCAGAAAACAGAATGAAGCAACTAAACAGGTTTTCATTTTCAGAATTCAGCTTCAGGACTCACCAAAATTCTCAGCTAAACAAGGTTTTTTCAGGTTTTGTTTTCCAGGAAATGACAGCTTCGTTTTCATTTTAATTTTGTTTTCTGTTGTGGCAGCTAACAGAAATGGAATGGCAAGTGTATAATTTCCCCTTTTACATGTTAATCTTGTAGTGTTGTGCTTAAAAGCACTTAATCTTGTGTTATTATGAGCTTGCCTTTGACATGAACAGTCTCTGAGTACGTTTAAGACTTCAAATAAAACCATCCTTGTCCACACACTAATTATCCATGCTAACAAGATGAAGATGTAACTTTGTTTGAAGAAAAATATCCGTGGGGGTACAATGTTGTTCTACCCACATCTCTTGATCCATCATACATCACATTTCCTACTAATGTGCTTCTCCAACACCACACTCCCTCCGTACTATTTAATAGTTCTTATGCCTACGAAAGTATTTAGTATGTTTGGTCACTCACATTACTCATTTTTAGTTACTAAAAATATTTAATTTCATCCATGGTCATTAGGTTTACTAAAACATGTGATGTTTGGTCTCTCTCTGTCAAACTCCGTTAAATTTGTCTGATGTGTCAGTCAACTATCATAATTGACCGTTAAATGTATGATGTGGGAATAAAAAATTAATTTTAAATTTCCAGCTCATTATCTTTACCATTAAAAATAAAAAAATATATATTCATTTTGATTCCCTGAAGCTAACGAACTAATCTCACCTCTCTTTCTCAAAATTAATTCAAGATTTGTAGATCCCGAGCACGGATTCTTGATTGTGCACTAGATTCGGATCGTTCAACTAGAATCCGACCCCTGAATGAGCGGCCAGTTCCCCCACCACCTCCAAGCCACGTGGCGGAGTCCCAGTCCTGACGGACCCTCGATGTCTCTACCAGATTCAACCAAACCAGCTTTCAGCAACCTACGATTCTCGGAGGACGACGGAGAGTCGTTGAAGCCCACGCCAAAAGATGCTTGTTAGGGACAATGTTGCATCTCGCCTAAGCCCAAAACCACGCGATGCCGTCGACGCCGGCGTCGGGTGGTTCCCCGAAGAATTAACCACACATGTCCTTCGCAGGCTTCCCTCTGCATTCACCGATTCTGCTTCGTCTACAAATCGTGGTGACGACTTCTCTCCAATCCCGATTTCATCCGACAAATTCTCTTCGGCGAAACCAGTCACCACCGCGACGACGAGGCTCAGATTCTGGTCATGGGCAAGGACGGCGGGCAGAGTGGCAGACCCTATACTCCATTCTCTTCCCCCGTATCTTCCCTGACTAAGATCTCCTACCGTAATCCAAGAATCGTAACTTTTCAAAACTATTCCTCCCAACCGCAATTACTATAGTGACTTTTCCCCAAGGTGGTGCTTGACAAGGTGAAGGAGGTCTCGTGTTTGGATGCTCGTGGTGGGGCCATTTTGAGGGAGATCAAGGTGTTGAGACAATGCTTTCTCCATTCTAGTGTTTTTTTTTTGTTGGACGTGCTTCGTAATCGGGTGGCCTATATGGTGGCCAGAAAAGTCCTTTCATTGTTCCCTAGTTTGATAGGGTTCGATTTTCGTTCCTGGCTATGATCGGCTAATTGACTTTAGTGTATCTTGATTATCTCGTTCTATACGAAGTATTTTTGGAGGAAAAAAATTCTAACAGAAACTCAGGAATAAGGAATAAATTTTGAATCCCTCCAATTTTACTGAATTTTTTCCCCCACCCTCTACTTTTCCTCGCTCATGAACACAAGATAGGGTTGTGTGCACATCGCCCATCAATCGATGCATAACCGCTCCACCCATCTTGAGTGCTACCATCCAACCTCTTCTAAGTTCCACCCGTTGAATTTAATTCCCTTTTCTACCAAGTAACAACCCCAGCGACTTTGAGAGGAATGGAGCCCCACTGATAATGAATGCCATGAGCAACTAACTAACTAACTATTGGCCCCTAAACTGTGGTGTTTTCTTAGGTGGCCCTTGAACTTAAAAACATCTTATTACCATAATCCCACCCTTTATTATTCGTCAATTCATTGTTGAATTTGTGTCTTACAGCTGATAATCTATCGGTACAAGATATAACCGATAAGACAGAGCACACGATAAAAGAGTGTATTGAATGGAGATTAATAACCATACATCCTGGATATGATTCACAAATCACAATTAGTGTTTATTGACTCATATTATATATCTTTCGGGCTATATTTCTTTCTTTTTAATTCAAAAAGTAAAAAGGATTAACAATCATGTAAAGTTTTTCACAGTAAAATTTTATGAATTATATCTTTTTCGTTTTAATTCAAAATTTAATATATTTTTAATAGAAAACTCAGGCTCTTGAAAATTACAGCCTCTCTGATATATATTCGAACAAAATTATTTTTAGGTGGTACGATTTTTGTAGATCACAAAAAAAGTTCATGTTCATAAATTGACTAACCACCTGAACCGTATAGGATATGTCAGGCAAGGTTTGGGTCTAATATTACAAGCTCCCAACAACATTGCAATAACGAGAGCCATTCGAGAGCAGCTCCACATCAGACTGTCTAAAGCCGCAGGTTCTCCATAGGAGTAAATGGCGTGTATGGTTTTTCCGCTCAAAATATGTCACAAATTGATATAATTTTGTAGATGACAATTAACTCGATCGATCTGTGTAAACAACTTCAAATTTTAAGTTTAAAAAAAATAAAAAGTATTTTAATCCCACCCTTAGATCTCACTCCAGTAAAAACCAAGAGGCGAGATACGGTTTACGCATACTGCCCTATAACTGTGTGTGTTGCACCTTTAGTTCTATATATATACTCAAGCCAACCTGTCGGGTCAATCAACGAGCTGGGGTCAATGAACGCGAGACTTGACTTGGATTACTGAGTTGACGAGTTTAACATAGTTTCGAATAGGGCATGAATGGAAATGACCACTTCGTCATACATCCAAATTTGTGTTATCGAACAGTATACGAACAATTTTTTTTTTCTTCTTACCTTCCCCTGTTCTGAGTTCTACATTAGTTACGTAACCTACTCCCTGCTTCTTTCCCTACCTAACCCCAATGATTGACATTGCCAATAAGTGCAATATCTATATCTCTATCCTTCTGCTCATCACATGTGCTACTACTAAATACTCTCCAACCATATTATCATTTCCCTCGTCTTACTCTTTCCTAATTCCCTATAGCATTTCTCTGCTTCTCCAGTTCGTTTCCAAACAAAGATGGAAATGCCAGCGGTAATTTTACCCAACCCACATTTGTTGCAGAGTGACCACCTGTTCAAGGTTCGTTATTCCTTAATTCGATCCCGGCGAGCTGAAAACTGGATTAACTTGAAGTTTATGGATGCTCTAATTGTCTAACCATATGCCTTCCCTTAATCTCGCAGTACATATTGGAGACGAGCGTGCACCCGAGAGAGCCACAAGTTCTCAAGGAGCTCAGGGATACTACCGACGCCACAGATACCGGCCGGTACTATTACATAATTACCCTAATCATAGTACTAATGAACGATTAATGTTCTTAATTAAACCCTTTCTGTCAATTCGTTTTTTTTTTTTTTTTGGTGCTTGGTAAAAATTGTGGAAGCTAGGTCTTCAATTGCTTTGGATCCACACTCTGGGCAATTTGTGGGTATGCTGCTGAAGATGCTGAATCCAAAGAGAACCCTTGAGATTGGGGTCTACACTGGCTACTCCCTTCTTACTACCGCTCTTTCTACTCCTCCTGATGCCAAGGCAAGCCAACTTTGATTTCTATTTCGTAAACAAATGATTCTCAATAACTCGATCGAGCTGGTAAGATATGTTTATATGTGTATGAATTTTTATTGGGAATGTCAATTTGAATCCGCGCCCCATCTAGTATTCACCCGATTTGCAGTATCGTGGGGGCCTGCCCTGTATCCCGACCCGTCTCGTTCTTGATATCATTTTCTCTCAACATCTATTTGTATTTCTCCGATTTTTCACCCTATGAAAATTTGAACAGGTGCAGGACTTTCTTTCAACTAGTAATAATATGACTCAATTACCAATTTCATTATCACTATTCTTCATACACGGAATGTTTTGCCTTCGTTTTTATCGTGCACAAAAGGAATTCGATTTTTTTCTTCAAATAACATGTGAGAACTGAGAATTGGTCGATCTTTCTCACCCTATATACTCGCGTGAGTATTACCCGACCTGGCCCGTACTTGACGCACTGAAATGGGTATAAAAATTAAAATACCCACCTCACCCGTTTGTCATTACTAATCTTAACCACTTTCTTACACGATTTTTTCCCCAGATCACGGCGATAGATCCGAAAGTGGAATGGTACGAGGTGGGGCTGCCCTTCATTAAAAAGGCAGGAGTCGAACACAAGATTGACTTCATCCACTCGATAGCACTTCCCGTTCTTGATGATCTCCTCCTCCAAGTAAGAACCAATAATTAACCAACCTGCTTCGTTTCTTCTATGTATAATTACGTGATTTAGGCACGCTGGCTGATGATTTCACTGAGCTGGGCGCAGGGGGGAAATGAAGGGAGCTTCGATTTTGCGTTCATCGACGCGGACAAGCGCAACTACGGCAACTACCACGAGCGGCTGATGAAGCTGGTGAGGATCGGCGGCGTGATGGTCTACGACAACGTGCTGTGGGGAGGCACGGTGGCGAGCCCCGACGGCGACGGTGTCCCCGACCACATGAAAAAGAACATGGCGATAGCGATTGAGTTCAACAAGAAGATCGCTGGCGACGACCGCGTCGAGATCTGCGTCGCCCCAATCGGTGACGGCCTCACCATCTGTCGCCGGATTTCTTGATCAATACTTCATTGCTTGCTGATGGAACCATGTGTTCCTTTCCTTTGTGTTGTCGCCGGAGAATAAAAAAAAAATTGATATGATATGCTCTTTCATTATATCGCTGCTAATAGCCTCTTTGTTTGTAGGCTCGTGAATTAAGCTCATGCTTGTTGCAAGTCCGGGCCAAGATCAGGTGACTAAGGGTCCCCTTAGTCACTTGGCTAAGTCAATCTCAGCCATTACACCTCATTAAAATCTAATGGCTATAATTGATCCAATTTAATGAATGACATTATAGTAATTACATTATTATTTAATTTATTAATTAAAACAATAAAAAAATCAGCGGCTACCTACCTTCCTTCCCGCGAGTCCCTGCCGGCGGAACTTCTCGTACGGTGGTGCCGGTCCCCGCCGTGTGAGAACCCCGCTTCTAGGGATCTCGATGATGATCTTCGGCACCCGTGAGATTGGGATTTAGGGTTGAGATTAGGGATTTAGATGAGATAGAATAGAATTGGGAATCGGCCGAAGCCTTGGACTAGGCGAGAATAGAAATTAGGAGTTGAGAGGAGAACTTAGGGTTTAGGATACTTTTTGTAATATTGTTCTTGATTGATTCTGACGTAAACTCAAGATACATATTTATAGGGAAATACTAGAAAACCCTAACGAATAACCTAATTGGACTAAATCTCTACTAACCATAATTATCATTATCCTACCTAATATAATAATAGAAACCATATATAATTGTGTTTCTGACAATCCATCCCCCTTGAGAACAACCTTGACCTCAAGGTTGTAGTTGACTTCTACCTCTTTGACCTTCCGCTTTCTTCGTTTCCAATTGCGCTTGATTCCTTGAATCAACTCTTCTCGCGCAACTCCCACTTTCCTTGTCTCTTCTCCACCTACGTGACACATGTCACGTTCTCCATAGCCGAACAATTCTCCATTTTCTCTTTCAAAGTCCGAGTGCGAAAATTGTTCTTCTTTGTCCTCCATAATTGTCTCCATGGACTTGGAGGTGGAAATAACCCCTAGCTTCAACAAACCTTCATTTCCTACACCTTGGATTTGGCCCACAATTGCTTGGAGTAATGAGGTGTTCTTCTTCTTCTTAATTTCGTTTGGGCTTGTAAGCCCACTTGCCAACCTCATAACTCCTTCCTTCTTTTCCTCCAAGCCCATCTCTTTTAAATCAGAGCCCACGTTGGGCTTAAGTTCTCCTTCCTGGTTTGGCCCAATACTACATAAGAGAGCTCTCACAAGACTTCCCTTGAATGGTCTAGGAATCGGGCCCTTCAAAGCCCAACTCGGCTCATATTTCCCTTGAGACCAGATCCCTTTGTTCAGCCCACACCCAACCTTCTTCTCGGCCCGCTTCACCTCTGAACCATCCAAATCTACGGTCAAATTTGCTGGGTCAAGCGAAAACCCAATGGATGCAAGCTTGTGAGATGCAAGCTTGTGACCCAGATCATTGGGCACATCAATCTTCCTTGGCCCAACCGAGATTTGGCTCATCATCCACTTTAGTTCCAGGCCTGGCCCAGTAGGGTAAGCAGCTGCTTCCCTTGGCCTACCTCCCCTTCGCTGCTGCTGTTCGTGCAAGGGAATCAGCCGCCGTGCGTGGTTCGGGAGCAGAGGTCCGCCGCCGCCGTCGTCACCGTCCCTCTTCCTCTCGTCCGTCAGCGAACTCTTCGCCACTTCCCCTGGCGACGAATAACTCGACCGAATGCACGGCAGCCAGCCCGAAGCCGTCGTCTCCAGCGGCTCTCTCTTCGGCGGCGACCCGCCCAGCCGATGACACGGAGATCCGCGCGCCTCCCGCCGCGTCTCAGACTCCTCTTTCTTCTCGACAGCCGACGCTGCCACGGCTGTCCCCGTCATCTTCTTCCTCGCGTTCTCCTCTGTCTCCTTCCCGGTCGGCGCGCCATCCCCGCGACGGCTTCGAGGAGATTTTGGGCCATCGAGGAACGATTTCAGCTCCAATTCCCAACCATTGTCGGGCCTTCTCTTCTTCGTTTCTTCTGATTTCCTTTTCTTTCTAAATTTCCACGAACAACACCTTGGATTGGGAACATACCTTGTTCCTTCCCATTCCCCCAAATCATTTTTTGTACTTACCCACTCCTGTGTAACTATGTTTCCAGAGACATCGAAGTGGCCTTCCTCCTCACCCTTTGCTGATTTGGTTAGCCGCGTGGTGGCTACAGCTGCGGCAGTTTCTAGCGGCAGCGAGGGTGCTGGTTCGACGCTGCTCGCCGTCTCTTTTGTTGTCATCGGAAGCTCATCAATCTCCGTCTTCCTCTCATCTGGCGGCGAAACGACTCGCAATGATGGTGAGGCCATGTTGGTGGCGGTTGGTGACGACGTAGGGAAGGAGATTGAAGCTGCAGCCTCTGCGGTGACTTCTTCTTCCTCAATCAACAATTTCCGCGTAGCCTGCGAGTTGATGATTTTCGGAACCTTGATGGTGAAACTGCCTTCTCTGAAGCTAGCGCGACATTGTGAGACATTGTAGATTTCTCCGAATTCGATTTGCTTTTCGAAACGGATCCATCTGCATTCGTAACCCAACGAACGCTCTGCTGTAATTGTTAGCACATTTGATTCAATTCTTTGTACATCTAGGTGCTTAGCCTCGAACCCAGGCAAGGAAAAGAATAGCTTGATGCGATGCGGATATTCCTGTTTGCAGATGTTTGGCTCGAAGTCTTCATAGATGCGCTCATCCCCGGTTGAGAGTTGTGATAAACTCATATTGGCAACCGGAGCTTTGGTACGAGTGCCTGTAACCGGGCTCTGATACCAATTGTGAGAACCCCGCTTCTAGGGATCTCGATGATGATCTTCGGCACCCGTGAGATTGGGATTTAGGGTTGAGATTAGGGATTTAGATGAGATAGAATAGAATTGGGAATCGGCCGAAGCCTTGGACTAGGCGAGAATAGAAATTAGGAGTTGAGAGGAGAACTTAGGGTTTAGGATACTTTTTGTAATATTGTTCTTGATTGATTCTGACGTAAACTCAAGATACATATTTATAGGGAAATACTAGAAAACCCTAACGAATAACCTAATTGGACTAAATCTCTACTAACCATAATTATCATTATCCTACCTAATATAATAATAGAAACCATATATAATTGTGTTTCTGACACGCCGCCGTTTTCCTTGCGCCGCTACTTAGGGAGGGATGGGATTTTTAATCCCCATCCATTGATTTGTGCCGCTGCTACAGAGAGAGGGGGTAGGATTTTTAATCCCCATCCATTGATCTGTGCGGAGAGAGAGAGAGAGAGAGATATATATTTTCTGATCGGAAAATTTTTCCGACGAACATCGTCGCCGGAGAAGAATTTCCCGGCGACAGTGCTAATTTTGTGATGTTTGTTGACATATTTTGTAATGTTTGTATGCTTTGTTATTTTGTAATGTTTGTCGGTTTTTTTTGTAATGTTTGTAAACTTTGTTATTTTTGTGCACCATGTTTGTAAACTTTGTTATTTTTGTCAACCATGTTTGTAATGTTTTTTATGTCTAAAAAACAACCTGGTTGACTTTTGGATGGACCTCCTCTATATAGGGATGGAGCCTCCAAAGTCAACCCGGGTGTTTTTTCCAGTTCGTATGGATTGTCGGTCTAGTTTGTCATTTTTGTCCACCATGTTCGTAATGTTTGTATGTCTAAAAAACACCCGGCGGGTTGACTTTGGGAAGGAGCCCCTCTATATAGGGATGAAGCCTCCAAAGTCAACCCGAGTGTTTTTTCCCGTTCGTATGGATTGTCGGTCTAGTTTGTCATTTTTGTCCACCATGTTCGTACTGTTTGTATGTCTAAAAAACACCCGGGTTGACTTTGGGAAGGAGCCCCTCTATATAGGGATGGAGCCTCCAAAGTCAACCCGGTTGTTTTTTTCTTTTTGTATGGTTTGTATTGTTTGTCGGTCTAGTTTGTATTGTTTGTACAGTTCATACGTTTGTAATGTTTGTATGTTTTGTCGCTCTAGTTTGTATTGTTCGCATGTTTGTATGGTTTGTACTGATTGTAAATCCAGTTTGTATACTTCGTAATTTTCCATAATACCCAAACTACCCCTATCATTAATTAAATAGCCCTTCCCACTTTTTAACCATTGGATTGAAGTGTCCAGATCTAAGAGCTGGGAGGTGCTTAGTCAAGTGACTAAGCACCTCCTTAGTCACCGGATCCGCTCTCCATGCTTGTTGCAAGTCCTTACTCCCTCTCAACAAATTTGACCTCATAGTTCAACGCCTGGAGACACCCAAAAAAAAAAAAGGGAAAAGAAAACAAATCTAGAATTTGACTCAATGAATTGATAACTCAAATTCCTTTTCTCCAAACCACGCCTTATCTCACTTAAAATATCAAATTTAGATAATCTTCATCAATAGAATATAATAGCTAATAGGCGTAATATATTTGTATGGTCCGACCTTTTTACAAATTAAATATAATGATTAATCTTTTTGATCTATAATATTGTGGCTTCAACTATGTATCAAAGTTACGAAATTGGTCAAACCCGATATTTAACCATTATCTTAGACGGAGAACGCGTCGCGTCACTGCCAAGTTAGCACATACCACTTAAAATATTTGATTTTTTCCCACCTATTACCATTTATATTTTTCAAAATAATAAAAAAAACAGGCGTTCCTCCCCCCCCCCCCCCCCCTTCTTTTGTTCAAAATAAAAAAGATAAATGATTGAAAAAAACCAAAAGTTTTAAGTGGTATATGCTAACTTGGCAGTGAAGTGGCGCGTTGACCGTCCAAGATAACGGTCAAAGATAACTTTCCCCCCCTTCTTTTGGGTTTGGCCAATTTCGTAACTTTGATGCATAGTTGAAGCCACGATGATATAGATCGAAAAAATTGACTATGATGTTTAATTTGTGAAAAATTCAGACTATACAAATATATTAACCTAATATAATAAGCACTTTCTCAAATTAGCCTTCATGAATTCAAATTTTCTCTTATGCACATCAACATTATTTTCATGTTATTTTATTATTTTTGCTATTTGTGTTTTTATGTTTCAATGCAATTAAAAATAACCATACACATATAATTAAATATAGTCATTTTACTCATTAGTAGAGTATAATAAACACTTTCTCAATTTAGCCTTTGTGAATTCAGATTTTCTCAATTCTTATGCATCCACGTCAGCTTTATTTTCATGTTATTTTATTATTTTAACTAGTTTTACTTTTATGTTTCATTGCAATGAAAAATAACCAAACATACAAAATAGTCATTAGTAGGGTTTAAACTTTAAACCTCCAATCTATAGATGCTACGCTTTGTTTTGTTAAAGGCATTTAACTAGTAAAACAGACTTTATTTGATACTAATCACAAATCTAATTTGATATTAATCACAACATAATTAGAGCTATCATCTCATCATATGTGTTGAACACTTAGCTTTGAATCAATAATCTGTTCACTCCAGTTAGCTAATTATTAATAATAAAATTACCTGGCAATGAGCGGGAACAAAGTTAGTTGACACTTTGACGGTAAATCAATTTTCATGAAATCGATACTCTGTCTACCTAACACTTCATTACTTGATACGATACCCATACTTGTAGAGGATTACGCGCATCATTGAGTCACTGACGAATCGTTACCCATGCCGGCCATGTGCACTCCTACCTTTTAGGGGTGGTTATACGGTACGGTCCGGTTAAATTGGCACGATTGATTCGGTCTCATTCGATTTTTTCGGGAATAAGAACTAAAGATTGGATTGGATACAGTTCGGTCTTGATCCGGTCCGGTTTTAATCCGGTCCCAATTCAGTCTTGATTTTAGATTGACCTTGTGGAAATTTGAGTGGCCTGAGACCTCAAAAGCTGAGGAGTTGGTTAAGTTTTGGGTGTTGGGCTCTCTTATCCAGTTTTTATCTGGTTTTCGATCCGGTCTCAATCGATTTTTTACTTCAAATCTAAGGCCGAAGATAGGATTGAATTGTTTGTTATCCCGTTCCGAACCGATCCCAATCCAATTTCGTATAAACCTAAAAAACCCGAACCAAATAACCAGCCCTACTACCTTCCCGCCGGTACTAAGTTCTTCCCGACGTCACCTACTCTTTGAATTTGCTTCATTTCCACCTGCCAACTACCAACCCCCTGCGACTTTGAGAGGAATGGAGCTTACTAGTGTTACCATGGTCCATGAGCAACTAACCACGTTAAATCAGCCCTTCTAATCTACCTGTACGAGTGAACGTGCACTAATGAGGCCCTATTCTAAAATTTGACAAGTGATTTAATTTTTAAAATGATAAGAAATGAAATGTTCATAAACATTTTTATTTAAACAATAATTTGAAATAAAAAATAATATATCTATTAACTCTTCAATCTCTGTATTACGCAAGAAATTAAATCATTTTCAATCATCTTCGTTTTTCCATTAAAGATTTATTGTGTCATGTTATGATATACAGATAGGACTTTAACGATGAATATACATGTCTCGTTTATATATACACGAGAATATTGATCAGTTAATAATTATCACCAATATTGATTAATATATTCAAGAAGATCCTTAGCATTGAAGTGGATAAGCTGGCCACAGAGGATGACAACATCTTCTGGTCAGCCTCGTCGGATGAGAGGTTCTCGGCGAAATTTGCTTATTCCATCCAAAACCAGCGACAACCTGATACGGACGAGGATGTTTTGAAGATTATCTGAAGTCTGCCTGTCCAGGAAAGGATCAGGAGTTTCATGTGGCTAACGGCCTTAGGAAGATTGGCGACAAGGTCCTTACTGTTCTACAGGAAAGTGACAACCAATCAAAGTTGTATCAGCTGCGGTGCTCTAGTCGAGTCCATTATCCATATTCTGCGCGACTGTAACTCGGCTCGGTACTTCTGGTTTCGTCACATCCCGGCAAGCAAGCAGCACAGTTTCTTCAGCTCGGACGAAAGTATTTGGCTTCGTGAGAACCTTAAGAGCAGCGAGCAGATGGGTTCGGGAATGAGCTGGGCTGCCTTCTTCAGCGTCTCAGCCTGGCTTATCTGGAAGAATAGATGCACGTACGTCTTCAAAGGTTCGAGCGCTACTCTCTCCCCTCCATCCCTTGAGTTTTCGATTCTGGCTAAGTGTAAGCTTTGGCACGAGGCTTGGCAAACTCCCTCTCCTCTTCCCAATGGTAGAGGGCCGGTGGCTGCTCGTACTACAACTATGGTTGGTTGGACGCCGCCGAGGCATGGATGGATGACCCTCAATGTTGATGGAGCCTCTAACGGCAATCCCGGAGTTGCAGGAGCAGGAGGCGTCCTCCGCGACTGGACATGTAAATGGATTGCTGGTTTCACGGCGAACATTGGGACGACGACAGCAGTTTTGGCCGAGTTGTGGGCCGTGTTTTATGGTCTGGATATGGCCTGGAAGAAGGGGTGTCGGGCGATTCGCCTTGAGTCCGATTCCCAGCTCGCGATTCAGCTCATCAACAATAGAAATGATCCTGTTCACCCTCATGCTGCTCTTCTTTCAGCGATCCGTAGGAGGATCAGTCAAGATTGGTTGGTTAGCATCACTCATGTATATCGGGAAGGGAATAGAGTTGCGGACTGACTCTGAAAGCATAGTCTCGTCTATCCCTACGGTGTACATGAGGTTGCCAGTCCTCCCCCTGAGCTAGCTTCTATTGTTAGAGAAGACGCCATGAGCGTATCTTTTGAGCACCAGATTGTGGCGCCTCTTTCTGACCCATAGGACCCGCTTGTTTCTTCTCGGCTTTAGCCTCCCTTTATGAAAAAAAAATAATCTAATGGTAATACCACTATCTACGAATTAGATTTTGAAATATCCATTGCCCGGCCCCTACTACTAATTATTTTTCAAACCACCACCACCCCCCCCCCCCCCCCAACCAGATCATTAACTCCCCAGTCGATCCCGCCACTAATTGTGTCATCTCTGCTTCTTCTATCTGTTATAAATAGAGCAATAGACTTGTTTCATTATTCACTTTAGTTTCACAAAGGAGAGAGAGAGTAAACAAAGATGGAAATGCCAGAGGTAATTGTGCCCAACCCACACTTGTTGCAGAGCGACCACCTACTCAAGGTTCGTACGTTGAACCCTAGCTATTGCTATTTGTGCCTTTCTATCTTCAACTTCATTATTATGTGACGCTACTTATATATATATATATACAGGTCTTGCTATCTTTTAATCAATTCTGGCCACCTAAAAACTGGATTAACTTGAAGTTTAATTAATTAGTTGCTCTCTCGTTATCTAACTATACCTAGCTAAATCGCAGTACATATTGGAGACGAGCGTGCACCCCAGAGAGCCACAGATTCTCAAGGAGCTCAGGGATACTACTGCCGCCGTAGATGCCCGGTATTACTACACAAACCCTAATCATAACATGAACGAATACTCTTAATTCTTAAACCCTTCAATTTCTTTCAATTCGGTTTTTTTTTTGGGGTTTTCTTTCCTAGGTCTCCAATTGCTTTGGATCCACATTCTGGACAATTAGTGGGTATGCTTCTGAAGATGCTGAATCCAAAGAGAACCCTTGAGATTGGGGTCTACACTGGCTACTCCCTTCTTGCCACTGCCCTTTCTACTCCCCCTGATGCCAAGGCAAGCCTGCGCGGATTAGTTCGTGAAGAGTTAAACACGTGATCTGCATAATCAAATCCAATTCAGATGCCATATCATAAATCTCGGCTAATGAATCCCAATATAGTTCAACGTTCATGTACGAAATTTTAATCGCTTTCTTACACGATTTTTCTTTTTTTTAGATCACGGCGATAGATCCGAAAGCGGAATGGTACGAGGTGGGGCTGCCCTTCATTAAAAAGGCAGGAGTTGAGCACAAAATTGACTTCGTCCACTCGATAGCACTTCCCGTTCTTGACGATCTCCTCCTCCAAGTAAGTATATTTAACGTAGCCGGCTCGATTCATTTATGTATAGTTAATTACCTGATTTAGAAATATTACAATTGCTAATGATGATGATGATTCACTGAAGGGTGGAAATGAAGGGAGCTTCGATTTCGCGTTCGTGGACGCCGACAAGAACAACTACGGCAACTACCACGAGCGGCTGATGAAGCTGGTGAGGATCGGCGGCGTGATAGTCTACGACAACGTCCTGTGGGGAGGCACGGTGGCGAGCCCCGACGGCGATGGTGTCCCCGACCACATGAAGGAGATCATGGCGATGGCGATTGAGTTCAACGGGAGGATCGCCGGCGATGACCGCGTCGAGATCTGCGTCGCCCCCGTCGGTGACGGCCTCACCATCTGTCGCCGGATTTCTTGAATTCATATAATTACTACTTTCTGATCGATTTATTCATGCTTTCTTAATCCTTTGTGTTGTTGCCGGAAAATAAAATGATATGCTCTCCATATCGCTGCGATTAGCCTGTTTGTTTGTAGGCTCGTGAATTAATTAAGCACATGCTTGTAATTGTTTCTCGTCGCAATTCAGGAAAGCTAGGTTTGCGGTAATCATATGTAATGCCAATTTTACCCTTCTCCGTCGCCATCGGCGTGTAATAATCGCACGAAATCCACATCAACTAAGAGCTTCAAATCATTAGATAATTTGTATTTATATTAAATTGTCTATATCTATAAAAATGTCAAGCTCGATTATACGTATTTCTTCTGAATTGGTGGACTGTAATGTGATCGATCTAATTAAACTTATGTTGAGGTCAGGGGCGGACCCAGGGGAGTTTAGGGGTGTCCCCGGACACCCCTAAATTTTGGGAAAACGATTATTCAACCCCGGTGATAATTTACGTATTGATAAAAAAAATATAATTGATAGTGAGGGACACCCCTTAAATTTGAAAAAATGATTATCCTACTGTCATTTGTGTATAAGAATATAAGTGGTAGGTTGGATAATTCAAATCTAGAATTTATTATTAATAAACTTAATTTCCGTTGAGCTAAACTCATTTGTTGTTCGATTTTGAACAATGTGTCTTAGTAAAATGGCATTCCCTGTCTCTAATTATTTTAAAAATCTAACAATTAATATAATTTCAAACTATCCTTAATTTGTATTGATTTTATGATTGTACGACAAGTGTTGAAAGAGTCTTTCAGCTTTGGGTTACATCAAGAACAAGTTTACAAATCGAATATGCGATAAGTTCGTGAATGATTGTCTAGTAGTGTATATAGAGACAATTTTTTAACACTATAGACACCAAGTGTATTCTACAATTATTTTCGAATATGAAAACACATCATGGATTTTTATAACCTGTACGAGTAAGGTATTTTCATATTTACAATTTTATTTTTATTAATTATTTTTATTAAATTTATTTTTTAAAAGATGACACCCCTATGAAAAATTTCTGGGTCCGCCACTGGTTGAGGTGACCAAACTTCTAAATTAAGCACAACAAGTTAATGGTTTTGTTCTCACATCATACATAATGGTATAAATTGAAATAGGTTATTTGAATCGAAATAGGTGAAATGAAACTTAATATATAATATAATACTATTAATACTCGATCGATCTGTTTTCTGAAACGGTGTATAATTGAAAGTAAATTACCACAAGTCATGTCAACAAAACACTTGTGGAATGATGAAGAAAATAATAAACAATCTCGATGGATTGATGAGGACCCGATTTTTCGGATCAGGAAAGTAACCGGGCAACCAACATTCTGGCCCATATACAATGTGGGTGGGGAGAAACAGAATTTTGATTCTCTAGGTCATCAATTTTCTTTGTGAACTAACTTATTTCTTATTCAATTTTCCAGTGATGAAATAATACAGGCCTTTCTATAATAAAAAAAACAATTGTGAAATTGAATAGGCTGTTTAGCTGACTAGCTCATGTATGCATTGTGACTGTGAGACCAAAAATACTCGGACATCTCACCGAAGCATCAAAATATTAAGGCTAGCTGCCCGTAATTGGCCCAGTAAAAGCACACATGCCCTAGGCCGGAGCAAATAATAATGGGCCTTTTCTGGGCCTGAGTCGATCCAGTTGGTGTACGAGGGACTACTGCTTATGGCTTATGCGATGCAACCAAGCTATAAATACAAAGCTACAAAGCATTCAGCTTCTTCAGATCGGCCCTAAAACCCTAATCGTCTTCTCTCCACTCTCAGCGGCGGTAAGCTTCGTTCTCCGATCTCTACCATCCTTCGTCCGTCAATCCTCTGCTCTTCATTTCGTACGTCTGTTTCTATTCAGATTAAGGCCACCTTTGAATTTGTGTTCTGATCGATTTGCTGAAACAGGGTAAACGGAGAAGGAACTAAAATGGCCACAGTTCCAGGGCAATTGATCTGGGAGATCGTGAAGAGGAACAACTGTTTCCTCGTGAAGGAGTTCGGCCGTGGCAACGCCGGCGTTAGGTTCAGCAAGGAAAGCAACAATCTCTACAACCTCAACTCCTACAAGTATTCCGGTAACCAAATACCTTCGTCTTTTTCTTAATGGTTCTTTTTTCCCTTATTATTACAGTAATGCTTGGTTTGTATGGTGGGTTACATGGATTGATTCGTATTTTGGGTGGGATTTAGGCTTGGCGAACAAGAAGACTGTTTCCATTCAGCCAGAAGGCAAGGATTTGGCTGTTGTGCTGACGACCACAAAGACCAAGAGGCAGAACAAGCCTGCCAATTTGAAGCACAAGTCGGTCATGAGGAAGGAGTTCAGCTCCATGGCTAAGGCTGTTACCAATCAGGTATCTAACTCTTTGTTCCAGCATTGTACCATTTGCGTATTTTCTCAATTCCTTTGTTGAGTTGTTTGATGAGGAATTACACCAGCTTATAATCCGTGAACTCCTCAAGATCGTTAGTTCTTGAGAATCTTAAATTATTTAAGTGCTTGGTTTTTAGACTTTATGAGATTCGATTTGTGATTGGTTCCCCCTTGCAACAGTTTCTCTTTCGTGGGCAGTGATGAGAAGCTAACATGTAAGAAGGACCCTCTTTTGTAGAGGGTTTCTTCTGTGAAATACTTTTGTTACGCTTGGCTTCTGAGTTCTTTGGTGCTTTGATTTCGAAATGTGTATGATTTCACTTTTGTTTGGTTCAAAGTACATAAATTTTCAAAAAGCCTTGTTGTTTTGGGTTGTTCTTGGGCAGTGATGAGAAGTTAACATGTAAGTGGAACCCTCTTGTGTAGAGGGTTCTTCAGTGAAATACTCTTGTTACGCTTGGCTTCTGAGTTATCTTCAGATCAAAATCTTTGTGATTGAGCTTTTGCTTAGTTTTTATTAGTTCAATATTCACAACATGGTTGCTTTTTTATTTTTTGGGCTGTGATGAGAAGCTAACATGTAAGTGGGACCCTCTTGTGTAGAGGGTTCTTCAGTGAAATACTCTTGTTACGCTTGGCTTCTGAGTTCTCTTCAAACCTTAGTTCTCACAATCTGTGTGACTGAGCTCTTGCTCAGTTTTTTGTAGTTGGATTTCCAAAACATCATTGCTTTTATATTTTGTGGGCAGTGATGAGAAGCTAACATGTAAGTGGAACCCTCTTGTGTAGAGGGCTCTTCAATGAGATACTCTTGTTACGCTTGGCTTCTGAGTTCGTCATTTTGAATTTAAAACTCAGCCCCCCTGCTTCTAAAGTTTTTGTTTATGCTGTATATTATTTTATTAAGATTAAGCACTGTGAAAATGTTGATCATGAATTGTGTCTTGCATTTGTTCTTGTGCTCTATCCCCCTAGATTTTTGGATGAAGCTACTTGTCTTAATGTATATGCCTTCAGTACGTGAAGATAACTTGTAGGATTGAACGTTTACTTGTTCTCTCTTCAAGAAGTGATGGGAACTGATTGGCTTGTGTTTGCTTGTTGATCTCAGGTTGCAGATAACTTCTACCGGCCGGATCTGAAGAAGGCAGCTCTCTCTAGGCTCAGTACCATCCACAGGAGCCTTAGGGTTTCAAAGTCCGGTGTCAAGAAGAGAACCAGGCAGGCAGCTAAGATCGCTGCCCGGAAGTGAAACCCAATGCTATAGAGAGCTCTTTTCGGTTTAGTATTATCTAGAGTTTCCAGATTGGAGAGACACTAGTTCGCACATTTTGGTTTTTCAGGACCTCTTCGCCCACCTTGTTTGTCGACCCTTGTACTGAATATGGTCGAAGAAAAAAACTTGGATTTGTGAGACATGTTATGGTTTAAATATGCTCTGGTTTCTTGTTTCTAGTGCTTGAATGGGTATGACTTATGAGATTGCAGTCTTTTGATCCATTATGGTCGAGATGTTACCAATTCAACAAGCTTGGTAGTGCATGAATGGGTATATTCCAATTTTATGGCCCATATCGTAGATGTAGAGATTCTTAACCACGTGACTTTCACACGCGCCACAAAAGTTTCCTTTGCCCGCCGTCACACACACTCCACAGTGCACACAGTAATGACCTCTGTTTTCAGAATCGGACCGAAGGTTGAACCGGAAAAGTTAGTGATTAGTACACCGGTTAATCATTACAAAATCGTTGGTGAACCGTTGATAGAATAGTTAATGATATATAACATATAAGACTTGTATATTACACTAATGTAAGAATGAAATTATCATTGACCATAAACAAGTTCAAATTCATATCATAACGAAAATATCTAATAAATCATTCCTACCATCCCACAAAAGAAACCACATTTTTAATTCAAATTAAAAATACGGTTCTAGTTGGTAGTAGACAATGTAAAATCGACAATAAGGTTGAGGAAGCATATATAAATTTAATAATTATGATTTGATGGTCTTAGTTTATGTTAAAATATTTTTTTTGTTAAAATAGTGAACCAGTGGACCAGTTAAACCGTGCCGGTTCATCTGGTTTTATGTTGAACTGTGAAAAACCGTTTGGTCCATCAATAACCGTTCAAACAATGAACCGAACAACTATCGTAACTGGTTCGACGGTTCTACTGGCCCGGCCGTTGATCCGGTTCGGTTCTTATAACAAGGGTAAGGACTAATGACTATTTATTAGCTAAATTTTTTTCAATTCCTTTTTTATTAGTTAAACTTATTAAAATATTAAGAATTAGTTAAATGTTAAATTTCAATAAGCAATTTTGTTAGTAATATTGACTTGACAACATGATACCGACTTGAAAAGAAACACCTGAAGGTCAACATTCCAAAATTTTAGGATTTTAACTAAAAAAATAGTTACAAAATTATTAACGATAACGTAAAAATTGCTAATATTTTAATGCATTATGAAAGATTTAGCTAATTAATAGCATTTTAATAAGTTGGATAATATAAAAGAATATGATAAAAGTTTGGATAAAAAATAGACATTACCCTTTTTTCAAACTATAAGAACATGTTTGATATAAAAAATAGTAGAGGACCATGTTTGATTAATATGTATAGTATTTTTTTATTAATTAAATTCACTACAATGATTTTATTTTGTTTAAAATGTGTAAGTATATCATGCCGGTCATACCAATAATATTATGCAGGTTTCATGGTCGACACAAATTGAACAGGGCTTGCCAGCTATGATATTGACAACCATGGATTATAAAGCCCGTGGTTCTAGGTTTCAAACCCGTATAAAATTTTATGGCCCATTGGCCCATTCACCTAACGGGACTTTCTACACGCGCCCTAATTTCCCACTTTCTTCGCCATCACACACCGACACACGCACTTCATCGTCCACTCTCACAGAGTCGCAGTAACGGCGCCAACCGCAAGGCGCCAACGACGGAGAACTAGAATATATAAACCCTTCAATAACCCGGCACTTGCACAGTATACTTTTCCCGCCTCTCACTCCCCAACATTTCCCGCCCTCTGCAAACCCTAATCCCCGATTCCCATGGCGCAGAAGCACCAATCCACCGCCGATCCAGCCCCGGCCGAGCCCAAGAAACGAAGACGCGTCGGCTTCGCCAAACCCGGTGAGTTAATTTGCTCGTTGGCTTCACTTCGTCACAGTTTACTCTCCATTTCCAGAAGCCGCCTTCAGCTCGTTATTTTACTTTACTTGCCTCCGATTTAGAGATTGGCTTTAGTCTCTGCCCGCAACTGTGCTCTCCAGCTCACTGATGCTACTCTCTTTCTCTATGCTGTGTTTGGTCCCCGTGTTGTTCAGATGGCGGTGTTGAGGCCAACGAATGTATTACGATTTACTTGGGTAAGAACCCTTCCTGTCCATTTCCTATTCGGTGCTTGTCGATTTCTCTCGGGTTTTATATCTACAATTCCTGTTTGTTGTGTTTTATGTGTACAAGAAAGCAAGAAATCAGTATGCGGTTCTCACTGCTCTTGAGGACAATTAGTGTCTTGGTTGAGCTTAACTATGGGCGCTTTGAGTTCTAAGTTTGTTGTGTTTTGCACCTGCTGATATCGTATCCTTAATGCCGAATTCTTGAAGTTTCAGATAGTTATGCCTGACATGTTTGTGTTATTACAGTCTCCAGCAAGGACGAGGTGGGTGCTTCTGATGCTGCTCGCATTACACCAATTGACTTGAACAGTTTTTTTGAGGAGGACGGGAAGATATATGGATACCAAGGATTGTCGGTAATGCTTCTCTTGCAAAACTAATGGACCCGCTTCTTCTTTATGTTAACAAAGAGTTCACATTCTCAATGTATCACTATTGATGCTCTGATTGCTTAGACTGTAAGACGTTTCTTTTGCATTATGTATCATGCAGATTACTATCTGGGTTAGCAGCATATCATTTCAAGCATATGCTGATATTTCCTACAAGAGCACATCTGATGTGAGTGTGTTGTTCTAAATACCTGATTTATCCACTGTGGCTTTTGATTCGTTTTGCTGATTCCATTTTGCTTACTGTTTAGGGAGGGAAAGGTGTCACTGATCTTAAATCTGCTCTTCAGGTTTGTTACCTAGAATATTTTCACCTTTTGTTTAACCCTATTCTATTGGGTCTCTGATTGACAATTTGTTGAACAGAACATTTTTGGTGAGACCCTACTTGACAGTAAAGACGACTTCCTTCAGACTTTTTCATCAGATGGTAATTACATCAGGTATATTCTTTGTGATTATCAGGTAGTCTGGAGTGTGGTTGGGGTGTAATTGTTTGCGTTTATGTTCCCACTATTAGGTCTCTTATGTCAGTTTTATATGTTCAGATCCATTATCTCAAGTGGAGAAGTGTTGCAACATCCTCTGACCAACGGGCATGATGGTGCTTCTACTCTTTCTGGAAAAGCTACTTCAGACCTAGAGGTATTCTGCATATATTTAATGGCGTAGCTCATGCAAATCATAAGTTGCTTCTGCAGTCTTTGTTAGTCTAGTGATAAGATCAACAACAATTGAGTTACATGCCTTGACATTCACCACATGGTGTAAGTATTGCAAGATAGTGCTTTCCTGGATTTTACCAATCCCTATGATGATAGGTTGGCTTCAAGAACACCAAATCAAATCGGTAGACCATACATTAATTGAAAACAAACAGCATGGAGTTTATGGTGCTCTGTGGTATCAGCCCTTTGTTTTCAATCTTGGTTCGAAATCATTTCTTCCATTAGGTATCTAGCCAAATATTTCCTGGGAGATCCATTGCGGGACACCGAAACTTGTCAGGCCTGATTTCCCAAATTTCTGTTGCTTGTGTTTGGCTAGCTTCAAGATGAAGTGTCAACCTCAAGTTTAGTCAACGCTGGGGGTCTTCACCTGGCAGCTTGAGTTCACTATCGGACAGTCACCTCTATCTTAATTCTAGTCCCAACAATGCAATACAGTGCTTTCTGTCAAAACAGACGTCTATATCATAATTTAATCGGCATTCATGACGTGGAATGTATTTTTATAACTAATTGCCAATATGACTCTTAGTTGTCTGACTCTTGGATGAGCTTGGTTATCATAGCATTGATGTGCACTGATACTTGTCACCCAGATTTTAATGTCTCATCATTCTAGCTATATATCTTACATGTAACTAGACCAATGCTCTGATGATTAAGCTCTTCGAAGTGTTATGTAAAAGTTATCACTGCATTTAAATGAAGGCCTCTTAAGGATTTTAGGAATCAAGTTAAAGCTTAGTAATTTGCGCTCAGAACCCTTTGCTTAATTTGTCTATTTTGAAAGTTAGCAGCAGTTATCCTTTTCTGGCTCCTGCTCGGAAGTGAATGGTGTATGTCTCAAGGTAGAGTTAATTGATGAACTAAATGTGATTTTCCTCCTAAATGGAATTGTTACTATGTCAGGTTGTTCGGATGGTAATGGACAATCCAGATGCTGGCAGTCTCTACAGTCGTTTGGTTCCTCTTGTTCTTCTACTTGTCGATGGTAATTTATCTTTCCTGTTGTTTGTTAAGCAGTATTTAGCTCTTGGCTATCCGTGGAGATCAAAGATGTTGAACTGGTTATTATGTCTCGTGTGCAGGTAGTAATCCAATTGACGTTACTGACTCAGGATGGGAGTTGTATGTGCTAACACAAAAGAAGGATCTTGAACATGAAGATGTTCAGTCTAGACTTCTGGGGTTTTCTGCCATTTATCGCTTCTATCACTACCCTGACAGCACTCGCCTCCGCCTGGGTCAGGTGAACTTTTTTTTTACCATTTTGAAATTTGATTTGTTTGGTGGAGAACATATGAAAGGGTTTCATAGTGTCATCATTCTGCCTATCTTTTCATTTATCAATCAACCCACTTGATATTCATTCGACCAAACCCATTTGATCCGAATTCATTGGGTAAACTTTCATATCTGCAAAAACCCGCCAGCTCCTTCAATACTAACCCATTTGCAACCTCTGCTTCTAAGTTTTTTGACTTGGACAAAGGGGTATTTGCTTTGACCATGGAACTTGACTAGATATTTGGTTGTTGCAGATCTTGGTGCTGCCTCCTTATCAAAGCAAAGGCCATGGTCGACATTTACTTGAGGTGATTCACAATGTCGCTATATCTGAAGATGTCTATGACTTCACTGTGGAAGAGCCACTAGATGCTTTCCAGCACGTCCGTACATGCCTCGACGTTCAAAGGCTGCTTGGTTTTGAACCAATAAAGGAAGCTCTCAACTCTACCGTTTTATATCTGAAACAAGGAAGGCTGTCGAAGAAAACTCACGTTCCTAGATTTGTCCCTCCTTCAAGTGCAGCTGAGGATGTCAGAAGGGTGCTGAAAATCAACAAGACGCAGCTAACTCAGTGTTGGGAGATACTGATTTATCTTAGCCTTGATCCAATTGACAAGTATGTGGATGATTTTGAGATGATTGTTTCGCACCGGGTGAAGGAAGAGATCTTAGGCAAAGATGGTGGGAGTGGCGGGAAGCAAGTGATTGAGGTCCCTAGTGAGTACAAGGAAGACATGTCATTTGTTATGTTCAAGACCAAGGATGGGAAACCAAGTTCGGTTGAGTTGGATGAAGATCAAACCAAGCAACAGGAGGAGCAATTGAAGCAACTGGTCGATGAAAGGCTCAATGTGATCAAATCTGTTGCCCAGAAGGTTCAACTGCAGGTCTGATCCAACTCATCGAAACAAACAACACCATATGGATTTAGGAATTAGATCAAGTTGTGAGGATGAACTGAGGCTTTTGGTCATTCAGATATTGGGCATAAAACTTGCTATTTGATTCTGTTATTGTTCTAGGTAGAAGGTTTGAGCAATTACAACAGTTCTAACTCATTGCCAAATGTCTGTTATAAAATCATCTTTGCGATGAAAAAGCTTAAATCTTGTGAACGCTGCAACCGGCATCCTCTGAGTTCAAATTCTCCTTCCAGTTTTCGAATTCTGACCCCCCAAAAACTAGTTGCTTGATTCCAACGTAACTGTCAAACGAGAAAACCCAGCGTGCTTAAGATATCCATGTGTTGGACTGAAAATGGAAAGAAGTAACAGCAATTAGCTTACTCGGAGCTGATCTGGGTCAATCCATTTATCAACACGTCCAGCAGTAATGGCTCGCTAGTCCCAATATCGACCCTGTTTTACAACAATGAGCAACAATCATCATTCATCATTCATTCAAACAACCACAGAGTTCAGTTTTTCAATTCCAAGTTTCCAATCTTACCATATCCGTCCCAAGTTATCTTGCATCTCGAAATCCCCTATGTTATAAAAGGTGGTCGGAGTCACATTTGCTCCCTGAATGTAGTCATAGGTTGGCCTCTTATCAGAGGTCGATTGTGACAACTGCGAAAACCAGAAAACGCTCTGAGTCTTTGTTGCCATCAAACCGAACCAATGGTCTTATAAATAATTTCCTACAGCAGTGCAGGAGCAACAAGCATACCTGCATATTCATGGAGTTGCAACCACCAAGACGGCCGATGATGTGCCATGACCGAATCGTCTGCCAAGAGTTCAAATCAAGCAATCAGAGTCTACTATTGTGCCCCTATTCTGTCACTGCTTTTTCAAGCATTAGAGAGGAGGAAGCTAGCAACTTACATCACATATTAAGGATACATCTTTCTCCAAGGGAGCATTATAGAACTCAAACCAAATGTACGAGTTTGAGAATTCAAATCTGGTGAATGGCAACCCATTAGACCAAGATAGATACAAGAACTACTAGCCAGCAAGCCAAAATTTTCATGCCAACCATTCCAGCTGAGAGCTAGTAATGGAACTTAACCTGTTGAAGGTGACTTTCATGGGAGTAGAAGAACCAGTCTTTGGGTGCAGAATCTTGTTCCTTTTCCTCCTCAACCTCTCTTCCATCTGACATAAACCCAGAAAATCATCATCACATTAGCAACAAACAACAAAACTCCATCATAATCAGGAATCATTTCGTCAAAAAAAATTTACTCGTGACTGAGCCTTTTCAGGATCAACGAGACAGCTCCCCATAATCTCGGCAAGTTCAGGGTCTCTGTCATAACCCTTGTCGTCGTCTCCCCTCCCGCTACTAAATAAGTCTGCCTCAGGGAATTCATCGCCGCCGCCATAACCGTCAACTTCCACCTCTGTCAGCGGCATATCTTCGCTCATTTTCTGCGTCTGTTTAGCGGCGAAGAGTTTAGTCACGGTGGTGGGTCGAGCATGGTTCCGCGTGGTAAGTGTTACAGTGGTGAATGGCGTGAAGGAAGTGGTTGGAGTGGAGAATTGGGGGAGCAAGGAAGAAGAAGAAGATTGGAGTAGGGTATCCATTTCAGCAGTCCGGCTATGGTGCTGGTGGGAAGGAGTCGTGAATAGAAAAGAGGAGATTGGCTTTGAACTCCCAACTTCCGTGAAACGACGGCGTTCGGAACCGGTCCGGCCATTATTCGCATATCCATTTTTTTTAGCAAGATTGGTGAAAAAGGTTGACCGAGCGAAGGGGGATTAGAAAAAGGTTGACCGACGCCATTTCCATATCGGGAACTTCTGATTTTGTTTTTCTTGAGCGAGGATCTAAACGAACCAACGAACTTTTTCCCCTCTCGCCGCTTCCAATCAAGCGGAGAAACGCGAAATAGACAGATGGATTTGTTTCCGGCGGAGACGTCGCAGTTGCCGAAGAAGCACAGATTCCGTTCGCTGAAGCTCGTCAACGTCGACATGGACCAAATCCTGGAGGAAAACCCCTACGGTGCCGACTACGGACGCCTCGACAATGGCCTCTTCTACTACGTTCGCCGCAACTCCAAGCCGAAAATGCGCGCTGCTCTGGCGCTCGCCGTCAAGGCCGGGTAAGCAATCAACTGCCCTGCCTTCCTCCTTTTTCTTTCCCTCGCATGCCGAGCAGTTTTCTATTTCACTGCTTCGGTGGAGCTGATTGGTTGTCTCCATTGGCAGCTCAGTTTTGGAAGAGGAAGAGGAGAGGGGAGTGGCTCACATTGTGGAACACCTGGCTTTCAGCGCTACTAAGAACTACACGAATCACGATATCGTGAAGTTTCTGGAAAGCATTGGAGCTGAGTTCGGTGCTTGTCAAAATGCGGTCACGTCGGCGGACGAGACTGTCTACGAGCTGCTTGTGCCCGTGGATAAGCCTGAGTTGTTGTCGCGAGCTATCTCGGTATTGGCCGAGTTCAGCACTGAGGTAGGCGTGAATGGAATTTTCGCCGTTGTTTTAATGTTGAATTTCTGTTCACGTGAAATTAAAGTGAGTGTTCTACAGATTAGGGTTTCGAAGGAGGACTTGGAGAAGGAGAGAGGAGCGGTGATGGAGGAGTACAGAGGGAGCAGGAATGCTAGTGGAAGAATGCAGGATGCACATTGGATGCTGATGATGGAAGGCTCAAAGGTGCTATTGCTGTTAGGTTTCAAGTGCTTTTGATTTCTAGTCGTGGTGTTTGCCAATTTTTACAACTCTGGTTTCTGAACTAAGTCGTGGAATTATTCTAGAAAGCTTGGTTGATACAGTGATGGAGGCTCTATTGGTTTCTGAATTCTGCATAATAGTTGGAGGAAGGAATACTGTCTGTGCGTGTTGAATAGTTGGTGGAAGCTTGTGTCCTACTTTAGTTGTTTGGTGTGTTAACCTTTGATTAACTCGCAGTATGCTGAGAGATTACCAATTGGGTTAGAGAAGGTGATTCGATCAGCTTCCCCTGATACCGTACGGGAATTTTACACAAAGTGGTACCATCTGCACAATATGGCTGTTGTTGCTGTTGGGGACTTTTCTGATACCAAGGTTTGAACTGATAGATTCATTGAGGTCATCATATCATATATTTTGCACAATTTCTTTGATAAAGCTCTCTTTTTATCTCTGTAGAGTGTTGTGGAGTTGATAAAGACACATTTTGGCCCAAAGTTTTCACGGTCTGAGCCTCCAGAGTTACCAATATTTGAAGTCCCATCCCACGAGGAGCCACGATTCTCATGTTTTGTTGAATCAGAGTCAGCTGGGGTTAGTGTAATTTATTCTTGAATTATAAACAGACCTAGATGGAACAATTTGTTATTGCAACATCAGTGACTTTTCAGTTTTCATTCTCAATAGTCTGCAGTGATGATTAGCTATAAGATGCCAGTTGATGAACTGAAGACGGTGAAGGACTACAGGGATATGCTCACAGAGTACATGTTTCTCTATGCTCTAAACCAGAGATTCTTTAAATTGTCTCGTAGAAACGATCCACCCTATTTCTCATGCTCAGCCGCCGCAGATGCACTAGTTTGTCCATTGAAGACTTGTATAATGACTTCTGCTTGCAAGGAGAAAGGCACATTGGATGCCCTAGAATCAATGCTACTTGAGGTGCAATCTGTTGCTCTATGACTTGTTTGGCTAGTAACGCTTTTCTTTTTCACTTGACCAACACATACTATGTTTTAGGTTGCCCGGGTCCGTTTACATGGATTTTCAGAACGTGAAATTTGTATTGTTAGAGCTTTAATGATGGCAGAGATCGAATCTGCCTATCTGGAGCGTGATCAGATGCAGTCAACCAACTTGAGAGACGAGTATTTGCAAGTATGAACCTAACTTTTTCTTCGACTTATCCTGAGTGTGCATTTCCTGGCTTTTCTGGGATAAACATCTTTTTTTACAACATTTGCAGCATTTTCTTCGAGGTGAGCCAGTTGTTGGGATTGAATATGAGGCTCAACTTCAGAAAACCATCCTTCCTCGTGAGTCCCTCACTGCATCCTGAATCTACTTTTCAAGAAAATGAACTCTTACACGTACCCATAGAAAAAGGAATGTGGCATATTCTGTCATTTCTGATCTTGGTCTGAATTTCTGCAGAGATATCAGCAGTTGAAGTGTCAAATTATGCAGAGAAGTTAAAGACATCTTGCAGTTGTGTCATAAAGACAGTAGAACCCTGGGCTTCTGCAACAGTTGATGACCTGAAAAGTGTCGTACGAAAAATCAATAAGCTTGAGCTAGAACAACACATAACTCCTTGGAATGAAGAGAATATTCCTGAAGAAATTGTCAGTGTGAAGCCAACTCCTGGGTAGGTCGATTTTATTTTATTCTTATATGTATCCATGATCCATGAAAGGATTTTTCTTGCCTAGAATCGGTTACTCCTATGTGAATTATGATACTACTATTTCCATGCTATTCATTTGAACGATATCTAAAAAGTTACTCATTTGAATACATGTTTTCTTGTGTGTCAATCCTTATAAACAGGCAAGTCATTAATCAGTTTGAGTACTCAAATATTGGAGCTACGGAGCTCGTACTGTCCAATGGGATGCGAGTTTGCTACAAGTGTACAGATTTCCTTGATGACCAGGTAGAAGTCATATCGATCCGGATTATAATTCTGGTTATTGTCAAGTAGGATTATAGTTTTCTTTATTGTAAGATGGAGCTATGCTATTCTGTATCCAGTATGATGTGTATCGTCGATTAGGATTATAATTTTAGTTATTGTGAGAATGCAGTTATTGTCGACTAGGATTATAATTTTTTATTGGTTGCTGCTACATATACGTCTCCCTACACATAGCTCATTGACATCAGATGTTCAACTTGTCCACAACCATTGATACAGTTATGTCTTTCCAAATTAGTGTACTAGTAGTTTTAGTTGGTGAACACCTTGTGTTATCTTCAACAACAAAACTGCCCTGTGTTTCATAATGATTCACAGGTGATTCAAGGACAACACATGTAGAATTTTGGCTGGGTATAGGAATAAAAGGTACTGATTAACAAGAACATCAAAACTCTAGTCTGGCTGCCCAAAATAAAATCAAAACATGAGCCTCAAAGCTTACAAGTCCTGGTAGTTGTAACTGGCTACATTATAAGTAATGAGCTAGTTAATTTGGGAATCTCTTATCAGATTATCCTTTAATATTACTAGAATAACAAAGGTTTATGCAACTAATACCTACCTTGAGCATGCTTCCTTGACACATTGGATGTAACTGGCAGAATGAACTTATCTGTTGGAAGTCATTTTATCTCATCAAGATGAACTGTAATTTCAGGTCTCTTCAGCTAGTACCTTTTTTTTACTTGCCGTTGTTGTAGATACGAAACTTGACAATGATTTGAGTATACCTTTATCAATAATAGTACACATCTGATATGGTAAAATAATTCGTATCTGTGTTTTTTTTCAACAGATTCTTTTTACTGGGTTCTCATATGGAGGCCTCTCTGAAATTCCTGAAAGTGATTACTTTTCATGTTCTATGGGATCAACCATTGCTGGTGAAATCGGCGTGTTTGGTTACAGACCTCCAATGTTAATGGATATGCTTGCTGGTAAGAGAGTTGAAGTGAGTACAAAGCTTGGAGCATACATGAGAAGTTTCTCGGGTGATTGTTCTCCTGCAGATTTGGAAACTGCTCTGCAGGTTTGTTTCTTAGATATTACTTGTTGCCTTTCATCTTTTCTTCAATTTCTACTTTTGCTTGTGTTTGTGGCCCTAGAAGCAACGCTACATTACCTTCCTACAGAATGATGAGGGAGTGGGTGATTCTTTTGTTTCAATTGGATCGTCTTCTTTTATTATTAGTTAATTTTAAGGGTTGTTGACACCTATTCCTATTTTGTTATATGGAATTGCACTTAAAGTTTTTCTTCATTTCTAATGTCCTTACGTAGTTACGTTATTTATACTATAACAGCTTGTCTATCAACTATTTATGACAACATTAACACCGGGAGAAGAAGATGTTAAAATTGTCATGCAAATGGCAGAGGAAGCTGTTCGTGCTCAGGAGAGGGATCCATATACCGCATTTTCAGATCGAGTGAAAGAGATTAACTATGGCAACTCCTACTTTTTCAGAGTATGCCTGATTTCATTCTCTTAACCTATTTTTCTATCCAGTGTAAGACATGTCGCTCTTACTTACAAGAGTTGCTTTGTTTGTGGTTCTGCAGCCCATAAAGTTAGGTGAACTACAAAAAGTTGATCCACTGAAAGCTTGTGAATATTTTAACAAGTGTTTCAAGGATCCCTCGTCTTTCACTGTTGCAATTGTTGGGAATCTTGACCCTTCTGTTGCAGTTCCTCTGATTTTGCAGTATCTGGTGAGTATCTAACACTGCATGACTGAGTAAGTGCTTATAAACGAGAAAAGATAGATTTCACTGTCTCTGTTTCTCAAGCTTTCGACACATGCATAAAAGCTCTTGGTTGTGTAACTTGGGGAAAGATCTTGCCCTAGTTAACAGACTTGAATATCTCCGACATGTCTGAATTTTTTTTATTTTTTATAATCACATGTCTGAATTTTGAAGTTCTAATGTCCCACTACAATTTATTTCAATGGTTATATCATACGGATGAGGAAAATCTTTCCCTCTTGAGTACTCATGATTAAGTTTTCTTCATTTCCTTAATCTAGGGTGGTATACCAATGCCTCCACAACCAATGCTCCACTATAGCAGGGATGACCTGAAAGGCTTGCCTTTCACATTTCCAACTAGCATAATCAGGTAGGTTTTGCCCTTTTACCCTTTCTCTTTGAATAGTAGCAGTATTGTAAATCCGCTGTAAGTGAAACATTACCAATATTGTAACTTGAAAGTAATTCTTTATTTTTTAGGGCAAGTAGTGAAGTTATTAGTCCTCCACTTGATCAGCATATCTGATTGCCAGGCACATTCTTTTCACCGTGTGCTTTTTTTATTCACTGCACACATTTTGCTTTTCATACTTACCTTTTAACATATTTTTTGGTATTTAATTCTAAGGACATTTATTTTGCGCAGCCTTTAAATGTTATTTGGGATTTAAATGTGACTGTAATATATTTGATATTGTTGCAGGGAAGTGGTTCGGAGCCCCATGGTGGAAGCACAATGCTCTGTTCAGTTGAGCTTTCCCGTGGTGCTGAAGAATGGATCCTTGGTTAGCAACTATCCATCATTCTAAATCCTCTAGAGCCCAGAAGATCCATTGCCTTGACATTGATGGTTTTTCTATCACTAACCTATTTGGGAAACTGTCTGTTAGGTAGAAGAGGTACACTCTGTTGGCTTCTTGAGTAAGCTTCTCGAAACAAAAATTTTGCAGGTTCTTCGTTTCAAGCACGGCCAGGTGAGTGTCTTGTTATGTCTTTAAAATTTTTGTTTGCTGAGCAACGGTCTTATGTTCTATGAACTCTGTAACGCAGATATATTCTGCTGGTGTCTCGGTGTTCCTTGGTGGTAATAGACCTTCAAGAACCAGCGATATACGTGGTGACATCAGCATCAATTTTTCTTGTGATCCGGGAAGCTCCTCAAAGTTGGTAGGTTGCATGCCGTGGCTCTCATTTTGCATTTTTCTAGTTTTCCAGTTGAATTGCTGTCGAGTGTTTCCGTGGTTTTCTTTCTTATCAGGTGGATCTTGCTTTGGATGAAATACTGCGCCTTCAAGAAGAAGGGCCCTTGGATGAAGATGTTTCGACAGTACTTGAGCTTGAGCAGAGGGCACATGAAAATGGATTGCAGGTTAAGTATCGTAATGACTAATTTATATTTATGAAAATTGCTTAGGGACGAAAGTTGGGAGGTGATTGCAGTATTCCTACAAATCGTTAAACCAGAAGTAGCAAAAACATTTCAAGTTCCCTATCTTTTGTTTCAAGTAGTAGTACATGAATATTAGAGGCTTGCAGATTGAACCTCACAACTGCGGAAAACCAAGTTTTATCATCTGATATTTTGAAATCATTTTTTCAGGAGAACTACTATTGGCTGGAACGAATTTTACGTAGCTACCAGTCAAGGATATATACTGGTGACATTGGTGCTTCTTTTGAGGTGGGTTATTATGGTTTAACTTCATGCATCTATGGTTTCCACACATTTCACCTCCCAATGGATTCCATTTCTTCCTTTGAAAAACACACTCATTTCTCTCTCGGTCAGATTCAAGATGAAGGTCGTTGTAAAGTCCGAGAACTACTCGCGCCTTCATCAGCACGATCAACACTGCAGAGGATTTTGCCCTACCCTTGCAAGAAGCAGTATACGGCAGTGATTCTGATGCCCCAGACATCTCGGTTTCAGTTGTTGAGGTCGTTATTCCGGTCTACCACTCGTCCCAGTTATTCCAGAGACGCCAAGGTAAAAATAGCGGACTCTGTTACTGTCATCTGCAATCGCTCCGCAATTAAGAACACTCATTCAGTTGTCTCCCCAACCATATCTTTTCGAGGCACATAAGGCGTTCTTATCTAATACATCGAAGTTGTCTTCCTCTCATTTTTGGTTGCAGATCATAGCCACCATTGCTGGTCTGACTGTATTAGGTGTGAGTTTCTGGAGATATTCGAGGAGCACCTTGAGATCTTAGGACGCATTTGTTTTCTTTTATACGCTTAAGATGATTGATAAGGGCAGATTAGTAGTACTAGTAGCTAATCTTGCTGTGGGAATTATAACTATGTAAGAGGCAGGACAAAGCGATTATACTCAAAATCATTAACTGGTGAGGGAAGTAGGAAGAGAATCAGCTGGCGGTATGCATCATTTTGTATATACATTTTGGTTGTGTACCGCCGTTTCATAATTACCTGGTTCAACTCTTCTTCGATTCTCCATCTTAGCTTCCCTTGTATTACTGCTTTATAACATACCTAGTTATTGTTTTCACTTTTCATTAGGCCGTCTGAGTTGGTGCATCTATGTTGTTAATCAGCTTCGGCTTCGCACTCTTGAGTGCAGCAATCAGTGTTCGCTAGACCTCGCCTCCAATCGTTTGTAGCTGAACGATTTCTTTTAACAGCCTGTTTGGATACAATTCCGGAAGAAATGGAAATGGAAATGGAATTCAATTTTTTATTTTTATAGAATTCCATTTCCAATTCTAGTGTTTGGTATAATTCCTACAACTATGGAAATGAATTGCACTTTTAACCATAATGAATAATGTAATATGTTTGTTTTATTTTGGGAAATGAAATATGAATGAGAGAGAAAGAGAGTAAAATGATAGTGGGTCAACAAAATAATAAAAAGTATTGATGGGTCCCACTAATTCCATCTTCATTCTCTCAATTCCTATCACTTTTGATAGGAATTGTAATTCTCATATTTTAGACCCATTGGAATTCAATTCTCAAGCTTTTTATTATTCCAAACATAATATATAGAAATGGAATTGGAAATGGAATTCCAATTCCTTACTTTTTTGTCAATCCAAACAGGCTGTTATATTCTCAATAAGAAAATTATCTTTATGCAGGCTGCCGATGAATGCCATGTCAGACTATTATCGCGGTTTTAACTAGTCACAATGCCACATTAGATTATCATAAGATTTGAATAGAGATAGTTCTGCAAACTAATGGTGCCATAGTGTTTGGTCATCTCCCTATCTTAACTCTGGTCGACTTGGAGACACCTAAAGACGGGACAGATTGAGAATACCCTATTTGATTCATGTTCACCATAGTTGTCGGATTAGTTAGCAGGCCAACCTTTTGCTTTGCCTATATCCTTCGGGAGGGCGCCCGAAATGGGCCCGAATATCAACCCAGGCCCGTTCAAATGTTCATAACTTGAGAGTCCATTGGGCCAATCGAGATCCGCAACGGGAGGGGGGCAAGCACGTCTTTTCAGCTCCACAGGCCACTAGGGTTTTGAGCTCCATTTAGGTTGTGTTATAAACCTAACTCGACAGTCTGACCGCAGTTTCGCTTCCTTCCCCGCTGCCTTCTTCCAATCTCTCTGCATCCTTCGACTGGTAAATTCTCGCATTCCGTCTTGCTTTCTCAATTTCCCCTTTCTCTTGCATGTCTGCGTAGCTATAGGTTCTTTCATAGCTTTTCATGGGCTTTTTGTTGTTTGTTTTCCCCCCTTTTTGACGTGACGGCTGGATGGATATGGTTGCAGACCGAGAGAGAGATCCAAGATGGTTGAGAAGACGAGGATCAGGAAAGAGGAGGTGGTGACTCGTGAGTTCACCATCAATTTGCACAAGCGCTTGCATGGCTGGTGAGTTCCGTTCTCTTATTTCCCTGCAGCTTTCATTTTCGTGGGTCTCTGAAAGTTTTCGTATTTGCGGCCTTCTTCAGCGGGATCTTGTTAGAATCTCTATGGGCTTTTTCAACTTCAGGATATGAAGCAGGACCCTAATGATTGGGTTTAGGTTTAACTTAATCCTAATCATAGTGTTCGTGCTCCAATGGTGACCTGGTGGTTTTTTGTATTTTTGAAATCCTATTATTCTGGTTCCATTGGTGACGATGGTGGGAGTTGTGGGCTTATGTTATGGTCATAGATGTACTTTTCTGGGATGATGAAATGTTAGCTTGAACAGCTGGTGATTCAGTTTGAGCATGGGACTGATAGTGGGGAAGACCCAGATAAGGGCATTCTTAAACCTTGATGATCACTGGTCAATGCTCCTTGTCAAATTTCCTAGAAAGTATTAGGAGTGTCTGTCTGCTTGTTGTGGTCTATGTCTAAATTAAAGTATCAGAGTAATCTTGAACTGATGATTAGCTGAATATGTCTTTGACAAGATTAATATCTTGGGCAATAGTTCAGAATTTTGGTCCCTTCGTCCGTGAACATCAGAGATTAATTTGTGCAATACATAGTAGCTTGATAACGGTCCGTCCCTAGATGATCCCTTTATGATGTAGCATCTTGTTCGCCTGTGTCTTGCGATAACTATGTTAGTTGCAGTCCAATTTGTTATGTCTATGGTAGACCTATCAATTCAAGATCATTGTCTGTCATCTACCCTATTTCGGATGCTGAACAATTTATATGTACCAGTACTTTCAAGAAGAAGGCTCCCAAGGCCATCAAGGAGATCAGGAAGTTTGCTGAGAAAGCCATGGGAACTAAAGATGTGAGGGTGGACGTGAAGCTGAACAAGCAAATCTGGAGCAAGGGAATTAGGAGCGTTCCAAGAAGAATCAGGGTTCGCATTGCTCGGAAGAGGAATGATGATGAAGATGCCAAGGAGGAGCTCTATTCCCTTGTCACTGTTGCAGAGATCCCAGCAGAAGGACTCAAGGGGCTGGGAACAAAGGTTATTGAGGAGGATGAGTAATCTGTGTTACTCCGTATTTCTATCAGGCTGTTGTGTTAGGTTTTTGAAGAAGTTTTGTCAATGTGTACGGATTTGGAGAACAAGCCTAGGCTTTTGTTGGTACAAGTTGTTGGATATTGTCACCTCATATTTACCATTTGAAAGCAGTGAACTTAATGATATTTTCTATTGCCTCTCTACCACATGATGGCCGTTGGGATGCAGTCTGCCTAGATAAGGTCGTGCAAGCTAATTATCTAGTTGAAATGCTCGTTTAATTACTCAGAATATATAATCGTATTAATGGCATAGTTAGCCTTGATAGTTTTTTTTTTTTACTTCAATTTACTACTCACATACCTTAGTTTCGTTTCCATTTTCATTACTATCCATCGAAAAAAAGTTGTTAATCACATAAGATACATCACAATTCAGTAATCTTGTTAACTCACTGCTACAATAGCAAACGAAGAGGCATTCCTGTGAACGTAAACTTGATGAGCTCTTAAGGAGTTCATGGCGAGGTGATTCCATGATTCATTCTGAGCACTATTGCTTCTTCCTCGTCGTAAGTGGCACAGCACTATTGCAACTCCCTCGACTGATAGGAACTGACTACAGAGGAGCTAGTTGGCCACGAAGTGGTAGTGCTAGCGATGGAGCTTAGCAGAGCTTTGAAACTAAGTCGCTTTGTAGGAATACATGTAGCTTCTGAGTTTCTTCACCTCTTCTGATGATTCGGCGAGTAGATGATCAACGTAAAGGCAAACAGAAGATCCGCTGCAATTTTTGTCAGGCAAAGTACAAGTCTCATTAAGATTAAACCTACATCATCTACATGTAATCTTAATGAAAATTCAGACCAAAATCTAATCATGCGAGTAGACTGTAGAGTATTACTCACCAAAGAGGTCCTAGAGGAAGCCATATCACATCCATCCTGAATCTCGGCAGCCTATAATTCAAAGTCAAAAACACCAGCCCTTAACTTCCTTCCACTGAATCTTTCAGGGAGTCATAAACCAGTAAACCATCAAACAAGGGGTGATTATACGCAAACTCCTCGTTACCTTAACATAAAATAGAACCAAAATACAGCGACCGCAAACCCAGCAAAGCAGGAGTACCAAATCCATTTTCTTCTACGGTTCAGTATCCCAACGATGGCCAGGGAGCATACCAGAACAGCTAACCAGTCTGTGTTGAATTGCTTAAAAGGTTAGCAAAACACAACAAATACGCGATTTCCACTGATTAGAACTCACAACAAATAGCAAATCTAAAGGCGAACGTTATGAATATCAAAGTTCCCAACTTTACAAACTGCCAAAGTTAATCCAACAGCTATGACATATATGCTTGCAGAGGTCAGTCACTCATACATTATCATGCACAGTAAGAAGAACCCAGAAAGCAGCAAAATGCTGCAAAGCAATAGCTAGAGAAGTGATTCCATTACCATATTTGTTAAAAGAATGGAGGATAGAAGAAATGAAGTGAACCATAGTACCATACCTGCTGAAATCACCATCCATGAAGGGATATCTTCCATGAAGTATGCGTGATACCGCTGATAAAAAAAAAAAAGACAAGACTGGATCAATCTTAACACGATTCAATTGGATTTCCAGTGAAGCTGCTACCTAATCAATTAGGGATAACGCACCAATTCCCAGGGGGAAGTTGCTTGCTGGTAGATTGAGTAGACTAGGAAGATAGCGTAGCAAACGAGGATCGCAGAGAACACTCTCTTCAATCGGGTGAAAGAATCGTCAAAAGGGAAGAGGAAACCAAATCATCGATCAACCCATTTACCATAATGTTCAGAAATAGGAAGCGAAATCTTAAAAAGGGGAGGAGATGTGGTATGAAATGTTACCGTCCATAACTGAGCTTGCTGAGCTTGCGCGTGTTCGAGGGATCGAACCAGCTCTTCTTGCTCTGCGCGGAAACAGAGACAAAGAGCGATTGAGCAACAGCAAGAGAATGAGAGGAAGACAGAGAGAGACGGGTCGCCATAGGTTTGGTAAAAATTTTACCTTGGGGATCCATGGGACGAGATTCGTCGGGATCATCCTGAGTCGGGAGAGATAAATCGTCGTCTCGAGATTTCCTCAAACTTCTTGCAAGCTTCTTCATTTTCACGTACGCCGCCACTCCTAGTCGTCGTCTTCCGCTCCGCCGGGAAATTTACGATGGCAGAGCTTTGGTTCGGTTAAGGAAGGAGGCGCCACCGGGCTGAGTTTTCTTCTCAGTTTTGATTTTGATTAGGTTTACGGGTAGATTTCACAGAAGGTCCCTGAAGTTGTGTGTTTGTTTGATCTTCGCCACCTAAAAATAAAATAGCTAACTTGACAGTTGACTCCAGATGGGTTTTGACTTTTGAATGTGAAATGAAAAAATAAGTTCATTGACGGATTGACCTTCTGATTCTATACTCGAATTGTAATGTGAAATTATTCTCCCATATCAGAAACAGAAAGGTGGTAATTTTGTGCTTTTCTCAATGTTTAAGTTCTGTATATCTATTCTCTTTTATAAATGTTGTTACATATTAAATATTCGTCGTCATACTTATCGTTAATGACTTTAGATATATTAAAATAAATAGTGATTGATGGCAATTTGTTCTCGTCTTATTAGATATTATCCGATTTGCTCTAGAGGCGGTTTATAAGTGGACGGGGCGTGCAACCCCCTTGGAAAAAACAATTGCAAGATAATTGAACATTACCTGTTAATCTCAGGCCACCCATCTGACCATCTAAATTTGAGACGTTTTGTGTTGTTGAAACTTTTATTAAAATCCTCAAAACTCAATTGCCACTTATTGTTATCTATGACTTGTTTAAATCCACAAAACTCAATTGCAAAAAGGAGAAACTGATGGAGTTGTCTACTACCCTATGAGTTTGTCAGAGACTAAATTCTTTTCAAGTAGTTCTAGCACTTAAGTCGCGTTAGAGGACTAAGTCAATTTTCACTCACACTCGCTCGACTCATAATAATGGAGAGAACTCTCGTTAGAGTTGTATTACCCAACACTTGGATGATTTATGAATGGATTCACAAGTGAGGAGAAGCACTCCTTAGATAGCCTCCGCCTTCTCAAATGGACGCCTAAGATATTCACTAAATCCTACCATCACAATAACTAAATGAAAGATGCATTAGTGCCATATATTGAACACGAACTATGTGCTACTTTGTACATGAAATGTATTTTATAATGCTTTTAATAATATGAAATCCCTCGGTTCGTATGTAAGTGACATGCGTTGGACTATTATTGTGAATCTATAGTATTATTTTGATGACGTTTTATTTCATTTAGAATATATTTTCTATTATGCATTTGATTTTTTGTGGTATGGAAAAAACACCCCCGACCAATTTTCTGGCTCCGCCACTGACTACTTGCGCACTAGCTCGCTCCGTCTTTACCTCTGACCTCCATTCTGCCTTAATTTGTCTCAACATCTATTTTATTTCTCCTATTTTGACTTATCTTTATTCATATTTTCACCCAATGGCACTTCGAATAAGTGAAAGACTTTAACTACGAATTGGACTAAATTAACCTACCTAGCATCTCTATTTGGTTTATGAACGATTTTTTCTTTGTTTAATCGTAAGAAAATAGAATTTTTCCTCAAATAATATGTAACAATGAGTGTCAAATATACCGAAATTGAGTGAGTTCTCGAGAAAGACGTATAAGCCGGATAAATCTTATTATAATTTGATAATTGAAGTTAAATATATTGTTTAAAGGAAGATGGGTGGTTGATACTTGACAGCACATAGAATTAGTGTGAAATTCAGTGAGATAGCTAAACCCATCCTCATCCCTGCCCCCACAACAAAACTAATGCGGATACAACAATAAAAGTGAAATCATAAATTGGAAGGAATCGTGGGCTGAGCTTCATGAAAAGAGAATATGAGCAAATGTAAACAAGAAAACACAAATCTTATGCATGGACATGCTGGTTCTTTCTAAACTAACAAGCTAGTTACAGATCTGCTCTTCCTGGGTATCTTGGGAAGGGAATAACGTCTCTAATGTTGTCAATGCCGGTCGCAAACAACAGCATTGTTCAAATCCCAACCCAAACCCACTGTGTTTTACGGTCCCAAACCGACGAAGGTCAAGGTACCACTCATATGGCTTCAGAGGCAGCCCCATCTCCAGAATCCTGTCATCAAATGGCACTCATTAGAACAAAAGTGACAATAACCTTCAACTTCCAAGTCGATTATAGAAACCCTAACCAGCCAACATGCAATAGTATACCTTTCTTTGATAACTTCGTATCTTTCCTCCCTCTGACTTCCACCAATCAACTCTCCTACCTGAAATTGACAGGAAAAGTAAGCTCCGAGTAAACTGATCGAAATGCGGCTGAAACTTGGTAATGTGATTTCAGAGGTGTCAACAGAAGGATGAAATATTATTTTACCTTGGGTACAAGGACATCCATTGCAGCCACTGTCTTTGAATCGTCATTGAGCCTCATGTAGAAAGCTTTGATTCCTTTAGGGTAATTGTAAACAATCACCGGCTTCTGGAACTCATTCTCGGTTAAGAACCTGAGTAGATGATGAACAAAATCAAATAAGCACTGCCCAAAACAAAGATGGTCTGTTTTTTTTTTATGAACACAATTGAAGATGTGAAGGTTTTGCATGACAATACCTCTCATGTTCGGATGCCAGATCAATCCCCCATTCGACTTTGTTATCAAACTTCTTACCACCCTTCACAGCCTCCTCAAGGATTTTCACTGCTTCTGTATATGAAATTCGCTCAAAAGGAGTCGATGCCACCATTCTTAGGCGGTCAATGCAGCCTTTGTCAGCCATGAGCTCCATGTCATCACAGCATTTGTCAATTAGCCACTGGGACATGTACTTTACATATGCCTCTGCCCAGTTCATGACATCCTGCAAATAATTTGGTATACAAATCATTCTTTTATCTCATCAAAAGCAGAACATCAAGCCTCACAGAATCACCACATCTTTAATAACTCCACAATTGTTCTCGTTTGCTTACTGTAAGACACCGAATTGAACTTTCAGAAACAGAGAATGAACTGCATATACATACATACCTGAATATCTGCATCAACTATCTCGGGTTCCACCATCCAAAACTCAGCCAGATGCCTCGAAGTATGAGAGTGTTCGGCTCTGAAACTCGGCCCGAATGTGTACACATCGCCAACCGCACAGGCACAAGTCTCAAGTTGCAACTGACCAGAGACGGTCAAGAAAGCCTGACGTCCAAAGAAATCAGCAGCATAGTCAATCTTCTTCCCATCTTTCTGAGGGATACCAGGTTTAGCAGCCACTCCCACCTCCCCTTTCTCCAGCTTCTCCGCCTCGCCAACCATCGTCGTCACTCGGAACATCTCACCAGCGCCCTCGCAGTCGCTGGTGGTGATAATCGGGGTATGAATCAGCCGAAACTCGTTCTCGTGGAAAAATGAGTGCGTAGCGAAAGCTAGGGCATCGCGAATTCGGATGATTGCAGAAATCTGGAAGCCAAAAACAACAGCATTTGCCATTCAAGAGTCAATTCTATACGAAAAGGAAAACAAAATTCAGAAAAAGGGAACATCGATTGGATTTTTTTTACCATGTTGGTTCTGGGGCGGAGGTGGATGTGATTGTGATCCCTCAAGACCTCCAGGCTGAGCTGGGTTTTGGGAATTGGATAAGCTGGATCAACCGGACCAACGTGGAGAACCTTCTCGAGTCGGAGCTCAATCCTCTGCTTCTTACCTACGGGCGGCGCCACCAGCAAACCCTCGACCTTGACGGAGGCGCCCGTCGCCACCAGCGAACCTAAATTGGCCATGGCGGAATCCACAATTACTTGTAGATTCGCCGGGCAAGACCCGTCGTTGACTTCCAGGAAGGCGAATGTGCCCTTCCCTTGCTCCCTCCCTGTCTTGACCCATCCGAGGACGCGGATGCGCTGCCCGGCCAGCCCAGCTCCGCCGTCGGGGCGGGAGAGGATGTTAGAAATCGAACAGGAAAATTAGGGTTACCGATCTGGCTGAGTCGCGGACTAGGTCGCTCTCTTTAAGACGTTCGCGGCACTGCCTCGTATTGCGCACAGCAGACTATCAGCCGGTCGCCTCCAGGATAAAACAGCCATTCTATTTTCTTGCTCATCGGTTTTGTGCGAAAAACCGGAGCTCTATGAATTCACTCTCTCTCGTGTTTCTGCTCTTCTGGGGTGTGTTTAGAGGGTCTGGGGCGTCTCCTATTTATAGGAGCAGAAAACCCAGAATATTCCCTCTTTCTTTGGGAATAAGTCATATTTTAATTAGGGAGATAATTACTCCCATAAATAAAATATAATCTATTAAGATAATTATTCCTAATTATCTCCATAATATTCCTTTTATTAATTATCCATCTTATTTATGTATTATGGGAAAATACTGGATAATTAATTAGGAATTTCATTTATAGCTTTTCAAGGCTATTCATCCCAACAATCCCCCACTTGAATAGTTTTGAAACTATCTCTGAGCATCAACAGTTCCATAAGATCGGGCATAAGCTAAGGTATCGCGAAGATTTGAACCTTAGCGTAGTGGTTACACTTCCGATTTCATAAGGGTGACTCGTAGTCTTGAACCCTATCTCAGACAATGTAGCACACCGGATCTTTTCATTGAGTGATATTCTCTCATAGGCCGTGCGTTTATGGCCATGCACGTTATCCCGGTTTAGTGAACGCTCTAGCAACTTTGTGCCTCCAAAGTTCCATAGGGAGCGGCCCCACTCCCACATTCACATAGGTGAGTCTATCAGAAGTACCCCCAAAGTAAAGTACTTCACTCCACATAGAGTATAGATCTCATTAAGAGTTTAACTCAACCTCCAAGGCTTTGGGATTCATGCTTCACTATGCATGAACTTTTCTCAATATTACTCATGACTTGTTATTACCCATTGAACCCGTTTCTTGGGATCTCCAGTCTATCGGGTCGGGTTACCATCACTTGTAATCCATGGTTCGGTAGGCATAAGTCTCATACCCTTTGTGGTATTTTGGACTTTCTCTCTAGGTAATCCTTTCGTCAAAGGATCAGCTAGATTCTGTTTGGATCTTATATGATCCACCCTCACTGCTCCTATCGTTAGGAGTTCTCTTACAGTACTGTGCTTACGACAAATTTGTCGTCTCTTTTCGTTCTAGAACCGGTTCCCTTCTATTGCAATAGCTGCGGTGCTATCACAATTAATCAACTACCGGAGGGATCGGTCTTTCCCATAAGGGAATCTCTAGTAGTGACCCTCTCAATCAACTTTCCCCTTTACTAGCCATTGCTAGTTCTATCATTTCTGATTTCTTAGTTGATTGAGCCAGGATCGTTTACTTCTTAGACTTCCAAGACATAGCTTCTCTATCGATGTTTAAAACACAGCCTCTTGTTGTCTTGGAGTCCTCTATAGGGTATTCTAATCCGCATCATTATACCCTACCAATACAGCAAAACCTTTGATAACAAATACCAAGGTTTTTTCTGTTCTTTTAAGGTGTCTCATGACCCCTTTCAATAGCATTTCAATGCTTCATACTAGGACAATCAGTAAGCCTGCCAAGTACCCCCACTATGTCGGGTCTCATGTTTATCAGCTGTCTCTCGCGGACTGTCGATGCTAGTATGTTCTTACTTTCTTACACCGTCTTTGGTGCTCTTAAAAATTATACTAGCACCATCAAACATTTATGCAGGTGTAGAACTCGTATTTCCTCTAGATCTAACTTTGTAGTTAAACTGATCTAGATGAAATCTCTTTCATTGTCCTAGTAATCTGGATCTCCGAGCATAACACTTGCTTCATCCAGATCTTTTTACATTCATAATTCTCAAACAACATGTTTTTTCATAATATTGACATCACGAGTCTTTGTACCAAAGATCGAAGTGTCATTCATAATGCAAGTGTCATTCTCGAATTTGTACTAAATGCACTTGTCACTTTCATTTTAAAACCATGAGAGAGAACTCGATTGTTCATGCCACTGTTTGTGAGTCTATTTCAAATCCTACAATGATTTGTCTAACTATAGACTCCATAAGCATGTTCAGGAATAACAACCCTATAGGTTATCCCATGAAGATTTCTCATTTCTCTATCTAAACCACCATTCACAAAAAAGGTTTAACATCCATCTGATGCACAGCAAGAGCAATCATATCATACATGGATGTTACTCTACATATTAGTGAGTAGATATCAAAGAAATCTTCAATTTTTCCTCTTCGCTTAAATCTTTAACTATTAAGCGATCCGTATACTCATAAACTAAACCATCAGGTTTCAGTTTTTCTTTTAAGAATCCATTTATTACCCATGACTTCATTGCCAAGAGGTAATTCTCAAAGATGCCAAATCTTGTTCGATTCTATCGATATATTACCCAAGGTTTTTCAACCAATAGGTAACTCTACAAGATTTTAAGTCTTATTAGACTCCAATAATTCCATTTCGTTAATAATGGATTCTCCCACAATTCTGCATCTTTATGGAAGTTCAAACTTCTAGCAGACTTGTAGGATCTGTCTTTCTTAGGGTGTGAATAACAAATTCATAACCAAAATCCTTTCGTGATTTATGGTTCATTTGTCTCTTCTGAGTTTAAACTCAGATTTATCACCCCCACTAGCTCCATTATTTCTAATAGTAGGCAGGACACTACCCCCACTATTTCTTGATTTAAAATGGAAGTTTCTTGGCATTAACGGATTTCACAACAACATGAGTATTTCGTTTCATAGGAACTATGTGTTTTTATTGTTAACAACATAAAACACACTCATATGCTCTTCTAGTTATCATGCTACACTGATTTTCTAATGCTACCACATGCATGCCACATATCGAATAATCAGTGCAATCATAATGCAATTAGGCATTTCAAACCATTTCAAATAACTAGTCAGACAATCAGAGCACTCTAAAGAGCAATAAATCATTTATTGTCTTTTCCATCAAGTTTACCCATATCAAAATAAATCAGATCTATCGATTCTGATTCTCTAACCACATAATTATGGGTCATTTAGCTTGAATATACAAAATTCATCTTTTTCTCAAGCATCCAGTAATAATATGGGAATGCGATATAAGATATTCTAATTCTTCTCACAGACACACTTGGAAGAATTTATCTTATCTACTTAGCCATTCCTTACATCTAGGATAGTCAATGACTTTCCAGAGGTAAGGTTCTCTTCCACTTTCCAGGAGCATCAACAATAGTGATGAAGGCAGAACCCAACAACACTTTCACGCATCAATACTGTATGATTGAGCTTAACTCGTTTATCATACAAATGCCTTGAGGCATCATTATCCAACAACCATTCTTTAGAGTTACCATAAAGGTCATCCTCTACTACCAAATCCTCTTCTTTACTCAAGTTAAAGATGATACCATGTTTAACTTGTTCATACACTTTCGTGTCATATGACCTAGTTTCCCGCAATCATAGCAGAGAAAAAATAGCGTCATTCTTAGAGGATTGACTGGCAATCTTTTGATTACCACGAAGAGTCCCATTGTAATTGGTATGGATCTGGTTCGGCTTGCTGCTCTCATTCTTGAAACTTTAATGTTTCATAGCAGTCTAAGTGGTTCGTGTAGTACTAATAATAGTACTTCTTACAATATCATTATTATGGGCAATAAACCCATTCTATTCCCATATATTCTTCATATACACTCATGTAAACAAAATTACTCTATTCCATAACATGCATTCAAATTTAAGCTCTACTCATTGAGGAAAACACATCTCAATGTCAACATAATCATGCATCAATACTCAATCTCTCTAGCATTCTCAAAATATCTCAATTGCATGCATAATATATGAAATAGATTCTACTTTTATCATTCATCAATGACTCATGAGGAAGGTTCAGTTCTTACCTCTTTTCAAGAAGTCATTTTCTTCTGAATTTGCCACAAATAACTTCATTCTCATGATTCGTGTAACATTACCGCTTCGAGAAGCATATGCGCATGAGGCCTCCCCATATTTACACAAAAGCTGAGAGCAATTCCTAACTTTTTGTCCTGCAGCAACTACCAAACAAAATTTCCATGCATACATGTATATATATGTATATAGCACATCTCTGGTGACATATAAATATTTCCATCTTTACGTCAAAGATCCACAAGGAATGGCTGCATTCTCTTTTGCTCTATCGTCGTGGATTATGGCTTCCAAGATAACATCTGCTTCTTATTGACAGAACACGTTCTAGAGATGCATCCTCCATTATTTGCTCCATAATGGCTCATTGGCAACTCATTCACGGCACCCATTAATTTTCAACCGAAAGAAGTCAAAAAATTGTCAAAGTGATTTACGGCACCCAAAAGCAACAGAACTCATACGTGTCCCTTCTGAAATAAAACTCAGCTAGGTTACCGTGGAGCAAGTGAAGCTGGAGCTTCTGGCTAACGAGTGTTTCCCGTCGGTGAGAGGCAAACTTAATTGCGATTGGGGCAATTGTTTCCAGAACCTCCACGCAACAGATCCGAGGGCGGATCAAAGAGAAACTTCTCGTAAGATCCACTTGAACTCGGTTGCCTCCAACCCCTCAGACACCTTTCTTTATGCTCGAGGTGGAATTGTGCGGAGTTGATTGATCCGCGATCGATCGATCTGGCTCCCCAAGACAATTGACAGTGACTTTCATGAAATCCACGGTAGTGATGTACGCACGGCGATACAAACCAGAATCGGCATCCTGTTCAGTACATATGACAGCAACCAAACGTCTTAAAATTGTTAGAAATCGAACAGGAAAATTAGGGTTACCGATCTGGCTGAGTCGCGGACTAGGTCGCTCTCTTTAAGACGTTCGCGGCACTGCCTCGTATTGCGCACAGCAGACTATCAGCCGGTCGCCTCCAGGATAAAACAGCCATTCTATTTTCTTGCTCATCGGTTTTGTGCGAAAAACCGGAGCTCTATGAATTCACTCTCTCTCGTGTTTCTGCTCTTCTGGGGTGTGTTTAGAGGGTCTGGGGCGTCTCCTATTTATAGGAGCAGAAAACCCAGAATATTCCCTCTTTCTTTGGGAATAAGTCATATTTTAATTAGGGAGATAATTACTCCCATAAATAAAATATAATCTATTAAGATAATTATTCCTAATTATCTCCATAATATTCCTTTTATTAATTATCCATCTTATTTATGTATTATGGGAAAATACTGGATAATTAATTAGGAATTTCATTTATAGCTTTTCAAGGCTATTCATCCCAACAGAGGATGGATCGAATTAGGACCCGATCGCGCAAGGGATGCTTGAGGTCTGATGCGGAGGACAGTGTGGCGGCGGCGGCGTCTTTCAAGTTCGTAGTAGCCAGCTCCGCCGCCACCGGCGTATCCGTACCCGCAGATGACGGAATCGAACCACGGTTGTGGTGATCCCCGCCGGCGTTTTGCATAGCTGCCACTTGGTCTCTTCCCAAAGCTGCAATCAGAACGGGGAAGAGAAGGGAGAAGAGAAGAGGAGAACAGAATAAACCCTAAGGACTGGGTATTGTTGTGTTGAGACTTAAAGAGGAGTGGTTTATTTCTCTGCGCGGGAATTCCTCGCGGGACCGCGGCCGGTGCGTTTCTTCCTTTTCAAGTAACACGTTTATAATAAAAACTAGAGACACAAAGTACATATTTATACTACTAATTCCACAAACCTTTTCCCTCTCAAATAAGGTAAACTCATCCTAACCAAACAAGTAAACAATGACTTCCTGGACAAGATACCTAATGATTAATAATATTCCTAAACAAGAACTAACAAGAATGGCCCAAAACAACAATAATAAATTAATAATTCACGAATAATTAACTCGATTGCTCCAAGTAATAATAATGATTAATGGAATAGCAATGTGGGGCACGAGATGCATGAATGCATCAACGTGGTAGCATCGAGTGGAGTGAGTAAGAAGGCATGGATCCGATGAATTTGACTAGACATACAAACGAGTCTAGTTTTGACATACTTTGAGTCAAACTCGTTGTTAAGCGAGTCGAGTTCGAGTTCGAGTTGTTTGTTGAAACTTTGTTTGTGCTCAAATGGACATCGACTCATTAATGAGTGCACAAACTCTAATCGAGTTCGGTTCATCATATAAACTCACGAGAGCAAGTTGAACTCAAGTGTAATATAATTTTGCTCATATAGTCATTAGTATCTAAATAATATATGCTATATAATTTTCTTTCAAATTATAAGTGAGATATATTTACTCATGTACTCAAAATCATAAACATCATATTTAGCTGGGTATATGTTCTGCCAAACTTATAAACCGCTAGACACATTGCCGAGTAACATCATGGTTTATAGCAGAAAATAAGTTAGCTCACAATTTGAGCTCAACGAACCATTGAGTCAAGCTAATTTGCAAGCCCAACAAAACACAGTTCAAATTTGACTCATTTGCCGCCTAATTTTGACTCAATAATAATAGGCTAAAAGCCCATATCGCTGCGGACCCGCAGCTTGAAAACCACCCCAATAAATAAAGGAATAAATTTAGCCCGGCCACAAGTCCACGGACCCAGCCCACACAATCCCAGCAGCCAGCAGCACTCATATCGCCCAATAATATATAATCACTAAAACCCTAACCCTAACCCTAAAAATCACCCTTGTAGCACATTCACATCGCAGCTTCAGGCGGCACATTCAGGGGGCAATTACTGCATATCGACGGCGACGAAGCGGCAGAAGATATATCACAACCATGGGTAAGAGGAGCTTGCGGAGATCTTCTGCTTCCCTTAGTGAAACTAATCAGCGGGGAACTGATTTCCGGAGAGGGGATTTCGTTCTTTGATTTGCAGGTAAGGTTCACGGTTCATTGGCTCGTGCCGGTAAGGTGAGAGGACAGACTCCCAAGGTCGCGAAGCAGGAGAAGAAGAAGAAGCCACGTGGTCGTGCCCACAAGAGGATGCAATACACCCGCAGATTCGTCACTGCTGGTATGTTATCTCCCATTCTCTTCTCTCTTGATCTAGCTCCACTGCTCCCAGTATGAATTGTCCATTTCTCCCCCTTTAGATTTTCTTATTGGTATTAAAAATTCGCGTGGGCGTCTGTTTCAATTGGAGGGAACTGGTAGTCAGCTCTCTTTCGCTTGGTTCGCGTAGTAAGGTGTGTAAGTGCTTCTGTTATCGTCAGTTGGAAGGAAATGCACTTGTGGGGTTGTTTTCCATTCTCAATTAGGGTTTTGGAAACGATGTGCTCAGTTTTGTTCCTTGGAATCATAGGGTAATGAGGACAAGTTAGTTCCTATATAGGAAAAGGAATTCACTTTCGACCTACTATACAAGTCGATACCATCTGATTTTGAACTCAGGCCTGTTATGTAGTTTCACAATGTTCATTAGTAACTATTCCACATTTCGGAGCTCTGTGTCAATCCCATTTGTGAGATGGTATATTTAGGATTGCATTGCTTGGTTACCAGGTTCTGAGTATGCTGTTCCTTTTCTGCTTATTTGGTTGCAGTTGTTGGATTCGGCAAGAAGCGAGGACCCAACTCTTCCGAGAAGTCTTAAGCAGTGGTAGTCCTGGCTATGTAGGGGGTGAACACTGCTACTGTATGTGTGTGTTGGAAGAACTCAAAATTTTGTCATGGACGTGGATTGATTTTACTTGCTATCGAGCATTGAACAGCTATTGTCGATTCAGTATGTAATGAGATTTTCCATTCAAAGAGTAGTCTTGAGTTTCTTTGGCTTAGTCTCCTTCGTTTCTCCGTATGTCTACTAACATCATCGTAATTATCTAGTTGTATTTCATGAATTCATCAGTAGCATGAATGGCTAGGTGAATGCAGGTTCAGATATAGTCCGACTTGGTACAAAGTCGAAGTTGAGAGCCATATGGTTCAGCAGAGGGAAGACGGAAGAGTGGATATCTTGTGCATCTTTCAAGGTACCTGGTTCGGGTGGAAAACCTGATGATATAGATGACAGGATTGGATCACCAGACAAGAGTTGTCGGCTTTAGTTTCCAGTCGGCGGTTGTTGTAGAGACGAAGACATTGTTGCTGCAATCTGGTACACTAGAGATTATGGTCTTCACTCTACCATCCCTGATCCTATCAAGACTGTTGGTCTACCATGTTAGTAATTTGATAACACATCTAAATTCGAACCAAAAATAGTTCGTCATTTGGTTCCTTTAGAGTGTGCCTCCGGCTAATCACTAGGGATGGCAATTTTGACCTGACCCGTTTTACCCGACCTGTTTGACCTGTTTTGGGGCGGGTCGTAGGCGGGGCGGGGCGGGCATGGGTAGTCTCATCGACCCGACCTGCCCTGACCCGCCCCATTCTCGACCCGTTCTTGTCTAATTTACATGTAATCTTAGTCAAATTACTTAGAATTTTCCTTTTATTGCATCATATTTTAGCTATAATAAAGTTGTAAATTAGTAAAAACTTCAATTTCTCCAATAATTTAACTATAATTGTCATAATATTGTTTGTTTTCTTAGTCTTATAATAAAAATAACGAATATTTCTAATGTTTTTCATATAAATTGCATACCCATTGGGTCGACCTGCCCCGACCCGCGACCCGTGATCAATTACCCGACCTGCCACGGGGCGGATCTGGGTACCAAGAAACCCGCCCCGGACCTGCCCATTGCCATTCCTACTAATCACTTCGTAACAGAAAAGGAATCTTATTCCTACAACGATGGATCAAGGGAAGAACGAAAGATGGATGTGGATATTGTCCTGTTGTTTGCATCAGAATAAGTTCTACTGCAAATTTAAAGTCCCAACTCCCATCGGACTGGCATCTCTTTATTGAATGGCTTACATAGTTACATTTGATCACAGTCTCTGTTATTGATGATAGCATGACTCGTTGGACCTGTGGGCGAATCCTTTCTTCAGTTCCTCGCGACCTGGAATCAAGACAACCCTAAAATCAAAATCGCTCTTAGAAAATCACATCTTCGAATCATATACTGGACATGATCTACAAAAGTGAACACAGAGAGGGAAAGGGAGAGACAGAGAGGTACAAGAGGGATCGAATTGTTGTTGCAGTATATAATAACAGCTTTGATGTTTTCCTCCCTGTGCTGGTCATTCATGGAGTATACTCTGCAGCTATTGTTTCTCACTAAGGAACCCCTGCAACTCTTTTTCCCTGTCATAGAACGCCACGGACTCAAACACAGCAAGTAACGCCTAATGCTCTTCCAAGCCGCAGTGCAGGTGTTGCAGCTTCCCATGCCAGAATGCTCCTTGTTCTTCTGGATGCTTGAACTTCTGGGTCCTTGCTTCAACCCAGCCATGGTGGTTGTCGAGGAAAAAGAAGGTAACCTCCACCTTTGATATAATCCCACTTCTTCCTTCTTTCTCTGCTTCTCCAGTCTGCTTGTTTTGTGTCTGGTATGGGTTTGATCCGAAAGATAAAATGGAACACGGTAGTATCCACTACACCATGAATGTCCCTCATTTACTATTTTTACTGGTTTTGGGGATATGATTTTTTGTTTGTTTCTCATCCAGCAGTGGAATCATTCATATACAATACAACTTCCTGATCTGCTCATTTGGAAGCAATTCTGTGAGGAATTCCATTGCAAGTCCACAATGCAACTTCCCAAATCTTGCGTTCAATACATTTCCTAAAATGAAACTTTTGGTTTCACCATGATAATAGGATTACACGATGGGAGAAGGGAAAATCCAACTTAAATGTTAAGTGAATCTACTAAGAAGTGCACAAATATGGCGTTGCTCCAAGAAACAAGAAAGCAATCCAACATTCATGTGGCTCTTCACAGCTCATCGTGAGGCCTTATTACTTCTTCAGGAGGCGTTGCAGATCCCGGCTGATGCTCCAGCAAGTACCTGACGGCCAGCGAGGCGTGCAGAGCTGCTCCATATGGAAGCACATCTTCGTTGACTTGGTATTGTGGTGAATGACTCGCCACAAGTGGTTCTCGAGTTTCGTTCTGCATTCCCACGAAGAAAAAGCAGCCAGGAACTTTCTCTGCATAGAAAGAGAAGTCCTCCGCACCCATCAATGGTTCCATAACTTTCAGGTTCTGGGTCCCCAACATGTCTCCCGCAATACCAAGGAAATACTCGTGTAGACTTGCATCGTTCACCGTAGCAGGATATGTCTGCTTGTTGTTCGGATTGAAGTTAATGGTTGCATTGCACCTCTGGACCTTAGCCTGCCCCGTCACAACCTGTTGAGAACCGAGATTATTGAGACATGAACATCAATGGCAGGGCACTGAACTAACAATCAAGAATGATCCATCCATGATACTACAACTATGGCGAGAACCTGTTCTATGCGTTGCTTGATCTGGGCAAAGCTATCTTTGGAGAAGGCCCTAAATGTTCCTCCAATGGTGGCAGAATCTGGAATGACATTGAACGCACCACCTCCTTCAAATTTACCAACGGTCACCACCTGAAGCATAATTGTATAAACTTTAAGATGATCGTGAAAGCAACAAAGCAAGCAACACGCAAATGCGGTAATATAGTCACCTGTGAGTCTAAGGGATCAGCTTCACGGGAAACAAGGTGCTGCAAGCTGACGACTATACTGGAGGCTGCAAGAATGGGGTCAATGGTGTGGTGGGGAATGGCAGCATGGCCTCCTTTCCCAGTTATCACAGCTTCGAAGAACCCACTCCCAGCAAGAAGAGGGCCAGCTCTTGAGGCCACTGTGCCAATTGGGAAGCTGGTACTCACATGAATCCCAAAGATGGCGTCCACACTGTCAACCACTCCAGCTTCCACCATTTGCTTTGCTCCTCCGCCTCCTTCCTCAGCTGGTTGGAAAACAAACAGAACTGTCCCCTAACCCAAATCCAACACATCATATAACCAACTTAAAAGGACTGCTTCCAGAAACTGCGCATAATGAAATGTTACATACACTTGAGAAAAAGTCAAGAAAGTGTGTTCCATTCCATACACCGACTAACGCATGAAATGTGGATTCCATGATACTTACTTTTTCTCTTGCTTAAAATACGCAAACAACACAATGGATTGGTCCATCCATATGAACGGTTAAGAAATTGAATTGATTGATGTTTCAAACCTGCAAATCATGACTGTGGTGTTCCTGGAGCAACTTGGCAGCCCCAAGAAGCATGGCAACATGAGCATCGTGGCCACAAGCGTGCATTTTGCCTGCAACTTTGCTCTTGTGCTCCCATTCCACAGCTTCCTGGGTCAATAGCAAGGACACACAGAAAAATATCCCCTTTGATTCAATTTTAGCTTCTACGAGAAATGCCCACTTTGTGAATTAAGTAGCAAACAGAGAAAAAACAAGAGAGGGAAGGAAACCCCAAAAACCTGAAGAGCTAAAGCATCCATATCAGCTCTAAGAGCGACGAAAGGAGGTCCGCCGGTGCCAATAGAGGCAACAATCCCTGTAACGGCGAAAGGGTGTTCGTAACGAATCCCCAGCCGATCAAGCTCTTCACGGACCAGCCTACTGGTTTCGAATTCTTCATAACCGAGTTCTGGGTTCTCGTGGATTCGCCTCCTGATGCTTACCATGTAATCGACGAGCTCTGGGGTTTTGGCGGAGCTGAGGAAATTGATTGGGATTTGAGCAAGGGTTTGTTGTTCGGTTGGTGTTGATGAAATGGAGATGAAGAGTGTTAGGAGGAGGAAGCAGCGCCACCGGAGAGTAGCAGCCATGGGCGATGATGGTTGGGGTGAAAGAGAAGTGAGCAGAGATGGCGGGCATCGGCTGGAAGTGGAATACAATAGGCAGTGACGATTGACGACTTCTTTTGTAGTAGAAAGATCCAAAAGAGAGGAGGCTGGTTACGACATTACCTTGAGAGCTGTGGGGGAAAAGGACTGTTTGTCTATTTCCTTCGAGAGGTTTTAATTTGATTTTCAAAGGCTAAAGCGTGATTTAGCTCCTAAACTTGTACTTTTATTAAGCATCAAATTTACAACCTTGACTAGGTGACAAATTGTAGAGTTTTCGGCTTACACAGCATCTTTAATGAGCACTTACTTCAAATACAACAGTCGTACCTAGAAGGTTAAGTATTGTATTATCTTTATAGCCTAGTTAGTACCAGGGCAGACTAGTCGAGAGCAATTGGAATAGCCACGGACTAAAACAATTGATGTCTACTTCGATTCATTTGAGCTACACATTTGATGCCAATGCAAATGAAGAACCAACTTGAAGTTGTTCGACTAAAGAAAAAGATTTTGATCTTGATTTTATGTGGAGATATATATATATATATATATATATATGTATGTGTGTATGTATGTATGTATCTATCTTAGGTTAAAAAGAGGAGGTGACGAGTGTATTGGTAAATAGAATGAGAGTGTGTTTAGACTTTAGAGTAGAACTAGCAAATTATGGTCCAACCCTTGATCCGATCCGAACTTGTCTGAGAAATGAAAAACGGGTTGAAGTTTTTATAACCCGAGCGATCAATCATTTTTTGGGTTGGATTGGGTGGGTCAGCGGGTCGACATGTTTAACCCATTCCTTATCATATTTCACTCTCGAAATGATAAAATCACTCATAAATTGGTAAGATGTTTAACAAAATTCAGAAGGATGTGAAAGACAAGTTTGGAGTGTATGGATAATCAAATATCACGTGCTTCTTGTAGTAGTATTACTCTCATAATGTTCCTTGACAATTTGTATAATTTATATTTTCTTTCATTAGCATGTGAGGATTTGAGAATATGTGAATTGACATGTGTTAAGCAAATTATTGGCATGCATATATGAAAATTTGTGTTATTTAAAACAACATGAAGCATGTGTATTCTTGTTTCCGAGAACGCTCGTAAACCAAAATGACCTGAAACCTGACCCCAAAGTTTTTGGTCGGATCAATAGTTGACCCGAAATTAACCAATTCATGATGATTCGTAATCCGAAATTTCTAACCCAAAATTATCCAATCAACCTGATTGTCTGGTCTACTTTAGAGCAATTTAAGTGGAGAATAGTAAAGAAAGAGATCCGTGAGCGAAAAGATCGTAGTTCTCGAACGAGCAACCGAAACGATTCCGGAACATCCTCAGACTTCGGTATTGTTCCTCCAATGATTGTAGTACCAAGTATTTCTTGCAAGATGGACTTTACCTAGACTAAGAATGTAAAGTAGAAGTGTAGAAGTGGAGCTAAGTGTCTAAAATTGTGCAACAAGAAAATATATTTTGCCCTAAACAAACCCCTACATCAAGATAAAGAAAGGGTACACTAACAGAGAAGTGAAAGAGAAGTCTCTCTCTACCTTTCCCTTTCCGAAAAAACCTCTGACTTCTCTCTTCCGCCGGCCTCCATATTCAGATGCTGGGGCCTGCCGCCAGCTCCTTTTAGGTGACCGGCGGTAGCCCAAACCCTTTTATTTTCCTGCTTTTGTTTCCTTTTCTCGCTTTGGTGCTCTTGCCTGGGTCCTGGGCAGTTTTTAATCGGATTTTCAGCCGTTCTGGCTTTCAGTTTTCTCTTTTCCAGTTGAGTTATGGCTCTTCTTTCAGATCTGGGTCCTTGTTCTTGGGCTTGCTCGTCGTAGGAGCTGGAGTTTGCAACTTGGGAGCCCCTTCCAGATCTGGATGGTGGGTTGTCCCCCGTTGGTGGCATCATCTTCAAGGTGAAGCCATTCCCCTCTTCCCTCTCCGACCTCCCTAGGTGTCTGAGTGGCTTGGTGAGCTGTCGGATGATGGTGGGTTGGGTCTTCTCCGGTGGTTGCGGTTGGGACTTGGTGTTTTCGTGGAGGTATGTGGCTACCTTAGGAGCTTATGCTCTTCTTCGAACCTGATCTCTCTGCCTCGGCCTCCTCTGCCTCTTCAGCTTGGAGCAATCTGGTTATATCCTCTTCCACCGCCATGCGGTCTAGTTTCTAGATTCACTGTGATGGATGCCTTTGAGTTTTCCCCAGGAGGCGGCACATGGAGTGATGATGTTCAACTTCCATGGATTTTGATATGATCGGACAAGCTGATTTGGTTTTGTTGCACTTTGATTGGTTGTTTACAAGAGAGTTTCTTGATGATCTGTTTTCGGCCGAGGGTTTTGCTCTTTCCGAATGGTTGCTTTGCATACTGTGTTTGTTCTCTATTGCAGCATTTTGTCTTACACAGCTTTGTTTGTAACCGGATGCCTTGGGTTTCCTCTTGTATGGAACCAGATTGTTGGTTCGTTCTCCCTCTTTGTAACTGATCTTTTGAAGTGCAATAAAATCCTCTTTGTCAAAAAAATAAATAAAGAAAGGGTCAAAGGGAAGGCCTGCCGTGGTTAACAGATCCTAAACGACGCCGCTTTAAGTCAATCGGCAGTTCAGCAAGTTGTCAGGGGGATAAAAATGTAATTAATATAAATCGGCCAATGAGTATCAGCCACGCGTTACCCAGTGAACCAACTTCAACGCCTTGTGGAATTGGGGAAGGAAACGAAAAGCAGCTTCCTTCATCATCCCCAACAGAGAGACGCGCGGCTTAAGGAATCCATCCATTCCCTCTCTTCTCCACTATCAATCTCTGCTCAATCGAAAGCCCTAATTCTTTCCACCCCACCAATCAACTCTACCCGATCTATCAATTTCGCGCTTCTTACTATCCTATTCAACAGGTCTGCGAATTACAATCTTCGCCCGTCTTTTCTGCTCGTTCTTTTCCTTAGTGCTGTGGGTTTTTGATGTTTCATCGATCGGAATTTGTTCTGTGCTTGGGACGAGTATGGATTTGCATAATTAGGGTTTTGATCAATCGCGGGTCTTTGATATTTGGGTTTGATTTGGCAGATCGGGGGCAGGAGGGAGTCACTTCCGATATAGTTGAAAAATGTTTACCAGGATATTTGGCAAGCCTAAGCAGGAAGGCAATGCCCTGACCACCTTGGATAAACTGAACGAGGTAAAGATTCATGCTTTCTTTCTTATCTTTCTCTTTCAGCTACTTTTGTTGCAGAGTTTTTCTTGTGTGCGCGCGCTTTGGGTTAAGGATCGCGTGGCGGGATTTATTCAATGCCTTGAAGAGCTACTTCTTTATTGCTTTGAATGCTGTCGTGCTACTATTCTTTGGGCTATTGCGAGACTCTGGCTAGTTGAGCTTGAAGCATGATACATTCTATTGGGAGGAGTGGGCTTCTCATTGTTGTTGGCTTAGATTATGTAGCTTAACGATGTGATGACTGACGAGAGCTCCATGACATGATGTATGCTTGATTCTGATTGCCTTCTGTTTGCGTTATGCTTCATTAGTCTCAAAACTTGTTTCCTTTTGTGTTTTACAATCTCTACTCTTTGATTGGAAAATTATGCGTTATGCTTCATTAGTCTCAAAACTTGTTTCCTTTGTGTTTTACAATCTCTACTCTTTGATCGGAAAATTGGATTGTTGTTGTTTGTTGATGGTTTTTATGGGGTTTCTGACGGTTTGGTCTTACTTTTACTTTTTAATTGTGTAGACACTTGAAATGCTCGAGAAAAAGGAGAAAGTTCTTGTCAAAAAAGCTGCTCAAGAAGTTGAGAAGGCTAGAGAATATGCACGAGGAGGAAACAAACGGGGTATGGTAGCATCATGCGCTTGTAGTGCTTTTGGATACTGGTGATGGATTGGTGATGCAATTGCATTTGTCTTGTTAACTATGCATGTTATGCAATTTACCAGCATTCAGTTGCCCATTGCGAATTTCTTAGGGTGTTCACACCAGTTGAGTTTGGATATGAAAGGAAGAGTCTTTTTGTCGTGGATGCACTCACTATATTGACATGTATTGTTACCTGGATAGATAATTATTTTGTGTGTAGACTTGAGGGATGTGTATGCTTGCTGATGAGTACTGTTTTCTGCAGCTGCTCTTCAATCCTTGAAAAGGAAGAGACTGTATGAACAACAAGTAGAACAACTTGGAAATTACCAATTGAGGATTCACGATCAGGTGACCTATTTTTCCAGTATATGTCACTTTTTCTGTATGGACAAGCTCTAATTGTTGTTCTGGTAAATTTTATGTTACAGATGATAATGTTAGAGGGTGCAAAAGCCACTACTGAAACTGTTGATGCATTGAGAACTGGAGCAGCTGCAATGAAGGCAATGCAAAAAGCAACGTATGCAGAAATTATTTACCATTACTTTATGTATTTGCGGAGAGATTGTTTCCTTATAAGTTCAAGAACATCTGTGATCTGTTTAATGGTCATCTTGATTACAGGAATATTGATGATGTCGACAAGACTATGGATGAAATCAATGAACAAACCGAGAACATGAAACAGATCCAAGAAGCATTGTCAACTCCAATTGGATCTGCAGCCGATTTCGATGAAGTAAGATCACATGGATGGATATTTTTGGGGATTCTTGCTTACCATTACTGTTTTCCGAATGACAATCAAAACACTGGTCATTGTGCAGGATGAATTGGAGGCAGAACTTGAAGAATTAGAAGGTGCTGAGTTGGAAGAGCAACTTCTACAACCTGCAACCACAGCTCCTGCAGCTCCAGTCCACGTGCCTGCAGGCAAACAGCCTGCTCGCCCCGTTCAGCAAAGGAAGAATACTGAGGAGGAAGACGAACTTGCTGCCTTGCAGGCTGAAATGGCGCTCTAAAGAAGGTACAAGTCCTACACTCTCTCCCTTTTGGTTACTTTGGTTTGGATTTCCTCATCAGCCGGATTGCATTTACAGGTGTTTGGTTCAGTGTTATTTACAATAGCATCATGCAATTGAACAAATATATTGTCTTTCTTCACCACTTTTGATGATGCATTTAGCATATTTTGAATTCTACCTGTACTCTCAAATGCATCAGAATGATGTAGCCTCATATCGTATACTTTGGGGTTAGAAAGTATAAGAGAATGCACTCTACTCTACTGCACTGCAGCAGATAATATTCCTGCAAATACACCTCACATAGCAAGTTCAGAATAAGTAGTGTGCAATTGAGACAAATAACATCGATCTACAGATACACGGAACCAAACACACTCTTGCCTACAAGTTTAAGCTAATCAGCTGATGGGTAGGGATGCTTTTGTATGTAGCTGATGTGATTTTGGTTCTGTTTCTTGTGTGCAGGGAGTCAGCTGCCTGTGAAACACGGTAGAGAAGTATCTTTGGGGAAGATTGGTCATTTTGTATCATGGATTCTCCTTCAAACTCTCCTTTCACGCATCTTTGTGGTGTGGCACTGAACGGTGGACCCTTTGTATATAAGGATCTTGGAAACTTACCAACAAAGTTCTTGATAATTTGTAATGCTCTCTCTTTCTCTCTTTTTATGAGCTTTTGGTCATGCGTCCCCACATTTTTATACTTCTCTTCTCGGTTCTTTCCTGTGATCATAGGATGTGTGTCATCGATAACACTAGTACCAACTTGGTAGCCTTGCACTGTCATTTAGGACAATACTTGAAAAGTGAATAATGAAAATATATCAATTTCTGTTTTATAGTTTTATTTGTGGCCTATTCGACACGAAATTGTTGCTAATTTCTGAAGAGGTTGTGTGGCTTGAAAGTGAGATGTGTGCTTTGATTCATTGGACATAAATGGTTAAAATGATGATGCGTGATGGATGGGATTTCTCCCTGGAGTATAGTTTTTTAAGGAATTCTCAAACTAGATATGTTTTGGGGCAAATCGCTTTGTGTTAAAGAGGTTAGTGACAGATCGCTTGAGATCCCAACGATCTGCAACAAGATGCTTGCAACCTCAGTTTTCAATGATTAATCGATTGTGACTTTACTTATTCATTTTACTAATTTACTAATTTATCGTCACTTTTAGTTATGTAATGTCAGTATATTTGTAACTGTTGACATGTTCATTTTACGGTTTTGATATTCTATTCAATTCTTGTGTGAATATAGATAAAACTCAAACTACTTTGAGTAGGATAATAGATGCGCAGTTGCGCACTATCCAACTCTGACGTGTTGCCCGAAGGCTAGTTCGGGCAACAACAGAGCTCCAGAGTAAGAAGAGTGAAGGTATACGTGACATAGGTGGTATAACTCGAGAGCTCCAGATAATCTTGGGAGTGCCTTCAGCCTTTAGGACACCTACTGCAATCGAGTTGGAGAACAGCACCGTGCAAGCTCCAAGTAGTCGAATTCATCCTTCACCATGGAAACGACACGTGGACTACAAGCGTCCCCTTGGCAAATACACGTGTTGAGTTCACCTGACGTGGTAAGCGGTCATTATGTACACAAGTACCGTAGCTACAAAAATGTCGAAGGAAAAACATACATATATATATCAGCTTGCGATATCACTCATACGCCAAAATGTGGTCTAACAAGGAGCATTACTACGAAGCTGGCAAAGCCGAAGGCCGCGCTGAGGTACATACTTTCCATCTTCCCTAACAACGTTCGTTCTCTTGTTTCTACTTCCAATTCCGTTCTAATTAACGGCGTTTCGGTGAGCGCAGGCGAAGGCGGGGACGATGGCAGACACGGTGAAGGAAAAGGCGATGTCCGCCAAGGAGACGGTGGCAGCGAAAACGGAAGAGGTGAAGGAACGGGCTGGGGAGGCGGCGGAGGCAGCGAAGGAGAAGACTTACGAAGGGAAAGAGAAGACGAAAGGTGTGCTGGCTGAGACGGGGGACAAGGTGAAGCAGACAATTGGGATGGGTGAACACGACGACGATCAGGCAACCACCGCCGGTACCGGCGAGCAGAGGGAGACTCAGGAGGAGCGGCAGGAGGTGTCACTCGATCCAGAAGAACCAGTGAAGAACATGGAGGTTTTCAACATCATAACGTCAGTATGACATTAGTTGCGGATGAGGGTCTCTCTCGTATTCTAGTTTTCCTTATTGTCTTAAGGTCACATATACATAAGATAATGTATGTACAGCTGCGCTAAGACAAACCCTATTTATATAGTCAAAATCTATAATTAACTCAACTTTCAAATCAATGATGAGTTACTAGCCCAAAAAAATCATTGATTGTCGGTTTTAATGATTAACATACATTTCGAATCGAATCTACCTATTGATTTGAAAAGTTGGTTATAAATGTCTTTTAGTCAAAACTGACATTTAAACTTCTGACCAATCTAGAATATTAACCCAATAATCAATTATAATGTCAAATTATGTTTTATGGCTTTATATAATCTTATATGTGTTTACTTGATGCCAACTCTACACCAGATTGTAATGATGAGCCTGTGAACCAGATAGTCTAGGGAGTGCCTTCAGCCTTGGGGACGCTAACTGAACTGAGAGGGAGAGCAGGTGGAAGCTCCAAGTAGTCAAATTCATCCGTTACCCCCACCTGCAATTTAGAATGGAAAAGATGGTCGATATCAGTTTCAATCAAGCATGATAGCACTGTGTTTTAAGTGAAGTTGGCACACTGTCAAAATTCGATCCCTAGACGATGTTCTTTGCTTTAAAACTCGTACCTCCTTGAAGAGGTTATCGAGCTGCTCTGTCGCTTGGGGGAAGTTCTTTGAACACCATTGCCTCAATGTGAAGATATTGTCTGCCATTTTCAAGTACGAAGAAGAATATTTAGAATCATGATCAGAGCAAACAAGATTCAGGTCTCTTTTACAAGTAGCTAAAAGTACCTGTCCATCTGTTTGCAGCTGCATGGGCGACGTCGATAGCTTCCTCTGTGAAGTCAAAACAGGAGACATTATTACTGAGTTAGGGGGTTGTTCTGCAGTAGATAATTTAAGCATTCAAACTAGAGCAGGCGCTGAACTCATTGCTTCGAAGGCAGCTGGATCATTATCTGCATGTTTTGCCAACTCCTCCTGTTATACATCAGACTTAGTTAGAGGGGTTCATTGTATGATCTTCATAGCTTGATGTGGGTTTTGAGGAATTAGGTTTTTACCTTCAGCTCGTTGTGCTTTGCTTGAAGACCTTTCAGCTCAGTCAAGGCTACATCTCGTTCATCCTGGTTCAAGCTCAAACTCAGATAGTCAGTGACCTCGTTTGAGCATTTTTAATAAGTGAATGTGAAATGGGACTTAAATATGCGTACTGATTCTTCACGCCCCTTCTTCAGGGCTGCAGACTGTTCAACAAGCTCCTTGTACCGCTTATTACTGCTTTCCAAATCAGATTTAAGTTTGTCGTATACATTCTTCAGCTGTTTTTACTCCAAGGTGTCAGTTCAGGGAAAAGATAAATCTTAAGATGATGAATTTCAGGCTGGTAGAGGAATCAAAACATCAATGCTGCACCTGATTTCCCGCACTGCTAGGAAGGCTCCAAAAGTATACCTGGGATGAAGAAATTGTTCAGCCCTGATCTAGAAATAGAATTTCATTTGTCAAATAAAGCAGGGCAAGAGCAGTTACATACCGATGTTCCTATTTTGTCTTTTAAAACCAGGTCGTCGTCCACAAGACTCTGGATGACATCTTTCACGGACTGAGTGATTACACCTTTCTTAGGACCGAGCTTCTCGAGTTCCTTGAGCTGAAAGCACAAGCAGCAAATATCAATAAGCAGTATATACAACCTTCAGAGTAGCTAGATAGCAAGCAGATCGCCGGTATCCATTTGAACTAGCATTATTTAAGGGAATCAATGTAGGAAACTAAAAGTGTCGACTAGAGAACTTGTGAGGGAAGAACATAGGTTACACATTGAATCACCTCCATCCAAGCAGATGAACAAGTGAAAAAAGCGTCTCAGCAGCGAAAAGTTCACCTATTCTAGCCATATATGAAGCTCTTGATGTAAAAGCTGGAGTTAGTGAGATCATTTAGAAGGGGGGAAATTCTAGTACTGCATATATTTTGCTGATTGCTCTAGCATACTATTGCCATTACCACCAACTTATTTGGGAGGCAAGACAAAATTTACCTAGAAAATCAGATCACGGAAAGTAGTTGAATCAACAAAGTCGAGGACAACTTCTCCACTTTCATGTCATTAGGTTGACATGAAAGAAGCAGCCAAACCAAAACCAGCATGCATAACTAAGTATTTCATTCCATCTGACGATTTCCACCCCCACGAATTTGACATAAACCAATCTAGGTAAAGGTAGTGAAACGGCATTCGACATTGAGAGAGCAGTACGAAAATTTATAATGCAACAGAATCAAGGTGTGTAGTTGAATCTATAATGTAACAGGCAATTTCTCCGTATTCATGTAGCCAGATTGACTTCAATGGAGAAAACCCAATCGATCCTCTGATAAATATACACATCCTCTAGCATACATAACCAACACCATTTCATTCCATCCGAAGAGGTCAGGAAAATTTTACTCACAAGAAAGAAGTCCTGCGACTCGTAAAATATCTGAAGCATCTTCTCACGCTTCTCCTCCAAAGAGAGTCCCCGTTTCTTAGACTGCATCCACCACAGTTGAAACAAAGGGGAAATTAGTCCTTACAACCTAATCGTCAATTTATCGAACAGGTAGAGGGTGCCACCGCAGTTTAAGCTTGGATGTAGCAGGTGGAGCCACTACTATCCACGACCACTCATTTCAAGTAAAATCGAACTGCAGTTGGGCATTTCATCGAGCACCTTCAGTCCATATCGAGATAACGAGACAACAATCGACTCCAGAAATTATAAGATACATCGTTCGGCAAGCAGTTCGTGGAAGCACAGGAAATTGAATATGCAATTATTCCGATTCATAAGTCCTTCCGATGGCGCAAATTGTTCTGTAATACAGAGTAAGCGGGATAAAAGAAGGGAGTCGGTGACTGCGTTGTTACCATGGAGATTGGAGAACAGAGCTAGCTGGCGACTGGTGAGTGCTGTAGTCCTTGGTTTGCTACAATTGTAACCAAAAACAAAGCGGAGAATCGTGATTATGGAACCGTCTCCGTCTCTGTTGTCTCTGTGAAATTGAAATGGAAGAAGGATAGAATAGGGAGGAAGAAGTGCAGGAGAAGCCTCCTCTCCTTCCCTTCGGACTGATTTTGAAAATAAATCTGCTGCACGGATTTTGGCGGGAAAACCTCCCCACACTCTCCAGTCCCCACGCCGAGATGTGGAAAAATGTGTCAGCTCAACTAAACCACTGATCCTTACCCTCTTTGTGTTTGGGCTTCGGATTGGGCCGGGCCTGGTCCATTTCCCTCTATCATCTTAATTTCTTTAATTCTTTGGTGACATAACGAGCAGGCAGCTGTCGACATAGAAAACGCCCGGTTAATGACACGCGTCCAAAAAGGACACTCACCACAACACGTGTCATCACCCCAATGGCACATCACTCCCTATAATGATTATATATAATTGCAGAGTTATCCAACTGCCGAAAACGACACGTGTAAGATAAGAGTCCCCGTGGCGGGGACACGTGTTGAGTTCACGTGACCTGCTTGACGGTTATATAACCTTTCTCCACCCCGCCATCCAAAAACTCACAAGCCCAAAACAACTACTACTACTACTACAAAGCAACTTGGAAGAGATCGAGAAGAGGAAAAGCATATCAGTCGAGGATTTCGTACACACACACACACACACTCTCAAAATGTCGTCTAACCAGGAGCATTACTACAACGCTGGCAAAGCCGAGGGCCGCGCAGAGGTATATATTCTGGCTGCAACGTTGTTTGTTCTCTCTTTTATATACTCGTTTTATTTACTACGTACTTTCGGATTTCGATCTCTGACGGGGTTAAATTTGGTGAGTTTTTTTGTTTCAGGAGAAGACGGGGAGGATGGCGGACACGGTGAAGGAGAAGGCTCGGTCGGCCAAGGAGACGGCCGGAGCGAAGACGCAGGAGGCGAAGGACAGGGCCGGGGAGGCGGCGGAGGCGACGAAGGAGAGGACGTACGAAGGGAAGGAGAAGACGAAAGGGATGCTGGCGGAGACGGGGGACAAGGTGAAGAACATGGCAGCCAGCGCTGCCGACACGGTGAAGCAGACGCTCGGGATGGGCGACACCGGCGAGCATCGGGTGACTCATGAGCGGGAGGAGCATGGTCTTGGTGGTGGTATCGGCGGCACCGGCGGGCAGCAGCGCACTACCACCACCACGCGTAAGGATACTAATTACTAGAGATGGATTGAAGTGAGGAAGTGTACCGGCGCGTCGTAGTAGTGGCCGGGCCGGTTGTAATAAATAAGCGCGCCAGCTTTCATTTAGGGAGTGGGCGTGTGTTTGCTTTGTTTGTTTGTTTGTTTGTTTGGGGTTTTCTTTTTCGAGTCTGGGCGCGTGCATGAGATGTTGTTCCGGTGGGGAGTTTTTTTTGGATTCCTCGTTTGAAGAAACGGCACCGTGCCGTGCGTTACTAGTACTTTGCCGCCGTAGCTGCTTTTTTTACAAGGGTGGGCAAGGAATGTTATTTGTGAAATAAAAAAGAGTGTCTTTTTGGTATTTGTCATTTGGGATGGGGTCTGATTAGTGATTATACGTTTAACGTTTGGGTCTACTGAGATATGGGCCTAACTACCTCGTAGCCCAGGACTAAGACCAGTACACGTTGGGCTGCTTATCTGCTCCATGAAGCGTTTAAGGCAGGTTGTTGACCCAGCAACTATAGTGCGGTTGTGGTATGTTGGGCCTCCATCGCAAGTCCAGCGCGTTTTCCGACACAAATCTAATATTCCAAAATATAAAGTGGGCATTGTTGACTGTCGTCGGCATGGGCTGAGAGATCTTACAATCTGTGGAGATGCTAAACTGATCATAGACCAAGTGTTTGGCGAGGGATTCGGCCGACAGCAAGATTGGTACTATCCTGCAGGAAATTCTTGGGATGCTAGATGATGTGGGTTTTTATACGATTCAATTCATTGGTCGTATTGGGATGCTAGATGATGTGGGTTCTAATACGATTCAATTCATTGGCCGTATTCGCAACAGCGCGGCTTATAGTGGCCCGCCATGCTCTTTCTTTGTCGCCTCCATTGTTTCGGAGGTTTGACTTCTGTTCTTGGTTATATTCCAGAGTTGCTTAAACTCTGTTGATCTTCATGTATCTGAACGATTTCCTCTTTTTGAGAGTGATCTAATGGAAAAAAAAATGTTTGGTACTGATATCGAGAATTGGATACCGAAACCATAACAATTTTTTAATATTTGGTATTACCAAACATACTTATTATTTTATAGGATTGAGATTGATTCAGGTGTTATTTGATATTAGGAAATAGTATTTTATTCCTTCCAATTATGTATGTTCCCTCAATGTTACCAGACCCTCAACTGCTTAAATGGACACTTAATAATACATAGCTTGTTTTTTCGACAACCCATATCATGTTCATTCGTTCTTATATTATGGTTATGGGCTGCTGAATCGTCCTCTATTTTAGTTTGTTGCTTTAGTTTGTCGTGTTTCTTAGACACCATTTTTCCTAGTTTACTGTACTTTCGCTTTTTCCCCTATTTATATTCCACGAGTGTTGATATTATTATTTTTTTTTATATAGTTTGAGAATGATTTTTGAAGCTGCTGCAACCTGCAAGATGAGAAGTTCTGTATTTAATTGATAATTTTTCAGAAAATTAATTTGATATTTGGTATATAATGATATTACATCGTATTTACTTTGAGATTGAATTCAAAGCATTATTTTGTACTTAAGATATTGATATTCGATAGTGAAATATCGATACAATACTAATTTCCCCTATAGGCCAAAAGAAAAGGACACCCAACCCACTCAGCTCAATCCCACTACTAATTTCCCTACAAAACCTTTTTACTTTTTTGAGGTTTGAGCCCCTAGGCCTAGTTAGTAATTAATAACTTAAGTGGAGCTGTAATTAGGTGAAGTTAAGCTGAGTTTGCCGCCTAATCACACGACACAAACCCCATTTTTCTTTGGTAATCGCCGCCCCCCCCCCCCCCCCCCCCCCCCCGTAAGTCGTACTCGTATCTAGTGAGTTTGACTTGACCCCTCTATTATATATGCCTGTTACCATTTCATGGAAGGCTTTGGTTTCAAGACTGTTCTTCTTCTTCTTCTTCTTTTTTTTTTTTTGGTTTGCTTGAGGCATGTATGATTACGTGTTCTTCAATATGTTAATAGTTTAATTAATGTGATTCATCATGAAAGCCAGGTGAGGTGATCATCTAATCTCATAAAAGGTCGCACGTAATCTAGGGATTAAGATTTTCCCTTTTGACAATTGTAATAATTTTGACGCAATCTTCTTGTTTTGGGGCCCTAAATAATGCTTAACTAACCATAGTTAATCTAGGTTTTCAGAGTTGGACCAACAGGTCGGACCGAAAATATCAGTGGTTCATAACTTAATGATTTATCGTAGGGTTATAGGTACAATATGACCCTCTACTATGACGTTTTATCAAGCATGCCCCTTTATTATTTTTTACATCAAATATGCCCCTGTACTTTAAAAAAATTACCAAACATGCCCTTCTGTTAAAATTTCCATTGAAAAAATCGTCAATCATGGTTGAATTGAGATTTAGACGACCCGACATCGGCAAATGGGATGGAAAATGTCAGTTTTGTCCCCTATTTTATTTCCCTGTGTCTTTTCAAAGTGAAATTATTTGAATGATTTGATTATACAAAAGAACCAAAAAATATATAAAGTGAATTTAATAGAGATATTTTAGTCATTTATGTCGCCCAAACTGAAGTTCGGCATTGGTTGGTTTTTGGATGAAAATTTTAACAAAAGGGCATTGTTTGATAATTTTTACAAAGTACAGGAGCATGTTTGATGTAAAAAATAGTAGAATGGCATGTTTGATAAAACGTCATAGTAGATGAGCATATTATACCTATAACTCTTTATCGTATCATAGAGAGTGGTATGAGATTTATAATTGTTGGGCCAACCATGGAGTCTCTTGGGCCGACAGGCCCATGACCTACAAAAAGCCCAGCGAAACAATCGAGCCCGGCCCCAATAGGCCCAGGGCACACTAATAAAAGGTTCGAAGGCGGTCTTCCCGAAAGAACCGCCTGACACGTCCCCAACGGAACTCTGAGAAACCGCCCGACACTGGGCCTAACGTCTCTCTGACACCTCAGTACGGAGGCTGACAAAGGTACGATCCTGACAGCCTCCTGAGAACGGGTCCTTATGCGACCTTGGACGCCCGACAAGGCATTAATTATCCTCACTCCGACATCCTCTAGTATAAATACCCACTCATGGGACACATTTGGGGTAACTTCTATCTACTCCATTCTCTCTCTTATTCACTATATCCACTTCTCTCACTAACTTAGGCATCGGAGGAGGTCCCAGGGCTCCCCTGAGGACCTTTGTTGCAGGAATTCGAAGGTCGCTTCTCACCTCCCAAGACCGCACGAAGACTGTGAAGCCTCGCAAACCGCCCGGTACATTCCAGGCATAAACATTTTGGCGCCCACCGTGGGGCCTCACGACTTCGTCACCGGAAAAAATGGGAGACGGCTTCGAAGCTCCTCTCAAGGGAACGACCCAGAACAACACCCTCCGGGGTCTATCGCCGAGAGTCGAAGACGAATCGGAGTTTGAAGAGATAGTCGAAGGTCATGACTTGCAAATCGCGAACATGCAAGACAGCCTGTCGCGAATCCTCTAACTACCGAAAACGAGGGAAAACCCTCCTGAAGGGTCGAGGGGAAGGACGCGAGAAGAGGTGCAGATCTAGGCATCCTTGAAAAACATTTACGGTCGACTTACGGGAAGCACAAGAGTCCCAATGTTCTTCAAAAACCCGCTCTCCGAGGAGCTGTTCAAGACCCCATCACCGCCAAACTCCTCCTCCCTCGGACTACCCGCGTACAATGGGACCTCAGATCTCGCGGACCACCTTTGCGCGTTCATGTCAAAGGTGCAGTGCATCAACGCCTCGGACTCCGTCTTGTGCCGAGCGTTTCCCGTTACCTTCAGCGGTCATTTTCGGACGTGGTATGCCTCCCTCCCGGAAGGGGTGATAGAAATTTTCGGAGGTACCCTTGACACTTCAGGGAGCGCCCAGAGAGCAAAACATCATAGGTGGGTTTCAAACCCACATCATCTCCCCACAAAGGAGCTCACACAACCAGTACACTACGAGGATACCTTTTGCTTTACAAACGCAGCGGTAAATCATCATTGCTTTACAAACATCTCACAACCCTTGGGCTCAAGGACCGCCCCTGCATTCAAAGTCGACGCACCTCAAACCGGAGGTGACCGCCCTCTAAGCAGCCTTACCAGGCTCACATCCATCCACGGCCCGCCTTGCGAAGGAAGCCCACAGTGGAGTCCGAGGCGCTACTCATTTAGTTGAGCAGACTTCATTCTTAACGAAATAAAAAATAAGGAATTTCCTGGCCAAGATTCGAACCCGCATTAATTAGGATACAAGAACGCCAACTGGCGGGCGACAACATCTTCTCATGTCCCTAGGGGCAGCCGCCTTTTAGCTATTTTTTCAAGATCCAGCGCAGGAACCGAACACGGCCCAACTGCACGCTCGTCTCCAACATGCCAGGAGCCCAAGGCTGGGACCGCCTCGCTCCACCTCCGAGCGGATGCAAGACCGGGACCGCCTCGCTCCACATCCGATTCTCCAAGGCGATCCTATCCATCGTCGATGGGTCGCCTCCCTCATCAACGCGATCCGTCTCGCACGCGGACCCCTTCGTCCGAAAGTCCAAAAGGCAGGGGCAATTACCAGTCGGCCACAAGACCGCCTTGAGGATCAGAAAGCGACTCGTCTTACTTAAACCGCTTCCCAGCTGTCTTCTACCGCTTATTCTCAAGCTAAGTACTTCCTTCTACGATATATTCAAATACTATGCCATGCAGACCGCTCCCAATAGCACACAATGATGTTTTCTCACTACATCCCGTGCTATGATATATTTCACGCATGCTATGCTTATGTTTGTCACTCACATCCTTCGCAGATGTAAAACCGCATCACATGATCTACATCCCGTGCTATCCCTCCACGCAAAACGCACACAGGTTAACGCACACAGCTTACAGTTACGGCCTACATATTAGCACGCTCAGCAATGGGCTAGTGGGGAAATCTCAAACGACTTGAGAGCTCTAACTCAAGACATCGAATGCTAAGCGAAGACGCAAAGACGATGGTCGCACAAGGGGCAAACCGCATCGTTTGGACCCGCAAGGGTCCAGTCCACTCGTGGGCGTCCATCACCGAGAGGCGTCTCAACCATCGGGAGGCGTCCATCACCAGGGGCATCCATCACCAAGCAATGGTCGCACAAGGGGCAAAACCGCATCGTGCGGACTCGCAAGTAAGGCAAGTTAATGCACCTTAACGCATTATTTTACTCCTTCCATTCTTACAGAATACAAGAAGCAAAGGGGCAAAAATGTCGGGTCTAGTATTAACCCGCCTAATACGGGCCCAAGCCCACCACAAAGCGTCTCACCTTGGGCCCAAGCCCATTCTAGGGTCCAGTACACCGGGGGGCGTCCATCATCGGGAGGCGCCACACTAATCCCGCTCCCTGAGCAATGCTTCCACTCTACGTAGAAGCCTGAAACCGCCTCCCCGTGGACGCGCCATCAGTATAGTAACGTGATACCGCCTCCCAGCAGAAGTGACATCTTCACGCCTCGAACTTGCGCGAAAGGCTGCCTCCAAAGCCCATTCCATTCCGCGCGCCTTCCCAAAGCTGCTAAGCCCGCATTATGTCTCAAGGCGGCCTACCTCTCAAATCCGTCACCTACAAAGCGTTCAGCTTCCAAGACCATCTGAGCCAAGACCTCCGTGCGGGCCCAATCCGCATCCAGTCCTATCACAAGACCCGTCTGCCAAGTCCAAGCTGCAACCTCGCGTCGAGCTCCAACCTCAATCCCAGTCGGTAGTCCAAGCATATAATGGGCCGCATCCCGGTCCACAATCAACCATGGCCTACAGCGAGCGAAGCTTGGCAACACGCCATACACGACCCATGAAGCTCTCAATTGTCGCATTGCTGACGCAAAGCCTCAAACCCTCATCCAGCCAAGCACAAGATGATCATCACCACCATGCTACGTTCCCCCTCCGTGCGATATTATCATCGCGAAAACGTTTCCACTTGAAACGAAAGTCCGATCATGTCGTTACACTACAAATCCGCTTTGTGTCTGCTATTGGCAACATTCGACATTTGAAGCCATTTGCAGGAAGCGCCCTCGACTAGAAGACTACAACCACGTACACACCTCCAGCCCTCAAACTGGGCCGCCCGAGCATCCATTCGGCCTATGGCACCTCCGAGCCCACCCAACGTTATCACTGAAGACTTGGGCCGCCTCGTATCAAATCTCATGTGTGCGTCTAACCTGGCATCACCAACGCACCGCATCCAAGATTCTAATGCGGTCCATCACGCTCTGTACATTATGCACGCCAAGGGTCCAGTCCTGCATCACATGGGCCCACCCCTGTCCGGCCCGCACTCCAAATCCTCAACTCGAGTCCGCCAACCGTGCAAATCGTCCGGCCTGCCTTAGGACGCAAGCCCGCGCAAACGCATCCGAAGACACCACCCGACCCCCGTCTCCCACATGGCGGTGCGTCGACACAAGATAAGTCTGGTCGCGTGTATCATACCCATCTGCGTCATCACCCGCGTCTTCCATGGCCACTTCGAACGTGGAACCGCATACTAACCATATTTCATGCCTCCTAGGCTAAGCTCTCTGTTTGTTCAAAGACTCCACAGCGCTTCCCGCAAAGTCATGAGATAAACGCCTCCCGATAGGCTAAGGGAAAACACGCCTCCCAGAAGGCTGAAAGACAGAATGTCTCTCGATAGACCAGGAAGAAACGCCTCCCGATAGGCTAAAAGTAGACAGGCCTCCCGATCGGCTGAAAAAAGGAGCGCCTCCCGGTAGGCTGAAAATAAGACTTGCCTTCAGTAAACCTGTCTCACTAGGCGCACCTCATACCAGGTGCAACCCCATATCTATGTCAAGAATCGCATCCTCTTCTGCGAACGTGGTCTCACATACAATCACGACCCGCCCGGCCAACGGCACCCACGTAGAGGCCCATTGTGCGGGCACAACATAACCCTCTCCAAGTCGACAACGTAAACCCCCTCCATCCTCCTGCCCAGCAACAAGCCTTCTATACAAAAAACGAAGTGCCTATGCCAGGATTTGGATGCGAGTCCTAACTCGATAAGATGAACGGTGCTCACCAGTATGCTACAGTGAGGTCTTGTACAAATGATTTGTAGCACTCGGAATTTGACTCTTACCTTTCCTACGGCAAATCACAAAGGTAAATATTTTATACAAAAATATATCTCAAGTGCCATGCTTCAAGCCCCCGGGCACGGTCCAAAATTCGCCTCCGAGCCATGTTCCTTTCGGCGAATGGTTTCTGCCTATGAGTGATGCTCCCTCCGGGAACGATTCACGCCTTCCGCCTTCGGGGCAAGGCCCAAAAACCGCCCCCGAGCGATACTCCCTTTGAGCGATGCTCCCTCCGGGAACGATTCACGCCTTCCGTCTTCGGGGCAAGGCCCAAAAACCGCCCCCGAGCGATACTCCCTTTGAGCGATGCTCCCTCCGGGAACGATTCACGCCTTCCGCCTTCGGGGCAAGGCCCAAAAACCGCCCCCGAGCGATACTCCCTTTGAGCGATGATTTCGCCGATGAGCGACCCTCCCTCTAGGCACGATTCGTGCCTTCCACCTCCGGGCAAGGCCCGAAAATCGCCTCCCAGCGACGCGCCCTTCGGGGAATGTACCACCTCACAACGACACTCTCGTCGAGTATATTTCGCCTCACGGGAATGCATCTTCCACTAAGGCGAAAAGCCCAATTTCGCTTTTCACAAGCATATCGCCATCATCAAAACACCTGTCGATAGCTCACACACCCCCTAATAGGCTGGAGGAGAAACGCCTCCCGACAGGACCTAAAGAAAACGCCTTCCAACAGGCTCACATACCTCCCAACAAGCTCAAAGAGGAGGCACCTCCCGAGAAGCTTGAAAGGATGGCAGAATAATCATCGCGCGCCAAACCACGCCATGGACACCAAAGCATCAGTGATGTACCCTCAAACGAGCGTCTCCGAGGCGCTTAAGGGGCAAGGATGACTGAGCTCCTACACATCCTATGGTCGCATCACACGACCTACAAGACGGCCACGGGAGATACCCCCTTCGCTCTGACAATACGGCACCAAAACGGTCGCCCCAGACGAAGTAAACTTACCCTCCCTCTGTGCTCAAACATGAAAGGTAAAACCGCGACAAGCGTAATGCAACCATGGAGGGCGTCCCAGTCCCCACAAACACGGAATGACAGGCGCCTGAGAAAGTACTACTCAGACACAGTCTGAAGTACCTCATATCCGCCCAAGAAGCTGATGACTCACGCGCTTCTTAGAAGCCAAAAGACTATGAGGATATCTCGCCTCTCGAAGACGCTCCCATCGAGCACTCTCTTCACGAAAATGTCAAAGTCGACGAGCGACACTCCCGCCACGGGAAGGTTCCACCTTCTAGTGCCGACAAGCCCACACGCCTCCGGGTAGGCTTGAAGAGAAACGCATTCTGACAGGCCTAAAGGAAAAATGTCTTCCGCCAGGGTCTCACGCCTCACGACAGGCTCAAAGGAGAAACACCTTTCGAAAGGTTTAAAAGAATAACGCGAAATGTGCCAAACGACCGTTCAAGGAAATGACACTCTCCATCACCCAATTCAACTGTCGGTCGTTCGAAAATTTCCGCGCCAAGAAACCGCATCGCAGGAACGGCAGTCTCCGCGGCATACCTGCAGACGAACGGTCCAGATGGAGCTTCAAACAAGCTAACCCTCCAAAGGCTGAAAAAACGCCTGAGAGACGCCCAAGGGGCAAGCACAAGCGAACTCTCGCACATCCGATGGACGCAGCATGCGGTGTATAAAACCGCTACGGGTGAAACTCCATTCGCCCTCCCTAGAACACAGCTAACGCCTAATATTCAGCCAACAACTCACGCTTAACATGCACACAAGCTCGTGCCCATCTCGCGGCCCAACAGCTTATCACATGCAGCTGGCCATGATATAGTCCCAGCACGCTTCCCTCTCATACAACAAGTTCGCAAGAACGTTTAAGCCCAAACACGTTGCCTTCATTCACATGTTTCATGTTTTCGGCACAACGTTACTAACGAGGCGTTCGTTTCCAACACGCTCAAAAAGGTCACTCCAACGACCAACCACCCTCAGAGGCGTCCAAGAATCCCAGCGGTCCGACCCGCCCTATGCAAAATTCTCCCCATTAACACTAGCACAATCACGCTCGCGAAAAGATAGGCTACTAAACACTGAAGTCGCTAAGTATGCGAGCGAAACATCCAAAAGTCGGAGATAACCCGCGGCACCAAACGGTGGCGGTTCAACGCTTCAAATGTGCAAAAGAGAACGTTACAAGTTCACAAGGCACGTCAATGCCAAATTCGAAGTAGCATACAACCCCCATCACCACGATTAAGGGGCAAAACGTGCACAAAATAGAGGACATCCAGCGGTCCTCGAGTAGCAAATGTCACAAAGCAAACTGAGAAACATACACAAGGCATCTTAAACTTGAGGAGATGCGCCACCCTCAGGGGCGGTCTCTTCATCTTCTTCTCCTTCGTCTTTTTCCGAGTTGACATCGGAATCGGTCCACGCACCAACGGCGTCCCAAATCTGATCCGTGTTCCAAACCGCGTCAGGCTGCTCACGACGGAACCAGTGCCTGATGGCAGCCACCGCATTGCCCACCATGGACTTGTACTTCTCGTTGTCAAGCAACACGAACTCATCTGACTTCAAGTAGGCGGGTCCCGCCTCCGCCCGGGCGGCGGCCAGCTCCGCCTCGCGGTTATCTTCCCAAGTCGCCTTCTCAATCTTCAAGGCGGCCAGCTCTGTCCGCAGCGCCTCCTGTTCTTCCAGCAGGGTCTTCTCCAGCTCCGCAGACTTTAGGGCCTTCTCGCGGAAGCGGTCCCTCTCTTCACCGACAGCCTTGACCGCCCCCTTCTCGGCCAGCAACTCCTCCTCCTTCTTGGCCAGTCGCTCCTCAAACTCATGCTTTACCTGCGGTCTCAACTTACCCATCATAGTCTCCCGCCCTTCATCGGCGCCTTTCTTCAGTTTCGCTATCTCAACGGCATTGTCCTCCACAGTCCGGGACAGGCGGTCATTCAACAGAATGACCTGCGAGAACCCAATCTGAGCCTGTCAACGGCATACACATGATTAGCCAGCAAACAACAGATTGCGTGACGAAACATCCACAACGAATTACCACTTACCGAAAAGAAGAACCGCGAAGCGGTCTCTGCAAGTCTCCTGTGACTGTCCAAAGCTGAAGGGGTGTACTCGGAAGGCATAACGAGATGATCACTAATAGTGTGCAAAGCAAACTCAGCCGCCTCCCCATCCGTGGCCGCCTGAGTCGACACCTCTATAGAACTCTGTTCCTCCCCGCGCTTCACGCCCTTTCCCCGACCAGCCGCCTTCCGAGGCGGAGAACTTGCCTTCGCTCTTTGGCTAGCTTGACCGAGAGCGGTCTTCTCAGCCACCCTCTTGGAGCCTCTCCTCCTGGCCACATCAGCTGGAGCCGCCATAGGCTGCACCGGCGGCGGTTGAGCAACAGAGACGCCAATATCTCCGACCGCCACGGACGAGCTTCCACCTCGGCCGACTCCGGTCTTCACCACTACCCTTCGCCTCTTCGGACGAACCGCATCCGCCAGAGCTCTCAAACCTGACAAAAGAAAGCATAAGTAAACATACATGAGAAGAGGGACATATTCAAGCAGAAAAACGCAGCACTAACCATAGAATTTGCGAACGTGCTGGTATGCACTCTCGGGACCGCTAGGAAAGACTCGCAGCTGAAACCCTTCTACAAGGCGGTCTACGTGATCTCTCACTGACTGTGGAAACTGGGTCGAAACACACCAGTCGTCCTTCGATCCCACCACGTACCCCGTCAAAGGCGCAGTATCGCCATGGTACCACTTCCATGAGGGACGTGCGAAGAAAAACTCCTTGTACCATGGAGAATCAAGCTTCGGCGACCCCGTCACAAACCCCACGGCGTCCTTACGCCGACCGATAGACCAACAGTTGGTCGAATCCCTAATGTTATAAATCAGTCGGAATGCATCAAAGGAAGGGGTCTCCCCAAGGCGTTTACACGCATACCGATACATGACCGACTGAAAAATAACAGAAGGGGACAAGCGCCCAAGAGTACACTGCAGGAGGTGCAAAGTCTTAGTAAGAATAGGGTCTAAGGGGAACCGCAATCCCAACTTAACGTGCTCCACGTGAATAGGGATCCAACCCTCGGGGCATGACCCAGATCTACTTGTCTCCGTAGGAGCCGCATACTGCCAATCCGTAGGTAAACTCAATGCGTTCAAACGGTGAAGCACCTGACCCGGCCTCAAGGTCGCCTCGTGCGGAGGTCCATGAGAAAACACGCCGGTGGGAACCGCGGCCCCGTCCCACATTCCCTCGTGATGAAGAACGGTATACGTAGAATCCGCAATGGCCACCAAAGGCGATCCCTCGTCCTCAGAGTCAACTGCTTCCACAGACGACGAGGTACTCGCCAGCGCCTCCGAACGCTCTTCACTACTACCAACCGCATCATCCACATTCAGCGTATCACTATCTAAGTCTAAACCCCCAAACTCACCCAGATTGTCCCCAACCGCGGACGAAGTGGCCACAACCCCAACTGGTACAGGTCGGATGTTAGCAAAAGAAAAATCTAAACTTAAAGCGTCCTCGATCAGACAATCGTCCAATTCAGAACCACCCCCAAAGTACAATTCAAGTCCAGACAAATCCCACACGCAATCAGAGGCGTGTTGGGCAGGGGCAGAACGAGCCATACCTTGCGCAGCGGTCGCGGAACCGCCAGAGGTGCCCACTGACTTCTTCCCGGTGGCAGGGGAAAGCGGCGGAGCAATGAAGATCGACGGCGGCTTCCCCATGCAGACCTCGGGGGCAGTGGGCGCATCAGACACAACCTCCGTGGCGGCAGCTAGAGGCGCGCCTACCCCGACCGACGAAGCTAGGCCTCCGCTCGACATCTAGCGCCGACGAGGAAGAGGGAAAGGTCGACGTCCCGAGCCGGAATAAACCCAAAAGAAAAGCACACAAGTCAAAGGCAAACAAAGACGCGAGAAACAAAGGAGAAAGAAGCTCCGAAACTCACCTCGAAAGTACAAACACTCGGCCTTTTAAAGAAGGGCGACGACGGCGAAGCTCAGAGCTCCGCAGAAAGTTGCAGACGACCCAAGGAGGAAGACGACGGAGAGTTTTCCCCAAATGAAGAAACACAATGGCGAAAACAGTGCGCCTCTCTCCATTTAAAGCAAACTCTCAAGGGGCAAAAGTCTGACCTTGTCAGAGCGCGAAAATCGATGCCACCACGTGGGACAACCGAGTGCGGTTATAGACCGCCCATCATACAAACAAGTCGGTAAAGCCGCCCCTTAGGCGTTCGAACGCCACGCCTCCGCGGCCAGGGGCAAGCAGATAATCATAGGCCGAGCGACCCAAGACCGCTCCACGGCGACAAAAAACAGTTAGCCGCGAAAACCTAACGATCATCACGACTAAGGGGCAAATGTTGGGCCAACCATGGAGTCTCTTGGGCCGACAGGCCCATGACCTACAAAAAGCCCAGCGAAACAATCGAGCCCGGCCCCAATAGGCCCAGGGCACACTAATAAAAGGTTCGAAGGCGGTCTTCCCGAAAGAACCGCCTGACACGTCCCCAACGGAACTCTGAGAAACCGCCCGACACTAGGCCTAACGTCTCTCTGACACCTCAGTACGGAGGCTGACAAAGGTACGATCCTGACAGCCTCCTGAGAACGGGTCCTTATGCGACCTTGGACGCCCGACAAGGCATTAATTATCCTCACTCCGACATCCTCTAGTATAAATACCCACTCATGGGACACATTTGGGGTAACTTCTATCTACTCCATTCTCTCTCTTATTCACTATATCCACTTCTCTCACTAACTTAGGCATCGGAGGAGGTCCCAGGGCTCCCCTGAGGACCTTTGTTGCAGGAATTCGAAGGTCGCTTCTCACCTCCCAAGACCGCACGAAGACTGTGAAGCCTCGCAAACCGCCCGGTACATTCCAGGCATAAACAATAATTAACATTCTTTCAACAATCCGAGTCATTGTGATAATTTGTTTTGTGACATGCATGGTATTAAAAATTATTTATCTTTCGTGTTTAAATATTTACGACCGTCAATATTAATCGATGTATTAAAACATCTTATATTGCGGACCTAGTGTAAACCTCAGCCCAATTCTAATAACAAAGGCAGCTAATTGCAGTGTTGAATGGTGATGATGGTCAAATGGATTTGGTAGTACGTACGATATCAAAGTATAATTAGAATATTAGTAAGCTAGTTAATTAGTCATTTACAGTAGGAAGAAAATAATGAGCACCTCTTTCTTGTAAATCAAGCAAATTCCGTACCTATCCAGTTTTGAACAATCAAGTATCTTAGTCTGTTTCGTTTGGTGGTTTTCTAAAATGTTATTCCTAAAATTATATGTTTGAGGACAGTATAATAAAAAATATGTTGTCCTGATTGGAGGAATTTGAATTTATGTGATATATGTCATATTTTTTAATTAATAGCAAAGTGATTTTAATTTTTATGATAACTATTTAACCAAAAAATTACAAAAGGTGAAATTTGGGAAATGGCTAATATATATCGTTTTGAGAATATACTTCCTTATTTTAAAGGAAAAAAGTCTAAACGAATTTCTTTTAATTGTGAGGTCCATCGTCCGCCAGTTTTCATAACTATTTTTCCAAATTAAAAAAAAATGTATGTGATCCTTAATATAATAACGGTGATTTTAGTTTTTCATTTTATTCTATTATAGTGAAGGAAGTTTATAGAAGAAAGTCATTAGAAATACATTAAAAATAACTCCACAATCACAATCCCGTATGTAGGGAGAGAATTTGATGTTGAATAGTAAGATGCCTATAAGAGGTTTTGTTGGTCGAAAGGTTGTGTCTCCAAATCAACAATTTTCTCGGTGTTTTAAGTATAAAGCATAGGTGCAAATTCGAGATCTATTGATCCTTCGTTTTAGGGGGATATGCAAGAGAATGACTATATTCATTCACCAGATTTTTCAAAAAACTCGAGCTATTCAAACAAATCAATCGATTACATCTAAGCATAAAGTATATATGTTAGAAACGGAACAACAACAAGACCGAGGATACCTGGGTCACCCCAAGGGGCATGCCCTTAGGAGAGAGGCTCCTATCTTTATACTCATTTCACCAAGTAAAACTACCAATGTGGTAGTTTTTCCACTTGAGACTCTATAGCTTTCAAAGCTATTCATACACATTTCCAACAATATATACGATAGATCTTTGCAAACTTAAGTACACAATAACAGTATTTTAAAGATAGCAAAAATGAATCTTGCTTTGTTCCCTAAAGATTGCAGCAACACTCAATGACTCAGATTAACTTGACAAGAAGGAAAGAACCATCATACCAAACCTGGCCAATTGGGCCATGGAGGATGAGAAAGCTAGCTATAATGATAACAAAGTGGGTATAGAAACAGCAGCACACCGGATTGTCGAAGATATGGGCAAATGATGAGAATTCTGCTCTGGCTTTCTAAGGGCTTGGACCCAAAAAAAAGGGTCATCAGACAAAACCACATGTGTGTAGTACTGTTAAGTGACTTCTTTCATTTAGGCAAATATGGATTATGTGATTCAATGAAGGGACCTGTCCGGTTAGTTGAAACAGCAACCTCAAACCCTCAATCTCATCTCATCCACCCTTTTTCACGATCCAATGTCCTTGACACTGTCTTCTTGTGTGTACTGCTAATAATCTGCTCGTTTGCACCTGCAGGAAAGGTGTGTTTATGGTTCGTAGTTGGGGGGATAACATGTACATGTCTCTGCTTGCCGACGATGTTATGGCACTAGTGGTTAAGATGTTGGACTCATCGTGTTCGTATGATAATGATCTCAGTTTTCGCGATCGGCCGGGAGGGAAATAGCCCCCGCGCTGTAGTGTGTGGTATATGATTCACGAATGAATCTTTCTCAATAATTCAACTCTACTACTCTAGTTATTGGGATCAACTGGTTCTTGACATGACATCAGAACCTTCTATGATCGAGAGGTCTTGTGTTCGAATCCCGATGACCACCATTTGTGAAGCACATGGTATTCTTGTGTTCAGCCCTGTGCAAACTTCAAGACCTTGTGAGTGACTTTCGTTTGAGAGGGCGGACATTTTAGTGTGTGGTATATGATCCACAATTGAATTTCTCCCAATAACTTGAATTATTGGGACCAACTGGTTCTTTACACCAAGTCACGGTGATCTTATTCCATCATCAGAAGGAGAAAGGGGAAGAACAGGGGGAGAAACAGGGGAGGCAGTCCCAAGGAAATGACTTTTCTTTTCTTTCTTGTGTTCAGTTCAATTCAATGGCGTTGCGTGTCCGAAGAGGTTAATTTAATGAAAAGGAGAGAACCACCTAAAGTGGAGAAGTTTTGGGAGAGATATCCGTATCCCTTTCTTTCTTTTTCTCTAATTCTTTGCATCTTGCTGGACTCCATTTTTCCATTTCCCCTGTTCTGGTCTCTGTTTCCGTGACCTCCTTCTCCATCAGTCCTTGCCACTGGTTTTTGTCAACGATGATGAGATCGACTGCTTTCATGTTTGTTTTAAAACTTTCAGTTCTAGAAATAGTATAATATTCCAATAATGAATAAATAATGCATGTGTTATAAACACGCTACTACGGATCGAGAAATCGCCGGAATCGAGAAAGGAAGAATATGGAAGCGAGAATCGAAAACATGACACACGATTTACGTGGTTCACTAACACGATGTATGTTAGCTAGTCCACGGGCGAGAGAGAGAGCCAGTTTCATTATATCGAGGAGATTACAGATTACATATGAGTATGAGAAGTATTTATAGTACTTCTCCATGTGGGTCTAAACCTAATCCAATTTGGTAAGAAAACGGTTACAGACCAGGCCCGAAACCCGAACCCAAATAACATTGAGCCCATACACCGCGGGCCAGGGGCAACGTTGTGGCTGATAGTCCAATTCAAGTCACATCAACAACATGCATTCAGATTATGTGCATATTGAGAATGTTGTGCTTTCTAAAGTACAACATCTGATAGATATAAAAATTGCGTGTATTTAGCAAAATTCGACATATGGAGGTAATCAAAAAGCTGAGCTTAATAATGCATAATTTGTTATGTATTAAGAATGTATGGTGCATTATAAATACATCCCTTCCAAGTCCAAATTAAGTCAAAAAGGTATTATGCACGAAGTAGGTATTCTTGAAATACATCAACCGGGATCGTAGATTCCAAATCTATTCCTCACTTTTTCATACCATGAGCACACAAAATAAAATAAAAAGATAAAACTCCAAGAACCAATAATTCATGTTGATGTCATTCTAACGAGTCTTGATAGTTCATGAGAATGAACAACCCAATTCGCATTTTACGTTATATTTTGAGAATTTACTCGAGAGCACACTTTTCATAATTATAGTACACCTCAACTCCTCGGTCATTATGGGTTACAACAAAGCATACCCTACGCTACCACCAAAGTCCTAACTAGGGCAGTAAAGCACCTTCTTTTGGTACACCATACCCTACATTACAACAACATATCCCAATATCTACCAGAACTCTCCAAACGCATCATTATTTACTCGTACACCTTCCCTTCCTTCCTTTACCATAGTGGGAAAAGGAACCAAAACGTTAGATTTGGGTAGTGCCTAGTCAATAATTCAGCATCATTAATAACCCTAATAATAATAATAATTCAACATGATTACTACATATACAGACAGACCCCACTCTCACACAAACTACAAACTGTACATCTCCCTCCCTTCCACATTGGTATATGGATAGCGACTAAAGACCCAAGGAGGAAGGGATCATAGTACCCTCATGAGTTCATGTATCGATTCATGCTAGATCCGATCAATTGTCTATCCTACTTCATTTACGTTCTTGACAATCCATCTTTATCTCAGTAGATTCTTCCAGCGATATGTTTCAGTACTCTTCCCAATTACTTAGAAAAAGTGAGGGATATATGTTAAGATATAAGAGATGATCATTACAACCTAAACAAGTTCTTTCACAATTAATCAAAAAGAATGATGTTCATTATATAGAAGTAAGCGCTCCACCACCACCTGATAAATGTGATGATTCGTCGGATAGAAGCCCCCCTCTCTGACTATTTGTCCCTCTTAGAAGTGCTCCAGAAATATCTGCGATCGAATAACTCTCTCTCTACGAACGAAGGGATCGAATCAATTTGAAAAATTGAAAAATTTGTACAAGTTAGATCTTTCGTCCCCCGGTCCCAACCTAACCTCCCCATGTAATCAGAAATCCAAATGAAAAAGAAAAAAAAAACTCACCTTGCGGTCTTGCTTCTCTTCAAACATTCAACCCACATCTGCCAGTCCCAGGCCCAGCCCAGGCCCACCTTCCCATTTTGCCCTTTTGACTCGTTGGTACAGAAAATCAGAAATCAAACATCACGGATTTCTTCCAGATCTTCCCCTCAAAATCTTCCACAACTAAACCATAATCCCCCACCATAACCGGATTTGATTAGTACTGGTCTATTAAGTACTAACCACGTAATTAATAATGTATTAATGCGCAAAATTATCCATCCCAACCACAACACAAAGCCGGGCACACAATTAATAATAAAAATATACATTGATCTTTCTGCATTTAGGGAGGGGGAAAAGACGAGCCCACCATAAGCAGGCTCTTTACAAAATGATAATCACCTTACAATAATAATATAATAATATCGTTAAATTCAAAGTCTGGATAATCATCATCTTAATACTACTTACTGGCTCTGCCACTGAACCACACATTAATTAAGCAATTAACAAACTGGAAAAAAAATATTTAGAGATAGACGAATTCTTCCACCACAGCTTTCTTTTAGTTAAAAATTAAAAAAAAGTAAACCGACCGATTCGTAACCTCCGGCCGCCGCCGTCGTCGCCGCCACACCCTACGGCCTGTACAAAAATCTCTCCTTCCGCTTTTTGTTTTTTCCCATCCATTTCCAGCTTCTGAGCTCTGGCTATTTCCATCGGCCACCACCGCTTCTTTCTGAAAATTGCTCAGAAATCAGAAACCTTTCCACCCAAAACAGAGATCGCCAGTCTTCATCCGTTTCCTTCTAATGGGTTCTTCAAATCTTGAAATCGAAAAACGTATGTACAACGGATTTTCTTTTCCGCTTCTTTTTTTGTTTTTTTGAACCGCCGCTTCACCCCAAAAGGCCACCGTCTTGTCGTATCTCCTCCGGGGGCCACCGCCATATGTACAAACTGAGAAGAAACCAGAGCGACGCCTCCATATACTGAAAAAGGAATAACCTAACATCCCCCAGGAAAACGACAAAACACACAAACGGATCCGGGCCCCCGGCCCGATTCTTCACTGAACCAGCTCCGAAATCCAATCCACGTCCGGACCTCCGACAGCCGGTCCCGGACTCGGGTCGCCCCGCTCCAGCATGTTCTCCTTGCTCAGCTTCTCGAACATCCTCGCCCTGATATCCCTCCCGGACTCCACCCTCTCCATCGCCGGCTCCTCCTCGCACACTTTGTCCCAGAAATCAGCAGAGTAGCCGAGCCCGCTCGGCGTTGTGGGGGTCGGAGTCGTCGGCACGCTGCAGAACCCGGGTCGGAGGATCGACCCGGCTCGCGGAGACCCGTACCCAGATCCGCCTCCTCCGCCGCCGCCGCCCATCCAAGTAGAAGTCGGGGATTTCACCTTACCGAGCTGCAAGTTCCTGAGCGACGCCACCATCTCGTTGATCGAGTTGGAACCCAGCGAGCGACTCAGCATCGGAGACATCGGCGGGGAGTCGGTCTCGGGCGGCGAAACAGAGCCCGGCGAGGTCACAAAGGGCAGAGTCCGAGCACAGGAAGCCTCAATCGCCTGCCGAAACGGCGACCCATCGTACGATTCACCCGAATTGACGCTCCTCGGGCTCTGAGGCAGCACCCGGAGCTGCTCCGGCGTGTGAGCGAAGAAGCAGACCCGCCTCCTGCAATTGGTCCCGTCCTTGCACGGCTGCGTGCGGTAGCGGGCCGGATGGAGCCAGCACTCGAACACCCCGTGGGCGAACTCGCAGCCGTCGCCCTTCTTGCAGTTGCCCTTTCGAAACTCGGGGCACGCGGTGCCGGAGTAATGGTACTTCCTCGGATCCCTCCTGCGCGCCTTCTCCCCCGGGTGGGCGTACGGGCACTCCGTCCAGTCGTGGGAGCGGCCGCGCGCGCAGCGCCGGACCTTGAACTCGTACATCCGGAAGTGGTCGCAGGAGTAGGCGTCGATTGGGGAGTCGTGGTCCAGTCCGGGGATGTCGAAATCAGGGTCCATGTCTGGATCGTTGGAGGGGAGGAATCGCTGCAGCGCGGACAGAGCTTCCTGGATGTAGAAGGGGCTGTAGTGATCGGAGGCAGGGGAGGAGACGACATTGCCCCCGCCGCCGCCGGAGTACGGACTGTACGGATCCGGGCTGTGGTCGTCGATTGCAGTCCACGGCGGGACGTGGACGGAAGGATTCGGACGGCGTTGCTCGCCGAGCATCATCGTTCCCAGGAAAGATCTCGAATCTAGTAGAAGAAGATTGGAGAGAAAATCGGATTCAGAGTGAATTTTTTTTTTTCCACCCTTCTTTTGTTGGCTTTTGGGTTGGTTGATTTTTTGTACACAGAAATACCGGCAAGGTTTGGTCGTATATAAACTGCTGACCGGAGTGGCGGGTTAACCGGGGTAGGGTTGAGGGAGATCAACCATGGTTAGGTTAGAATTTCTAGGGGAGCTAGTTTGTAATTTTCCCGCGGCGGTTAAAATGCTAATTTAATTTGTGAGGGGGAGTATTTGGGATCACATGAGGCCATGAGGGAGAATCAGAAGGAGGGAGGTGGATCGTACACGTGGCCGAGATGGACATGCCTTGGTCCACGTGGCGGGCGGACGGTGGAGGTGAGGGGATTAAAAATCACAGAGGGTTGTACGTGGAAACTACTGGGCGCTAGTAGTACTGCCTTTTGGTTGGGGATGGTTTTATTCATTTCTTTTTATTTTGTTTTTTTTATTTATATCCCTTGCATCCAAACGGGGTCTTATCACTCTTACGCCTTATAGGTTTCGGAGGCGGTGGAGCGTCAGGGACGCAAGACTCCAATGAATGAAAAATTATTATTCTCTACTCGCACATAGTTAATGCCTACAGTTATGTTAAGACTAAGAGGGTGTTTGGGTAGCATGCATACCACTTGATTTTCAGTAGAGTTAAATTTAAGAGATGAGATTTAATGGAGTTTGTTTATTTATTTTTCTTAATCATAAGGTATTTTTTTTATTTGAATTTGAAGTTGTTATATCTATGGAACAAGTTCCTTGTAATTTAGATATATTAACTACTGGTTTCTTACTTGGACAAGTGGATGACAGTCCACTTCTTTATCCTCTTGGTCCTAACTTTTTTAGAAAAAAGATTAATATATTGTCGAATTTTTTGTCCCAAAATATATCAATTGTATGTGACTCTGAAGTGAACAATTAAATTGAAAGAGAGAAAATTTATTAAGAAAAAAGATATAACCCATTGATTACTTATCAAATTCGAACCCAAGTGGTTTTTTTATCACAAGATCACTCGCATTAACGAGAAAACAACAAGATATAGAGTAGTTACATTGCTGAAAACTACCAAGAAACAAAATCAAACCCTTCAAACAAAGAGAACAACAAAATGATTTTCTTTCCACCAAATGAGCAACCCTGTTACACATACATCCAACAAATCGCGCCTCAAACCATTCAAGTCCATTATGAAGCATAGCAATCTCTTCCAGACCGTCCCACCACAGGCATCAACAAGCAGCCTCTCCTCAACCATCCTAAGAACCACCGAAACGTCACTAGCAAAAATCATCGAACGTAGACCTCGAGACAAACACCAACGAGTCGCATCCTGGAGGGCTAACGGCTTAACAAGAAACACCTCCCAAATCCCCTCATACCGAGTAGCAGAAGCAGCCACCGCCATGCTCGACCGGTCACGCAAAACCCAACCACGAGCCGGATGGGACTACCCGCAATAGCACCATCGACAAAAATCACCAAATCGCCAAGTGGAACCCGCAAGTGCTTTGAAGTCACGTATGTTTCAAGTCTACACAATAAATAAAAGCCAAATGAGAAAACTTGAAGCCCCATTTCAAATTTCCTGCATCCAGAGTGAAAGTAGGAAGGACATTTTGGTCTTCACAATTATTTTTTTTTATTCATTAAAAAGACACTTACTAGGATTCGAACCATGACCATTTTAAAGAAAAACAAAGATCATAACCAATCACACTAAGTACATTTGTTGTATCTTTTTAAATTAAAAACATATAATTGCAGAGAGGAAAAAACTCTTCCCCCATTTAAAATTCCCTGCTCCAGTAGCGTTTGTAGGAAGAGTAGAATAGGGAGTGTCAATTTTTTCCTTTTTCCTCTGTGGAACGGGCCAACTTACCGTACACATGCGGATTTAAACGGGTCCAGGAGTGTCAATTTTTTTCTTTAAGTCCTTTTATTTCTCCGTGGTGGTAAAATATATATATATGAAAAGGCAAAATCAATACTCCTTTTTATTTCTAAAAAGAAAAAAATTAACAATAAACTAATGCATGGATTCTAATGGGCTAACCGCTAATCATAAAATAAAAGAGTTGAACGGGTCTGACCTACATGGGATTTGCCCATCAAGTAAAACAAATGAACATCATGGGTTTGCCATTCTAAAACAAGCTATTTTCTCTAGCATAATATATACTATGCTATTATTTTATATCTTAGTGGCTAAAATATAATGTATTTTAAAGTTATTCAATGGTTCAACTTCGACCAACTCAATTAGTCCAATTTTTATCATTTCAAATATATATTATGTAATTATTTGATATCATAATGATTAAATTATAGTGTATATTATAGGGAATCGTTTGGTATTTGTTAGTAAAAAAACTAAACAGAAATATCTATTTGGTTATTTTTAACATTAAAACGATCCTAAACAGTTTCAGTTTCCTTTCGAAATTCTATAGTTTTATTCCCGAATCAGTGATGTGCAAATGGTGAATTGCAGTCATCTCTTTTCTTTCATTATTTTTTATTTTCAAATATAAAGTTTAAAAGTAAAGAATAATTAGAGTTTGGCATGGGTCGGTCAAACAAGCTGAATTTCAAGTTTTGGCCCATTGTGATCAAGTCTAATTTATAATCACATGGTTCTCTGATACCCTATAAAAATCTCAATCCAAACCAGTTTGGCAGGTGAGTCCGTGTTTACCACCATTTTCTTGGGATACAGGAACGGTGGTTCCTATCCCAAATCGTGCTGTTCATTCTTGATTTCTTTAGATTTTATCATGGCTTGGCAAAAAACCAGAAAACACAATGATGAGAAGATGAAAGTTTTATAAAGCAAATTAATCGGCCAACGGGCCGAGTAAAAGCTAGCAACGATTGTGAGATGCTCATTTCCCGAAAATCGACAGGATATGCGATTTTTTATTCGATTTTCTGGAATTCGGTTTCTATAAAACTTACTCCACCTCATCATATTACCAGAAACAATATTGTTTCACAAGGTAACATGTACTTGATTTTGGTTCATAGGGCTGATTTTTGATTCGTTGCATCATTCATGTCTCTTTTCTACTAAAATTCACTATTTTTATCACGTGTTTCCCAAAAAAAAAAAACTATACAACAATAAGCTATACACCCCATTATATTATCAAATTTCATACCTCATCTTCGTCCGGCCAAATGGCCGGGGCCCACGCTAGTTATTTTATGTTTTCCATTTAAATAGCTTTCCTTCCTCATTCTTCTATCCGTTTGCACATATTTTTTTTATAACCCAGGAACCTCAACCCCACGTGCCACTTTGTGACAGCGTGATCTACTAAACCTGGGGAGCACCTGTACAAGACACAACATCGGGAGACTTCGTCCCCGGCACTTAGGCATGCCTTCGGGAACACACAAATAGGGCGGGGAAAATTGACCACACCGTCAGAACAACTGTGGTCTAAACCGTACCGCACAGTTTGGTCCAGACCGTAGACCGTTAAGTATGATCTGGTCTGGTCCATGGTCTGTATTATTTTATGTTTTGATCTCTTGGTCTAGTCTTGTCTAGACCGCGGTTTACCGGACTAAACCGGGGACCCAACCAACTTGTCAATACGTGTTAACAGCCCATTCGACCACTCTCCCAACTCCCACAATGACATCCAAGTCTCAACCTTAGTTTTGTGAATCTCGTCCCTCCTTCATTCACAACCACATTTAACCAGAGAGTAGAGATAATCGTGTCTCCATATGACATTATAGTGCAAGTAGGGTATCAAAATTATTCATGCATGTTAGGATTAATGTTTTAAGGCAAATAACAATTATTTTTCTTGGTTATTGGTTCAAATTTTTGTGTGGTTGACTAAACAAATTATTCATTTTTTGTTGAGTGTGCTCTATCTGGACCAGACCAGACCGCACACGCGTGGTCTGGACCAGACCGTATAGTCTGTGGTCTGGTCTGTGGTATATACTTCAGCCTCTCGGTCTGGACCATAAACTGTATATATGGTCTGGTCTAGACCAGACCGCACCGTTTCCCAGCCCTACACACAAACGGCGTCGCTGGAGATCAAACTCAGGACCTCTCACATCCTGAACCAACCAGACCAACAGTTTCACCGCTAGACTATATTACCTTTGACACATATTTGATCGAAAATCCAGAAGAAAAATCCACCTTAAACGGTTAAACCTAATTAAATATTTACTTAGCCATAGCCCATACTTAACTTACCTTATGCCCTTGTTTGCACCGAAATCTCATTATTTCCCTTTCTGCTTTTCTTGGTGGAGAGAGTGTGTAAACAGTTCACTACTTCGATTATAACCAATGCACCAAACAACTACAATGTGGGCTATTTCTGTCCCGATGTGTACAATTACATATTTTGCCTACCTTTCTTTCCAAATTATAAATCGATCTTATGGTAGATTAATATAGTTCAAAAAATTGAACAAGTCAATGATTAAGTAAGAGCTTTTCTTTTGCTAGCGGCAGTAACTTCAATACAGATTAACATAAAATATCTACGGACTTTGACACATCAATTCGATCATACATAATCAAGTATCTAACGTTATTATAATTAAGAATGAAAATATATGGGGTACCTAAGGGCAGTGAATGACTCTTTCTAGCTAAGCAATCTGGTAACTAATTATCTTCGTTATATATGTGGATGACCCGAATCGTTTAAGTACGCTCCAAAAGGGCTCGAAAATAAAGAACAAGGGAGGCATGCTAGTGATTAGGGTTCTTCTGACTTTGAAGTATGGGCACCACAACAGACAAGTCGAGCTGCGCTTCCATCTTTAGACGACTGAGGCGCCAAGCCCTCTCAAGCACCTAAACGGCACCTCTAAGCTCGGTTCTGATAATGAAACAACTTCACAGGTTCATGACATAAGCACCCCTAACAAGCGATCATGAGAATCTCGCACAACTCCTC